TACAGGATGTTAATAGAAGGACTCGAGTTGCAGGCTAATAAAGTAACTTTCCACATTTGTAGAGTAAAGATTGAAGCCAGGGCTGGGGGCGTGGCTCAGTGCTAGGCATACCCCAGCACTGCAACAAAAAACAAAAAGGAAGCCACAAGTCTACTGATGAATTTATATAGGCTGAATGAAAGGCACAAAGGGTATCCACCAACTTGTTAAAAGTTGGACTAATTTGTTGAGTTTCATTTGAATTTGTGTAGCATGTGTGAGTTACAGAGGTAACTAATGAGACAGACGTGTGTGGCATAGGCTCGGCGGGGACTGGGCAGCTGATGCATCGCTGGTCCTTCCTGCTATGAGCTCTAAACAACAGTGAGGCAGGACTGTCTCTCATGTGCTTTTACTTAACCCTTCGAGGGAGTCCTGAGTCCTGGTGCTGGGGCCGTGGTTCATGTGAATCCAACCAGTTCAGTCACCTGTCTCTGTTCATGTGTCAGGGGCCCTGGAAACTGCCTGTTGACCTGGATAGAAGGAAGAATCCAATAAAAGCACTGTTTCCAGTTTTTGTTCTCCACTAAATCAGGTTACAATAAAGAACACAGATCTCAGTAGCACTGGCAAAGCATTTGTCACTCGCTGAGTCTCCATTGTTCAGAGGGAAGCGGGAGGAGAAACTGAAGCAGAGTTGTGTATTTTAGGTATTCTTTTTATGTGCCAGGCCTTCTTAAATTTTGATGTTGGAGAGGGAGGCCTGTGTACGGCATGTGTCCAGCTGTCCATTCCAAAACTGTGTATTGCAATGGAAATCTTCCCCTTACAACTTGGGAAATTGACTGCCTGTAGGCCTGCAACTCTCTGCAGGCTGCCAGAGGGGGTTCACAGCCAGAGTCCTGCAGGCCTCAGCCCAGGCTTGCCTGTGAGTTGGGCTTAGGGCAAACCCCTGTGGGCTAGGAGCCCTGGACTGGTACGGGCTGATGGAGTGACTTGGGTTTAATTGAAGGTTTTTCAACTCTTAACTGAGTACTGGCGACTTTGAGCAGTCGCTTAGCCTCGCTGAGCCTTGGTGACTTGTGTATAAGGGAAGTGCTCACACCGTTCTCACAGTCATTTTTCTATTTTATTTCTTGATTCATATAACTTTTCCGTCTTTGATTCAGGATCTTTTTCTCTGTATAGCCCAGGTAGGCCTTGAACTTGAGATCCTCCTGCCTCAGCCTCCTGAGTGCTGGGATTATAGGCATGCACTACTGATTCGAAGTATTTTTTAAATTCATTTGTACTCAAATATATTCATTAGGTTACTTTTGGCTTTTCATTTGTTTCAGCTTTCCTTCATGTTAAGCTGAGTCTTTTCTGATGTCTCAGATTGGACGCTTTGCTCTTGCTCTTTTTTGTTAGGGAATGTGATGTTTTACGTTGGCACATTTCTGTAGAGTACAAATTTACTTAAAAGTTTTGTTATGTGGTATTGTTTTCCTCATTTGTGCTATTCTCTAGGTATTTTGCTGCTATGGTTTTGAATTCTTTTTGGTTTTTTGAGACAGGATCTCGTCCTGTATCACAGGCTCTCCATCCTCCTGCCTCAACCTCCCAACTGCTGGGATTACAGGCATGTACCACCACACCCAGCTGTTTGAATTCTCCTCTGATTCAGAAGTTTTACGTGCTGCGGGTGTAGCTCAGGGTACTTGCCTAGTATATGTGAGATACTGAGTACCATTACCAATATTGTTAAAAAAAAAAAAGGTTCATTTATAGAGTCTTGTTTTCTGATGGTGAAGGTTATTTTTATTTCCACTTTCATTATGTCTTGTTTTGTGTATGGTGGTCAGAGCATTTTGCTTTTCAGAACTTGGAATTTTCCTTAAGGTCATATCTAGCCTTCATCCTGGTTTGAGTACACTTTATGGGCCAAGCTGTGGTCGTCCCTTTTCTGTCTCATGTTTATGATGTTTTTCATTTTAAAATCACTCTGCAAATATACAGGGTCATGTCAGTTACATTTTCACTGTAGCTTGTGCCCCTGTCTTTCTTCTGCTTCATGCTCTCCTGTCTGGCTTCTTTAGTTCGTGATACTGGTGAATTTCATCCGTATAGTTTTGTGTGTTGATTTGTTTTTATTGCTGTCTAGTATCAGTTGTGAGTATATTATGTGTCCATCCCTTTAGTGGTGATGGACATTGATTTCCAGATTGTGCAGCTGTTAACGTGGTTGCGCGTGCCCTGTGATGCCATGCTGGATCTGTTGGGGTCACAGGATGGGTGTGTGGCAGAGACAGTGGACACTGCAGGTATAAGTCTGAAGGACATGTCCTGCCACCACTATCAGACTGTGTGAAAACTTTGATAATGAAGGCAGTGCAGTGTGGGTATAAGGACAGACAGGCTGATGGAATGGAACAGTTTTGAAACAACAGTCTGCATTTACGTAGTCATTTAACATATGACTGCTACCTTTCACTTTTTGAAATGTTTCCATCAAATGCAGCAAGTAACTCTTTTCCTAATTGCCTGTGTACTTGAGTGTCCTTGCCCATGTGGATTACTCCCAGTGTGTTAATCAGCTTTCTGTTACTGTAATGTATATCCGAGAGAAATTATAAAGAGAAAAAGGTTTATTTTGGTTCATAGTTTTTGAGGTTTCGTTTCATGATTGTTGGCCCCTTGCTTTAGACCTGTCACAAGGTGGAGCTTGGGGCGCTCCCCTCATTACCAGCCAGGGAGCAAAGAGAAGGAGGAAGAGGTGTCTGGGCCCCACTTTTTATTTGGGGGTGTGTGTGTGCACAGATTGTACATTTCACAAAGCTTTTAGGTTCTTGTCTTTATCCCTAGTATCTGAATTTTTGTGTGACCCTTGCGTTCTTTCTGTGTCCACTGTTCTGTGTACTTCATAGGCCGTTGCTTTCTTGGTTCCTTCAACTCTAGATTTTTCTTGTTTTTGATTTTACGATTTTTTTTCCCTACTACCTCCCACCCTTCTGTATTTCTGATTTCTATTTAGATGTGGGCTCCTGGATTAATCCTTTAATTTTTAGGGGTGACTATCATTTACTTTGTTAATTTTTCTGAGATTTCCTTTATCTTCAACCTCTTCAATGGGATTTTTTTTTTAACCTTAGAATAATTGAAATTTACAGAAAAAATGGAAGTCCTGCATCCCTTGTTCCCAGTTTTTTCACTATTTTAATCAACTAACATTAGTAATATACATTTCTTACAGCTAATGAGCCAACACTGATACATTGGTATTAAGTATTCACATTTACTTAGTTTTTACTCAGTGTCTTTCTGTTCCAGGATCCCATACTATCAGTAGGTATCTTCAGTGTGCAAGAGGGCGGGTTTCTATCCTGAGGTGATTTTTTAGGAGCAGACTCCTGTCTTTGCTGGGAGGTGGCAGACTTGACACCTCAGTGGAGGGGAGGCTTCTGTGATGGGGTCTTTGGTGTTTACTTGGCTTCCTTCTTGAGCCCCTTTCCCTGCCCCAGCCCTGTGGTCCTGGGTGTTCTCTAGATTTTGTTTATAACCAGTACGTGCTTGGCCGGGGTGGGTGGGGGGGGGGGCGGGTCTGAAGTCCCAGTCCTCCCTTCCTATGGTTGCCTGATACCTCCTAGTGCTCTGGGTGGGAGGCAGTCCCCTTTGCAGTCCTTACTTTGTAGCGTTTTTCCAGTCTGATGAGTCTGTTACTGCTTTTCCATCTGCCATCATTGTCCTGCATTTCAGATTCTTTCTTTGTTTTCATTTTAGGGGTTCCCTGGAATGGCCTGTGCTCCTGACATGTTTAAGCAGAGCCCCCCGTATTCTAGGTGGTGTTTCTCTGAGTGGAATGGCATGGTGTCGAGCCATTTCTGGGCTGCGTGCGCACGTGGACAAACATGTTCCCTCCTGGATGCAGGCGTGGGGCTGTTTCTGTTCAGTTCTTCACTCTGTCTCCTTTCCCAAGGTGGTCACGGCTGTCATGCTGTGTTAGAACACAGCTACCTCCTGCTTTAGTGGGCCCAGAAGAAAGGGCTGATGGGCTGCCTGCCTGCTCATTTGTCCGGACAGTGAACTCTGTCCTTTCCCTCCCCACCTCTGGGGAAGGACAGCCCCAACTGTGGGGGTGGTGGCTGTCCCCTCCATGTTTGATGAAACCTCTGTACGGGCTCTGCATTCTGGAGTATCGATATTTCACCTTGTGACCATCCATCATTTCTCCTTCTGAAGTAGCTGTTTGACCCCATTTTGTGGCTGTCGGGTTGGCAAATGGCCTCCCTGCCCCTTCATTATGGTCCTTTGTATGTAGAGAAGCTGGTGCCTGCAGGAGGGCATTTTCTCCTCTGAGAGTGTTTGCTCCAGAGCCCATGCTAACAGAACTGTTACTAGTGTGGGGGGAATGGCCTTTGTGTCCTTTGTCCCGTGTGGTTGAACCTGTGAGGACGCAGAGTCTGGGAAGGTGAACAGAAATGTTTTCTCCCCAGCTAAAGAGAGTTGCTTCCTATGAGAGGCCATGTTTCCTTGTGTGCCCAGATTCCAGTTTGCTGTAGGTGATGTCATCCTACGAGAGGCTTTGGGTGTAAACAGAGTCGCAGCTGGGACCCCGGGGACAGCTGCAGCTGGCTTGGATGGCAGCTTCTGAGTGTTGGCTCAACCTCTCTGCCATCCTTCTAAGCTTTCTCTAGAATTACTTTCATATTTTTAAAAACAAATATCAAATCTGTTTAGAATTTATGCACAGTGTTTTATGACCTTTATCAGCAAACCCTTTTAAATAGGAGCCAAAAACGTAGAACAAAACAGAGCAGGAAGCAGCCACTGTCGCGGCTGTGGGTGGCCCGAGCACAGGCGGCCTGTTGCACAGAGAGCTCCATGCACCTGGCAGCTACTTCAGGGCTTTTGTCTCTCTCTATATATATTTTAAATATGCATATCAAATTTTGTATTCCTTTTGTTACTAAAAAATTACAAAAAGAAGCAAGCAGGCCTGGGACATCCCACCTCCAAGGGCAGCCTGGTAAATTGGCATGTGACTGCTGCACATCAGTTATTGCCCCAAAGCGGGAATGGTGAAACTGGGGCAGTTGGGGATTGTTTAAAGTGAAGTCCCAGGAGCGCTATCTCCAGAGGGTTTTCTGAGAATTACAGTGTTTCTGTCTCCCGAGAATACAGGGGCTCACCCACTGCATCTGTGCCATTGAGTGGTGACACAAGTATGGGGACAGGTCCCTGGTGCAGAGGGAGGAGGGAGAAGCAGGTGCAAGGTCTGTGCAGCAGAGCATAGCAGCAGGGGCCCCAGCATGGGCAAAGGCTTTGCTGGCCACACAGGAATCTGGAGAGGTGATTACCCCTGTGAGGCCCACAGTGGGGCAGGGCCGGCAGGAGTCCCAGAGGCCCAGAACTGGAGTCAGCCATGGGGACAGCTGTATAGGTTGAGAATGTGCTGAGGGGGAGCATTAATCTCACTTTTTTCTTTTCTTTTTTTTGGCGGTACTGGGGTTTGAACTCCATGCCTCAAACTTTCTTAAGCAGGCTCTCTGCCACTTGAGCCTCTCCTCCAGCGTGGTCTTTCCTTAAAATAAACCAGGGAAGTAGGAAGCGATACATTTTTGTTGTTTTTTTGGTGCTGGGGCCTTGAGCATGCTAGGCAGGTTACCACTGAGCTGCAGTCCTGCCCTCGTTCATCCTTATTTAATCCATGAGGAAACAGGCCTCAAGTCACAGCTGGTGTGGGATAGAGGCAAGATAAAAACCCCATGTTTCGGAGATGAAACTGGTGGGAGATAGGGGCTGGGATCCAAGGGTGTGGGTGAGGCCAGTGTGTTGAACAGGGGGCTTGGATTTAGTTCTGGTGTAGTGGGATGATGGAGAAGGTGTGTAAGCAGGTGCTCAGCAAGAGCTGGTTGCTATCTGAGCCATAGCTCTGGTGGAGGAAGGCTGAGGATGCAGGGAGAGCAGACGTGGGGCCCAGGTGGGTATGGAATGGCCTTGCAAGCTAAGTGTCAGAGAATTGAAAGTGCTTTGTTTCTTGCTTTAAATTTGCTGCTCCCTAAATGTGCTGTCTTCTCGGGGGCATGGTCCTTTTCTGGTAGTAACTGTCTCCCATACCCAACACTGGGTCACCAGAGACCGCCTTCCAACTCTCCCTGCTCCCTCTAGCCTTATTTTCGGGAGGTCTGTACTGGCTTCCACAGGTGGAAAGGCTGGGTTTTGCTGTGGTTTAGGCTGGGCTCCAGCTTTCTAGATGGGCTAGAGAAGTGTGGACGTCCTGTGGCTTCCTGAAAGCCACCCATGCCTTTCTGGCTGCTGTATAGGGAGCTTCTGAACGTCAAAGGTGTGGAGAGTGCTGGGTCCTGCTGGAAGTTTCTCTCGGAAATGCAGCTGGGACTCCCTGACGCCCACCCCACCCTGCTACATCCCTGAAGCTTCATTCTCTCTGGGCTTCATTTTCTTGCCCTGCCTTTGCTTCCCTATCTCTGTGTCACTTGTGATTGCTCTTGTGCTGGGGCTGCATTTTGGGCAGGGCTGAACAGTTGCAGCAGAGACAATGGCAGTGGAGTCAAGTGTGCTTCCTGTCTGGCCTTGTGTCCCAAGGGTCAGGGGACCCTCCTGCTCTAGGCATACAGGCTGGAGACTCATCTTCGGTGCATTTCTGGCACCGAATGACTCAGTACCTAGCACAGTTAAGTTTCTGAAATAGGTGATGGAGCCTTCCTCAGATAGAGTTCTTTTTCTAGATGTTGGCGTGATGAAGGACAGACGTCCTCATTAGTCTCATTCCTGAGTTTCATGGTAGTGGTTCTTTGCTTTTTGACTGGACTGGAATGAGTGAACCGTCTAGTAACCGTGTCCCTTCCTGGCCCACGTAGTTATTTCTGAAGTGCTCATCCTGCCTCTCTGTTCCTATGCAATCACGTCATGGCCTTACTCTTGTGCCTGGTGATCCCATCTTTCCACCCTTCTACACCTCCTTTCTCTCCAGCCCCAGGCTGGGGGCTTCTTGAGTGTGCCTTGCAACCTTGGTCCTTAAGCTGAACTCACTGTGTCTTCCTCACTGGTCTGAGCATATAGTAAGTCCTTCATAACATGGGGTGGGCGCAGCCCCCAGGTGTCCTGAGGGTGAGGCAACAGATGATTTTAATGCAGAGATGCTATACCAGGGTGACCATGAAAAGACTGGATTTGCCATATGTGAAAGTCTGGCTGTTGAAGGCAAGGAGTGACTTAAATGCTTGTCTTTGCAGTTGTCTAGCACTGTCCTCAGCCTGTGCAGCTCTGAGCCAGGGCAGACCCCCTCTAGTAGAACTGATCCATCTTCTTTCCGGTCCGAGCCCGCCTCCTGAGCACAGCAGCTCTGGAGCCTGGAGTCTGGGCCCGGCCTTCAACCTGTGGCCTGACCTTGTCTGCTGCGCTCTAGGCCTGGCTCCAGCACTTTGCAGCCTTGTGATCTTAGAGAAGACACTTCTTTTTCCTGACTGAACATTAATGCCTCCTGTCAAATAGGCTGATGCAGTAGTATCTTCCAGTAAGGATGGTTGTGCCTCACCAGGAGGCCAGGCACGTGTGGGTATGTATGTGCAGCATTGCCCACGCCACTGTGATCAGCCTGAGTGTGCAGCTGTGTGGCCATCCCAGATCACGTGGGCAGTCATCTGATGCTGGCAGGTACCCAAGCATGGAGTGGCTTTTGCTAAAACCATGTGTAGGGCCTTTCCTTCTGGAGCACACGGCCTGCTCTCAGGAACCTGCCTGGCTGGTGCTGTCTGGGGAGGTGGGGCTTGGGTGTCTCTGCCTTTGTTGGCCAGTCTTTCCGGTGGTTTTTTCCTAGCTGATCCTGGGCCTCCCTTCTGTCTTTAGCTCACGTGCCAAAGTATGCAGACCTGGATTTGCTTCTAGATGTCCTTTCTTCACTCACTCATTCCTCAGAGCTGTCTTCATGTGAGTTTGGGCCCTATTCTCATCTGCCCAATAGCAGTATTTTCTCCTAGGCCAGCAGCTTTCACAATGGCACAGCGACTGTTGTAGGACAGGAGGGGGCCACAGGTGTGGGGGGGGCTGGACCCCCTCCCAGGAAGGGTACCGATGGTTTCTCCTGATTTTCTGTATGACACTGAGGTTCCAGATTAGATCTTGTTTGGAGATAAAAAGAACCCTGTGTCCTACAAAAGGGACAGAAGGCAACAGAAAAGTTGGCTGGGAGCCAGGTTGGGCCCACACTCCCAGCCAGGGCCTGCAGCATCTTGGGTAGTCCTTGACCCACGGATCCAGGTATGAGTCAGGCTTGGATGTTTAGCTCCTTGGCTTCCGGATTGACACTTAGCTAGCTGCTCACCCATGCTCTCCTCTCTGCCAGCGGGCCAGGCAGTCCAGTTGGGGAGGGGTTGGTGTAGGCGTATGCATTGGGTAGAGACTTAATCTGGAAGCTGACTGAGGGCTGCTCTCAGCCAGTGCTCCTGGCAGCTCTGTGAAAACCAGCTGGCAGGCAAAGGAGCAGATGGGTATGGGCTGGGCCAGGCCTCAAGCATGGCAGTGCTCAGCGGACAGACATTCACTGGGGGAAATCCAAGTGATTATGTTTTTGTTGTGGAGTTGTGTCCAATGAAATTTGTCTGAATGAAAGAACCTTTGAATGCTCTAAGCAGGTGAACATAAGCTTACTCTGTAAAGGGCTGACAGTAAATATTTTAGGCCTTGTGTCCACATGGCTTTTGTTGGATGTCCACCTGCAGGGGCTGGAAACCTCCACCTGTGAGGTCTTCACCTATGGAATGTTTGAAGGAACAGGTGTCAGGGCCTCCTGTAGGGGTATTGTTTGCATAGTAGTGGGGACTCTTTAAGTTGACTGCTTATTAGCATACCAAGTTTATGTGGGATTATGGGATCCATCCCAGATGTGTGGTAAGAGATGGCCAGTTTCACAATAAACCATTTATAATTCAGTGGCTGTGGGCGATTACATGGCTGGGCTTGTTTCTAGACCTGGCTGGTCCTGGAGAATTCTTGACCAGTACCCTTGTTCATTAGTGAGGAGACTGGGATTTGGAGAGGCTAATAGTGAGCCCAGGGGGGGCAAAACTGGGTAAAAGGGCTGTACTCCAAACATCCCCAGTATGTGGTTGGTGCAAGTGCCAGCCTAAAGTATTCCCCGAATGGCATCACCCAGACTCTGTGGTCACCAGAGATGAGGAGCACTAACCCCCTGGAATGTGGTAGGTGCCCACTAGTGTCTGTTGAGCTGCTGAATTTGCTGGGAGCACATAAAGTAGCAGTTGTAGGCCTGCCATCATCTCCCACACATGGTCTCAGTTCCTAGGAAGGGGTGGTGTGTGCACAGGGGTTTTCTTCTGGTCTCCTAGTGATTCTGGGGTGGTGATAGGACAGATGGTTCTCAGAGACACTGGATGCACTGGGGCTCTCTGTTCACTCTGACCTCTGCCCAACAGACTGACTGGGTCAGGGTGAAATCAGAGATCTGTATTGTGAACTGTCACAAGTCAGGGCTAACAGATTTTAAGAAGTCTTCTTAGAAATAGTTAGAAATAAATAGTTTTTGGTCAAGTATCAGAATTATATGGCATTTGATTTAAGAAATCAGGTTAAGATTTAATGTGGAGTCATTACTGGGTAGACTTCTTAAATCAGTATGGCTGGTAAGTAGAGTTTTTTTCTTTTGCCTTTGTGGTTTTTTTTGTTTTTTTAAAGATAGGGTGTTGACATGAGGCTGAAGCCATCGTAGAACTCTGTGTAGCTCAGGGTGGCCCAACTTGTAATCCTCCTGCCTCCACCTCCCGAGTGCTTTGTCAATTTTTAATCAAATAAGGAAACTATTTACCTGAATTTAAAGTAATGGTGTGAATGTAGCCCTGCATGCTGTGTGGCTGACTGGGAAGGAGATGCTGGACATACTATCGCTGGTCATTATTCAGAAACATTTCATTCCATGGTTGGGGACAACTGTGGTCAGGAACTGCAAGAGACGTAGCTGCCATTTAGTGCTTATCATCATTGTACCAAAGTAAGGAAATCACTTGCTGTGACCATGGTGGGTCCTGGCATCTCTAGGCTGGACATAGGGTGTGTCCAGCTTATTCTCTGCTGTGTTCCAGGTCCAGCCTGTGTTGTACTCTGCTGCTTTTTGGTGGTGTAGTATGCTAAGCTTTGAATTCAGGGTCTTGCACCTGCTAGGCTGGTGCTCCACCTTATGAGTCACAGCCACAGGCCTTTTGGTTTTCATTTGTTTTCCAGATAGGGTTTGATGTTTTTAATCTGGGCCTGGCTTGTATTTTGACCTTCCTACCACCATCTTCTGAGTAGCTAGGATTAGAAATGTGACACACTGCCTGCTACTCTCTATTTCTTGAGGCCGACTTCTTCACCTCCATGTATAAGTCAGAACACGTGGTATTTGCCCTTCTGTGCCTGCCTTACCACACTTAACATAATATTCTCTAACTTCATACATGTCACAGCAAATGACAATGTCATTCTTTTTTATGGCTGAATATTCTTCCATCATGTATGTAATTCACATTTTCTTTGTCCATCTGTCAGTGGTCACCCAGGTTGAGCCTGCATCTTGACTATTGTGAGCAAACATGCCTGTGTTGCTGCCTCTTTCTGTATTGACTTGGGTCGTTGTAGGACTGCTGGGTCACGTGGGTTTATTTCTAGCTTTTGGAAGCACTGCCGTGCTGTTTTGCACAGTGGCTGTGTGGCTTGCCTTCACCACCTGCTTGGGAGCTGCTCTTCCTTTGTACCTCCATCTATTCATTTCTCCTCCCGATGACAGCATTGTCATTGAGGTGAGTCAGTGTCTTACCAAGATTTTGATCTACATTTCCCTTTACGTCTCATCTGCTTTAATGGAGATTTCAGGTCTGCGTACACGAGGGCCTGTGCAGTGCTGTAGGAAGTGCTGTGGTCCATCCTGAGAGAAGATCCCATGCCTCAGGACTTTGAGGCAGAGCCTCCCAGCCCTACATGTTTTAGGGGAGGGATTTGTGAACATGAAAGGTGTGTTGTAAGCCCCAGGGCACGAGGCATTGGGTTCAGACTTGTCCAGCCTGGGCCAGTCTCCTTCTTCACTGCTGCTCTCCACAGCTGAGTGTTTTGAGGCTTGTACTCACTGGAAGACTCACCCTGTTCACTTCTTCAACTTTCCTGGACTCGCCATGAGTGTGAGCAATGCTCTCATCACTGACTGTCACAAATGCTCCTGTACGCTTTCAGACACCCTGGTGATCCTTGGTCCTTGGCCTCTCCCCCTGCCCACAGCTGAGTGGAGTGGGATTTGAGTGAGGGGAGGGAATTAAGTACCCACATGCTGCCTGAAACTACGTGGGCAGGGGATGTGTTGAGGTGGTCACTGGAGGTGTCCCCTACACAGGTGCACTGCTTCCCTCACCTACCTGTGCACAACATTTCTTGATAGGAACTGCATGCTTATCTGTCCGTGTAGCCCTGCAGAACTCATTGTGTGTGAAAAGAATGAAGGGTGGATGGGGGCATGCAGTTTGTGCAAGAGCAGTCTTTGTGCCCTCGTGGCACAGGGTCAGTCTACAGAGGAGTGTGTTGTCAGCTTCCAGCTCACTGCTGTTTTGGTAGTTTGTAGTTGGTCTCTGCTCCGTGTGCTTTATTCTAGGGTCATAATAATAACATAATAAGATGTTTTATCTTAAACATCATCTTATGGGGTGCAAGCTGTCCCTCAGACATGAGCCTGTGTGGCATCTGAACAGGGTCCTGACACCCGTGGTAAACTTCATGGTGGCGGCCACCACCTGGTGCCTCTCATTAGGGCTTTTCTACAGTCACCACCACTAAGTCATTAAGGATGCATTATGACCAGGTGCTTAAATGGCAAACTGGGGTGCAGCCCATGAGGAGGCCCTGAGTTCGATCCCCAGTGCTACCACAAAACAAAACACGCATAAATGGATGCCCATACATTAATTCCAGCAGTATGAAGCCATGGCCCCTTACACAGGTTTTTCTCCCCTTGTGGTCACGTTGAGAGCCCGTATTCAGGGCTGAGTGTAGAGAAGCAAGCCCTGAAGCTCATCAGCTTTTCAGGCGCCTGGCACAAAGGCCTCAGCTGGCCTGTGGTGGGCACTTAGCATGCAAGTAAGTGAGCGAGAGCACAGTAAATGAGGGGAACGAGCAAGGTGCTGACCTCTCTACGGAAAGGCAGAATTGGCCCTCTTCCAGTTTTGTCTGAGTGCATTGCAGAGCACCTGCTTTTGTTTTTTTTGGGCAGGTGTTTTCCGTCTGGATGCTGGTTCTTTATACTGAAAAGGGTATGCACCTTGCTGTTCTCGATTAGCTCTGGTGGCTTTCCTGAGATTTAGTTCTGCTTTCCTTGAGATGGCAGATTGTCGTAGGTGGGTTGTGTGCCTCCCGGAGACTCTGTTTTGGTGTTTGGTGGATGTGCTACTAGGTGGGGACATTTTTCCCCATCTCGGAAGATTTGGGGAGGGACTGAGCGTGATAAAGTTTTATCAGTGATGATGTAATGAGTCTGTTGTCACCGATAAACATGGAGATGTGGAGAGGGAGACAGTAAAGGTTTGTTAGAGGTCAGGGAGAAAAGTCTCAGGCCATGCTGGGCCAGGTGCGAGTTGGAAGCAGACAGTGCCTTCCTCTTTACACGTGCTTTTAAAACCTACCCTGGCCTATGGGAAGGGGAGAACCTGGGGGCCCCTGGGCTGAGATGGGAGTGGTTTAAATTGTCAACCGTCCAGGTGTGAATAGCCTACATATACTTGCAGTTGAAAAGAAGGCTCAGAGAAAGGATGTTCACCCTGCAGTACAATATGAAGTCGTGTGTTTTAAGGGTCCTGACCTCTTCCTATTTTAACCTGCCTCAAGTCCACACAGCAAGGAGGTGGGTGGGGGCATGGGTGACTTGGGCTGTCCTAGAGACAAAGCTTTACATCATAGTCCTTAAAGCAGTTGGTCGTCTGGGTCAGGTCAGAGGTTCTGGTGATTGACTTTTCGCTTTTCATTCCAAAGGCAGATTGGGAGCGGTGCCGAGAAAAATTTCCTTACTAGATGACATTTCATCGCGATGTCCGATCGTTTGGGGCAAATAACCAAGGGCAAGGATGGGAAAAGCAAGTATTCGACTCTCAGCCTGTTTGACAAGTATAAAGGAAGATCAGTAGACGCAGTCAGATCCTCAGGTAAGGCCCAGGTCGAAGGCCAGTTCTTTCTTTCCTTGTGAGATCTCCAGACTGGCCTGGCAGTTACAGAGCCTTAGAAATCTGGATGCTGCTATAGCAGGATTATTTTCCCATCTGTTATTTCTTTGAAGCCTCAGACACTTTTGGCCTGATGGGTGGAGTAGAACTTAGTTTGCATTAGCATTAGCTACCCTGTTTAGGTTTCCTGTGTCTGACGTCGCAGAACCTGGTACTCAAGTATATCTTATTACACCCGAGGCCTTGGAGGGGTCCTGCCCAGGCTTTGCTTGGAGCTAGACACCCTGGGATGAAGCCAGAGCCTTCCCGTGCGGGGTGGTCACTGTGTGGAGTGGGCTTTCTGGGCCTGGCTCCTCACTGTCATAAGCTTCCTGCTGCTGCTGCTGGTGGTAGAATGGGAGCCTCTGTGCAGATTCCAGTAGCCCCTTTGTCTCTGAGGTCCTGGGTGGAGAGCCCACAGGGGCTGAACAGACTGCAGGGCACTTGGCTTTGTTTGCCTGGCTCTGTCCTTCTCCCTCAGTTGAGTGCAGGGTGAACTGGCCTCTGTACTCTTGTGACTTTGCTGTGTGGTATCTGTCCGTCCTCTTTTCCCAGCAGTTATTCCTCGACATGGCTTACAGAGTCTCGGGAAAGTTGCCACGGCCCGACGTATGCCACCGCCTGCAAACCTGCCAAGCCTGAAGTCTGAAAACAAAGGAAACGACCCCAATATCGTGATAGTACCCAAGGACGGGACGGGATGGGCCAACAAGCAGGACCAGCAAGACCCAAAGAGGTGAGCAGCACAGAGGGTGAATAGCCGGCCAAGTGGGGCTGGGGCAGCAGAGGGGGCTCCCAGTGACCTTCGCTTGGGCAGGAGGCAGTGGGAGAGCTGGGGAGTGTGGACACACCGATGATGATTTGTTCTCGACTCCTGTTGCTTAGTGTGCTCCTTGCTCCCTACCTTCATGTGTTTTAGCTTTTGGAGCTCTTATGGCAGTGTTTCTGTGGGGCCAGCAACCTTGGCGAGCCCCTTGGACGGGAGCCCTCCTTCTACTGCGAGTCTTCTCTGACCGCTCCGGCTGGTGTCCAGGGAAGAATATTTGTCTGGGAGGGGCTCAACAGGCAGAAAGCCGCTTCTGGGGTTACTGCGTAGGGAATGAGAGCAAGTTTGCCCTCTTGCCCTGGCATTGTATTCTCTTCTTGCTGAGGTGGGAGGCCAAATGGCAAAAGTGACCCAGAATGCAGTCTGCCACCTAGTGTCTAGCCTCTGCTGGAAGTGGCATGTCAGACAGGAGGTAGAGGAAGCAAAAAATCCAGCCAGATGATGATGCAGCAGAAATGTCTGTAGTGGGTCCTGAAAGTTCGTTTCTCTAAGTTTGCTTAGGGATCTGGGTGGGACTGGTGTGACCTTTGGAATCAGCCCTGTGTGGGTTTTGCAGCCCTAGTGTTTATTGGCTTGATGGACCTGGAGAATTACTTTACTCTGAGCCTGTGCCCTCCCTTGAAGCAGGAGCAGTCCCTGGCCGCAGGGGTGGTGATCAGGAATCCATGAGGGACCCATGGGATGATAGGGGCTGCCACAGAGGAAGGCGTGGCACACATCAGCTGTTGTTGTTACACTCGAATGGCACATGCTCCAGCTCTGTAATGAAATGGATATTGCATGTCTCAGTGGGAACTCTGAAATGCCTCTGCTTCCAAAATTCTAGAGAAGAGGACAGAAAGCATCCCTCCTCCTCCTGTCCAGTCTTGCAGCATGGCATAGAAGACACCAGGCATCTGGCCTGGGTGAGGGCCAGGAGGTGAGGAAGCAGTGGTGGAAAGCAGTGGGACTGAGTGGGGCTCAGTGCTTAGGTTTGGGGAACCTAAGAGGTGCCACTTCCTGGAAGCTTCTGTTTTAGGCAGAAGGTGATGGAGAGAAGGACCAGTGGCTTTCATTTAGTCATGGCCACAAATGGTGAGTGACTTGGGTCAGTGACTTGGAGCAGTGTGTCTGTGGAGAGTTTGGCCTCAGCTCACAGATAAGCCTCTGTATGGATGGCTTCTTGCCAAGTGGATAGCTGCCCTCAAGTCTGCTGAGTGGAAAGTTGAATAGAAAGTGACTGGAGCCTGGTGCTGGTGGCTTGTAATCCCAGCTACTTGGGAGGCTGAGAACTGAAGGATTGCAATTCAAGGCTAGCCTAAGCAAATAATTCACAAGACCCCATTTCTGAAGATGACCAGAGCAAACTGGACTGGAGGGTGTGGCTCAAGCAGTAGAACACCTGCTTTGCAAGCATGAAGTGGAGTTCAAACCCTAGTCTCACCAAAAGAAGAAGAAGAAAAAGACTGGAAGGGAGCTGAGTGTGGCGGCATGTTCCTGTAATCCCAGCCACACAGGAGGTGAAGATGGATGGGATGAGGTCTAAGATTGGCCCACGCAAAAAGTGCAAGATCCTATCTGTAAAAAAAAACCATGAAAACCAGAAAAGGCTAGGAGCATGGCTCCTGTAGTAGAGCGCCTGTGTAGTGAGTTTAAACCCAGTGTTGTCATAAAAAAAAAAAAGAAGAAGAAGAAAGTGACAAGACAGTGCACTGGAGGCTGTGTCAGAGAAGAAGCCTCCACTTGGAGCCTTTCCCCTTGCCCTTTCAGGACATCATCGACTGGCTACTTTTTTAGGGAGGGCATCTTGGCAGTTTTTCTTCAACTGAAAACTCTTACGAGGCTGGGAGTGGTAGTGCACACCTGTGATCACAACACACACAAGGCTGAGGCAGGGGGATTGGCCAATTCATTGGGGAGTTCAAGGCTAGCCTGGGCTGCCTAATGAGGCCTTGTCTCTAAAAACAAAACAAAACAAAAAACATCTTTTGATCCAGCAGTTACATTTCTAAGATCATATAGAGTGTATGAAAACTTGTATGTATGTAAAATGCTCTTTGTGGTTTTATCTGTAATGGAGAAAAAAAGACAAATTAGAGATTAAAAGTGACAAGTCATGCAATTCCATGGATGGACTAGCCTACTTGTACTAGAAAAATACATTAAGAATATGTCTAGGAAAATCTGCATATGTATCTGGAGGATGAGATTGTGATGAGTTCTGTGAGATGCATGTTTATAAATACATTTTTCCTTTGAGCATGTATTTATTTTATGAGCCAAGAGAATGTAGAAAATCTGTTCAGACTCCATCCAAGTAGTTACCCTGAGTAGGTGGGGGCTGCGTTTGGGAGTAAGGGGCTCAGGACCCTCCTGACTTGGTTTCCCCATTAGCAGATCCTCCATTGCTTCCATCCTGCTTGCTGGCAGTGAACTTCAAGTTTTGCAGACAGATCCTCTCCAAGAAGGCTGCAAACTGCCTTGTCCTGTGAAATGGCCAGTGTCTGAGCCCAAACGTGGTTCAGTTTCTTGATGTGCATCAATCTGTAAGGGACAGTTCTTTTCACTGACCTGCAGGGGCCTTGTGCCCAGTGAGCAGTTGCCCACTGTGGCTCCTGCAAGTGCAGGGCCTCGTCAGATCCACGTGCTGTTTCTAACCCCACTGTGCGTCTGCCTCTTTCAGTTCCAGTGCAACGGCCTCTCAGCCGCCGGAGTCGCTGCAGCAGCCGGGTTTGCAGAAATCTGTCTCCAATTTGCAGAAGCCGACACAGTCAACCAGTCAGGAGGTAGGTACTGGGGACCCCATCCAGGCTTTCTTGTCCACTGTAGTCCCTCACACATCCTTATTTTGGGGTGGGGAGTGCATTTTTGCATGACCTGTGTACCCCAGAGGCAAATCTGATGAGGGACTGGAAGGAGCTCATGAAAGTGTTGTGGTCCCTTGGAAGAAAGTTAATCTGCAGATTTGGAGAAAGACCTTAGGAGCAGAGTGTAATACAGGCACCTGCTTTGGTTCCTACTGGTTTGCCTTGGGCAGGGTCACTCAGGCTGAATGCAGGCTGTCCCTGAGTCCCCAAATGAGTTCTGTGAGATACAAGAAGTGTCAGGCTGCAGAGAGGTCCGGTTGTGAGGTGAGTCTGCAAACCAAGATTAAGCAGACTCATCAGTACTTCACTGATGAGTACCATAAGTCTCCAGGGAGAGGGTGTAATGGATGACATCCCCACGTTGATGTGTCCTGGGAAACCTTTCTTACCTCCACCTGAACATCTAAGCACTAATGTGCCTCAAAAGACATTTGGGGAACAGCCAAGCCATAATCCTTCATTGTTGAAAACCATGATTTAACCCAGCAAGAGCTCATAGTACATTTGGTCCATCAGAGTAGCTACAGGTTTGCAGAGATCTGCAGGAGGATGTACAGGGCTGGTAAGTCTGTGACGTTTTTAGAAGACGAGGAGCTGTTGACATAGACACCTGGTGGTCACCAGCTCTTAACAACTTGATTTCGAGCCACGCTAGGTCTGAAAGGCTTTCCTTGTCTCTGTAGCTGGATTTGTCTTTGGCTTTGCCAGGCCCACTCCCCAACACTGCTTTTGAAATTGAAAACAGGGAAAGAGGCTCCTATTCTTGTCAGACTCCGTATTCAGTGATCTAAATCCCCTGTGGCCCTCTGGAGATGGGTTTTTACTCATGTGGAGGGGGAAGGAGAGACCCCCATGATTTGTGACTTTTAGATCATCTCGGGAATGACAGCTGTTCTGGTGGATGCAACTCACCAGCAGTGTTAGTACTGTTCTTGGCCCTCTAGGCATCCTCCAGGTTAGTGCCCCTGGACGAAGGGGGGGCACTCCTAGGGCTGCAGATACAAGTCAGGGGTGGGATTGCAGTGTTGGGGAAAGCAAGACTAGACCCATTTCTCCTTGGCTTGCTGCTGGGTCTGAAGGGTCTCCAGGCAATTAAGGGACCTGTTACGTGGCAGGCAGGTGGGTTATTCCTCTTACGCTGTGTGGGAGAGACCTGCAGGCATTGCAGGCCACCTAGGCAAAACCCTCAGAGCAGTGCAGGTCAATAAAGGCTCTGGTCAGTCCTGCGTGAGAGGCAAAAGAGGTAGTTCTCTGTGGGGAGGAGCACGTGGACCCGGAGGGAAGGGGATTATTAGTCTGATATCTCATCCAGTGAGTGAGGAAACTGATGCTGCATCAGTTGCCTTCTGCCTTGACCCAGTGTGGCTGGAAAAGGCACAAGTGCTCTGTGGTTGGGGAAATGAGGGCATTTTGGACATGCGTGGCCTGGGGACAGGTCCTATCTATCACCCTTGCTGGGTGTCTAAGTCAGTCACTCCTCATTTGGAGCCTGATCAGACCTTCCCAGGGCATGGGGAGATTGGTCAAGCTGGGTGTGCCTAGCAGCTTGCCTGACCTTCGTAAGCTCTCAGCAAAGGTTGTCTGTAGGGCTGAGGCCAAAACAGGAAGTTCAGATGAGTAGAGAAGGAAGGCCTCTTGTGGGAGTCAGACTTTGTAGAATAACAGTAATTATAAGAGGTGCTGCAGCCAGCCCCGGGGAAGATCACACACAGTGGATTTCCTGTTTGGCTCCTTGGTTAACATTGGCACACTATTTGAGATGTGCTGGAATTGGAGTTTGGCTTTCGTGTCTGGAGCGAGACAAAGTAGTTAGGTGTGGGCAGATGGACAAACTGACCACATCACAGAGTGCAGCATTAGGGCAGCATGGGTTTTGATTTCGCTGTGCCTGATAAGCTGTGCTGTTGTGAGTCTGTCACGTCTGGTCCTGGTCCTTGCCTGGGGTGCTGCTCCCAGAATGGTGCTGTGTGGAAAGCTCCTGTGCTCACTGCTCTACCTGCAGAGACCAGCATCTAAGGGGCAGCCTCTTAGTACTGGGATGGAGCCCAGGGCGTTGCACATGCTGCTGAGTCCCCGTCTCTCAGTGCCATGTTCCAGCAGGCTCAGTTGTTGTACAGCAGACGGTCTCAGCTGCTTTCCTTGTGTCCTTCTTTCAGAATACAAATTCAGTGCCAGGTGGACCAAAGTCATGGGCACAGCTGAATGGAAAGCCAGTAGGACACGAAGGTGGTAAGTGTGCATGTGGTCCGGGGGGTGGGAGGAGGAATGAGTCCTTTTCTACGCTGTTCTGGTGGATCTAGGGACCTCAAAGCGATGGGATCTTTTGGACAGAGTGTTTATGTTGGTATCACCCTTACTTTTGTGGTGGGGGTGGGGGTGTTGCTGGTTCTGCCAAGGCTACTCTTGGATCTCAGTGGTTTGTTCTGAGGCAGTCCTGAGGCACAGAGGAGTCCTGACATGACCCTGTTTGCCTTTCACTGGGCTGTACTGCTGGTGGATTTAGTCCCTGTGTGGTTTTGGGGATGACACCCAGCTGCTCCTTCCTCCTGGGATCACAAGGAGGATGTGTCAAGTGGTATGGCTTTGTCCCCCAGGCTTGGGTCTGTGAGCCCCCAGGCTAGGGGATCAAGCAGCTACCTTTGGATGTTAACCCCAAAGTATACAGAGTGTTGGGTGGTATTTGTTCCTGTTACACAGGAATCTCTTGGAAAACATGGTCTGTTGTGCAGAGTAGTTAAATTGGAGAGCAGTAAAAAAAATGGGCTGAAGGAAAATATGTTCAAAGTCAAAATAAATAAGTACCAAGCAACTGCTTAGAATGGGATGACAGGTTGCAGTAGCTTCCAAAGCAAGACCAGAGAGGTGAAGTGGTTTAGGCATTCCTGCACAGATAGGCACCCTCTCCCTCTACCCTGGTTCATAAGCCCCATTTCAACCAATAGCTGGGTGTGTGCCTGTCATCCCAGCTGCTGTGGGAGGCAAAAAAGGAGGATCACAATCCAGGCTGGCCTGAGCAAAAAGGGCTGAGGGCATGGCTCAGGTTGCAGAGTACCTGCCTAGCAACATGAAGCCCTGAATTCAAACCCTAGTTCTGCCAAAAAAAAAAAAAAAAAAAAGTTTGTAATGCTGAAGAATGGCAGAATGATGTGGTGAATGAAACCACATCAGGAGTACCCTGTTGGCCTTGCGAGGCTGGGGGAAGTTTACAGGAGGGGTGATCACAGTGGGCAGGTGGTCAAGGAGATACTTGGAGCTCAGGCAGCAGCTTTGAGGGAGGGAGTGTCTGGTGGGTTTGCCGTGCATGACAGCAGCTGGCTTTCTGTGCTGGTTTTTATTTTTCTCTTTGTACTAAGGTTTTTTTTTTTTTTTTTTGTCTGTGTGTGCGTGTTATTGGGGTTTGAACTCGGGGCCTCACGCTTGCTCTACCACTTGAGCAATTTCCCCAGTCCTTTGTGCTTTAGTATTTTTCGGATAGGGTTATAGGGTCTTGTGTTTTTGCCTAGGGCAGGCCTTGGACTGAGACCCTCCTATCTATGCCTCCCCTGTACCTGGGATCACTTCATGCCCAGCTTATTTGTTGAGATGGGGTCTCACTCACTCTTGGCTCAGTCTGGCCTTGACCTGTGATCCTCCCAATCTCTACCTTCCGAGTAGCTGGGATTACAGGGGTGAGCCACTGCCCCAGTTAGATTTTTTTTTTTTTGGCAGTACTGGGGTTTGAACTCAGGACCTCATGCTTACAAGGCAAATGCTCTCCCACCTGAACCACCAGCCCTGTTTTGTGTTGGGTATTTTCAAGATAAGGTCTTAAAAGATTACTTACCTGGGGTGTCTTTGAGCTGTGATTCTCTTGACCTCCACTCTGAGTAGCTAGGATTACAAGCCACTGCCGCCCGGCCCTAGTTTAGACTTTTTTTAAACTAGTTTGTTTTTTTTGTTGTTGTTGTTGTTTTTTTGGTGCTATATTGGGGATTGAACCCAGGGTCTTATGCATGCTAGGTAAGTGTTCTATTACTTGAGCTATGCCTCCAGTCTCCAGGCTGATCTTAGGGTTGGGGAGACTGCTGCCCAAGGCAGGCAGGAAGACCAGCCTGACTTGTAGGAGTGGAGAAGGATGTGGACTGGAGCAGCTGTGACATTCTGCCCTTTGCCCTTTGTGACCCCCTGCTGCTTCCCATCCCAGGGGACCCTAGGGCTGCATGCCAGCACAGCCACCCCTGAGCAGAGCTCACTTGGAGCCACTTCAGGCTGTGTGGCTTCTCTGGAGCTGGGAAAGAAGGCACAGGGTGATGGCTGTCTCATTTGCTCCCTGTGTCTCCGGCTTCTTTTCAGGTTTAAGGGGCTCAAGCCGACTCTTATCCTTCTCTCCCGAGGAATTTCCGACGCTGAAAGCAGCCGGAGGGCAGGACAAGGCTGGCAAAGAAAAGGGCGTCTTAGATCTGTCGTATGGGCCAGGACCAAGCCTCCGCCCCCAGAGTAAGTGAATGGCAGCTTCGTCCTCAACCCTCACTGGGCAGGACAGCACCCTTTCTGTCTCTCTCTATTTGCACCGGGGGGCCAAACCTGCTGAGTTCAGGCAGCTGAGTGGGGAGAAAGGTGGTTGGGCCTTTACTGGATTGGCATGCCTGCTGACTGCCTCCCTGGACCCTCCTCTCTGTTGCCTTTCTTATTTCCTGAGTCAGGTCAGGCCTGTCCCTTTCCTATTTTTTTTGTGCAGTTGTTGCTTTTGCTGAGAAGGACACACAAAGGGCCAGTGAACTTGATGAAGTCCCTGATTCTGTAGCTTGTTCACTTGGCCAGTGCTTCCCAAACCCCGCTGTTTCCTGTTCCCCACTGGCAAGTCAGGGTTCCAACCCACTCTCCCTTATCCTCACCACACTAGAATACACCCTGGCGGCTGGCCAGGGTCTAGAGTCCTGGTGCACTGCGTAGTACAAGTGGTCTTCCTGGAGGCCTGGAGTGTTGTGTTCTTTGGGTGTGGTGTTCTGTTTGCTCTGACCAGGACTGCTGAATGACCTCCTGTGAGGGGCTCTCATTAGCTTGTCTTGTTCAGTCCCCAAGCCTCTGTACTGATGGTGCTGGTGCCAGGGCAGAGCCCATGACCTGTAAGCTGAAGGATCACCATGGCTCTCTAGGGAAAACTCTTCTGCAGGGGCCTATGCTTTCCTCCAAATTTATATCAGGTTGTGTAGGCAGAATTATCTCTTTCTGGGATTAAGACAAGTGGTCTTGTAGGGCTATAAAAATTTGGAACTAGAAACAGTGTCTAGGATCAACTCTCCTCATTTGAGAAGACAGGAAGCAGATAGCCTGGGGTGACCTCAATTTGCCCAGAATCACTCAGTAAAGTAGGAGCAGACTGCTTGCCTGGCTCTCATCCTGGTCTTTTGGGGACTTTGCAAATGTGGGGACCTTTCATGTTTCTACTCCTCACCAAAACTAGCCTCAGCAGAGTCTGGCTCGTACATTCCTCTTCGGCCCATACAGTAGTTCCCACTGTCCACGGTTTTCTCTTTCCATGGTTAGAGTTCTGTGTAGCCAACCACATCTGAATAACGTATGGTGATCAGAAAGGTGAGGCACAGTCACAGAATTTATATGTAATTGTTACAGTTGCTCAGCTCTTGCTGCACCTGCTTTAGAAATCAATCTTTTTCATTCTGAAGTATGTATAAGAAAAAACATGGTATATATAGAGGATGGTATGCCCACAGTTTCCAGCATCCACTGGGGGTCACATCATGGCGGAACTTGCTCTAGTTTCATTGTGCATCAGGTGCTGATGTTATGCTGACCCTGCCAGGGTGGGGTCGGTGTTTGTTGAAGGACTGTCACGTTTCTCTGGGTTGTACCATCTGTGGGTCTGTATGATTTCTATTCAGAGAGGAAGCTGCATTTTATTGCACTTGACTGCTTTCTGGGCCCTTCTGGTTTTATGTTTCTCTGGCAATTGACTTCTCTAAACAAGATCATTTACCCCACTAGCCAGGTATCCATCCACAACCTTACCTGACAGAATTACCAGCCCGTTGACTTCGGGTTTTATGTTTTTGTTGTGGGCTTTTTTTTTTTTTTTTTAATTTTAATTTTTTGGTGAGTGAGGGGGTCCCTTGACCTTCAGAGCCTCATAAATCCCTCCCTCCCCCTCCTTTTCCCTCTCCCCTGTTGCCCCCTTTCAATTTCCAGATGTGACAAGCTGGAGGGAGGGCGGTGGGCGAAACATAATCTCTGCCACGTCTCTGAACGCCTCCCCAACTGAGCTGGGCAGCAGGAACTCAAGTGTGGGAGACGGAGCCCCTTCCTCGGCCTGTACCAGCGATTCTAAGGACCCCTCTCTCCGCCCGGCTCAGCCTGTCCGGAAAGGGGCTTCACAGTTCATGGGAAATGCGTACCACCCACCTGCATACCATGATATGCTGCCTGCTTTTGTAAGTCTTCAGAGTGCGCTTCCCACGCAGTTGGATGGTTTGCTGCCAGCAGAGCCCAGCTCGGGTGGAGTGCCCACCTTGGGTTCTCCTTCCCATGCTCGCTCTGCCCTGCCAGCCTGATTTGGAAATTTTCAGTACATTTGTGTTTTCTCTCCGTCCTGTATAAATTGTACGGGCCTCTGACTTCTTTCCCTGGTGACTTGATGTTATTTTAGCCTCGTTGGTTCTTCAGAAAAAGGAAGGCAGGTGTTCCCTGACACAGTTTCCAAACTTACTGATAGCAGGGAAGAAATGGGCAATGTGGTGGGACTCATCAGGAGCTACCAGCCTTTCCTGCTTTTCCACTTTCCAAAACAAACTCTAACTTCAGTAGAGCTTGGAATTTGGGCCATTGCCAGAAACGCCTGTTCATTGATGTCATGTTTCAGATGTGTTCGCCACAGTCATCAGAGAACCAGGGCACCGTGGAACGAGGCTCTTTCCCCCTTCCTCAGCTCCGCCTGGAGCCCCGTGTTCCTTTTAGACAGTTCCAGATGAACGACCAAGATGGGTAAGACTGTGGCACTGCTGGTGTGTGTACAGTGACTCCTAGTGGTGATGCCTGAGGTGTGTGATAACTGATGAGTGAAAGTGTTCTGTGCCTGGAGACCACAGAGAACCTAAAAGGCAACTCAACACCACAGGCTGTGTAGGGTGGCCTGGGTTTGGGGCTGGAAAGGAGCTTGGGTCCAGTTTCAGGTTTGGGTAGTCCTGGAGTTTGGCTGCTGCATGTTGGGTGGTAGTGGGAACTGTGGGATGAGGTTGAGTTCCCTCTGGGCTGTGTTGATTTCTTCGTTGTGTGTTTCCTTTAAAAGAAAGTGAGGTAGTGCTTGCTTCAGCAGCACATGTACTAAAATTGCAATGATACAGAGGAGTAGCATGGTCCCTACACAAGGGACCATGGTTTTTTCATATTTAAAAAACCAAAAGGGAAAGTGATGTAAATATTATCTCAAACACCAGTCTGGAGTGTAGAGCTTACTCTTGGAAGTGTTTGATTCTGCTTCCATCCTGACACTTGTGAGTTCATCACCCTTACTTTTCTCTCTTACCAGAAAAGAAAGCAGGTTGGGCTTGACTCGCCCAGTCCGCCCACTGAGGCAGCTGGTGGAGCGGGCGCCTCGGCCCACCATCATCAATGCAGAAAACCTGAAGGGCCTCGATGATCTGGACACTGATGCAGATGACGGCTGGGCAGGTGGGTGTGTGGGCATAGGTGGGCAGGACAGGAGTCCTCTCTGGTCACCAGGGGCAGCATCCCTGTGACACATGGTAGGTTTTCCTTGCACAAGACAGGAGTAAAGACCCAGGGCTGGGAGCTGCTTCCATTCCCTGGGGATCCTCATTTGCATTCAGATTAGAGGTGACTCCCTGGTCTTAAAAAGAACTTTTGGAAATTACAGATGTGAACACCCATACTTGATTAAGAGCTTTCTCGTTGTTATCGTTCCAGGGTTCAAAGCCAGGGCCTCTCACATGCTAGGCAAGTGCTCTGTGATAAGCTACGTCCCAAACCCTAAGAACTTCCCTTTTTCTGTTTCTTCTTTTTGGAGACCACGACTTGCTTGAACCCTGTCCTCTTTCCTTGGTCTCCTGAGTTCTGGGATTAGAAAGATACACCACCACACCTGACTTTATAAGCACTTTAGACAATGGGAATTTAAAGAAAACATACTGGAAGGAGGTGCTCCCAACAGGCTATCACCAAAATAACTAGAGCAAAAAGGACTGGAGGTATGGCTCAAGCAGTAGAGTGCCTGCCTAGCAAACTCAAGGTCCTGAAGTCAAACCGCAGTGCCACCAAAAAAAAAAAAGAAAGGAAGCACCAGTGTTCCATTGCTCTTTTGTCACTACCCTCTCCCCTCTCCTCCTGACCAAGTTTTTGTTTTCATATAAACTTTAATTACATTGAGAAACATGTGTTTTACTTAATAATTTAATTTTTTTTTGATGGCCCTGGGGATTGGCTGCATGCTAGCATGTGTTCTGATGGTGTGTTCTGACAGGTGGGTACACTACCATGTGAGGACATAGACCAGAGTCCACATTGCCAGATGCCCCTCATTGAATTCCCCAAGGGCGACCATACTCCTCCCAAGGGTTTACCCCTCTTCTGAGTGGTTTTGCCTCTTACAGAACTTTAAATGAATGGGTTCAGATAATTTCTACTCTTGATGTTTTTGATATTCATCAATATTGTTGTGTACACCAGTAGTTTCTTTCAAGTTTGAGACATACTGCAATGTATCAATGTACTTGTTTATCCATTCAGAAGTCTCATTAACTATGGTATCTACTGATGAGCACCTGTCTAGCAAGTGCAAAGTTCTGAGTTCAAACCCCAAAACCAGAGGGAGAAAAAAAAAGAATCTTCATGGGCCTGTAGCAAGGCTCAAGTAGTAGAACACCTGCCTAGCAAATGTGAGCTGGAGTTCAACCCCAGTACTGCAAATAAATAAAGAAATAAGTAAAATTAAAAAGAAAAAGCATACTTTCTTCAGGCTGGGTGCAGTGGCTTATGATTCAAGGGCAGCCTGGGCATAAATAGGTAGCAAGACCCCATCTAAGCAAATAAGCGGGACCCCTGACTATGCTCTCCAGCTATGCGGGAGGCCAAAAAACGAGACCCTAGCTAAAAAATGACCTAAAGCAAAAAGGGCTGAGGGTGTGGCTCTGTTGCAGGAATCAGAAGCTGAGTTACAGGACACTGAGGCAATTAGCAGGAAGCAACGTTTTATTGTGCTGGCACAGACCCAGCCCACTCATGTCCAAAGGCTGAGCCACGAGAACAAAGGGGTCTCACCAGATATACCCTTGCAAGCAGGTTACAGAAGCAAAAAGCAAGGTCTAATCTGTATATGGTTATATTCAATTCTATAGGCTACTTCACCCTAATGCTATGTGACTTTCCCCGTCCCCAGTGCTACCTGACCGTCTCCATGTTCAGATCCCTCAGGTTTTATCGCTCTGCTATGCCATCCCTACTCCCTGCCACGTTATCAGAACTCAGGCCTAGTCTGTTTTCTGATCCTCCTCCCTGCTACAATATTCCCTCCTTTGATGCTCAGACCCACTCAGGATCAAAGAGCATCATCTTTGACCAAAATCATAAATTTTCCACAAACTCCTCCCTCAGAAGCCAGCAAATAGTCTAAAGCCAGGCGGTTCTGATGGATGGCGTTGCACATCTTAGTGCTTTGGCAGCAAATCCAGAGCTCTTGCAGTTTCATTAGTTATAATTTTAACAACAGCCTGCAGCCTGATGATGTGGTTGAGCATATATGTACATAGGGGTGCGATAGCCTCAGGACCCGTCTTCTGCCCGAGTGGCAGGACCATAGTACTGGGTGAATCGCTCAGGAGGCCACGCATCATCTTGCCAGTTGCCTATTCGTAAGGCACCCCGTTTTTGTCTACTTAATCTTTCTTCAGATATGGGGACTCCCAGTTTTTCACCTTGTCTGAGGGGAAGCAAGAAAAAGGATGGTCTGATTGAGCCTCGAACGCAAGACCCAAACCAGCTGCTAGGCAGCACCGTATAAACTTGCATCCCACAGATCCAATACAGCCCCCCTGGGTGCCCGCCAGTCTGTGTTTGCAGTAAGATTGTCCAAACATTTCCTGAAATGAGGGAAGCTGGCCAGTGGGTGGGGCTGGGGTTCTGTGTGGTTTGGAGCTCCCCACCATTGGGTCTCTTGGGCGGTGTCATTGCAAAACTTCTGTCCTAAATAAGTTAAAGCCCCCACCGAGGCGGAGAATTGGCCTTCTGGGTGGGAGATACAGTAAGTCCCGATGATGGACGTCTTTAGGAGCCAGACACCTTTCCTGTGTTTTGGGAAGGCAGTCTCATTAAAAGTCTCCTGGGGATGCAGCTCCCTTGCTTCCCAAGGCCAATGGTCTCCCATGTTGGTCCCCCCCAAACATAGCACGAAGTGGCATTCAGTGTCTGGGCTACAGACTCAGCCAGTGAGAGGAACAAGTTTTTGGCCTTGGCAGAGATGGGAAAGTCACTCCTCATCTCCTCATAAAAGGAGTGAAAAACTTGGTGTGAGGAACTCTCATGGGTAACGGTTACTAATTTGAGGTGCATCCGAGTCCCAGGGTCGAGGCTCTTTCCATCTGTCCTTATGCTAATTTTACGTCCCCGTGTCCAACCGGATGGCTGAAGTACAGTGAAGTTTACAGGGTTCCAGGTGCCAGGGGTGCAGTCAGGGGCAGCTGTCCCTTCGTGAAGGAGGGCTGCCCGCTTAGCCCTCTGCCATGTGGCCCAGGAGACACAACCCCAGTAAGGGCAATAATAAGAACCCACGTCATCACAGGGCCAGGAGTTGTCTCCCCGCACATACACTTACCATGTGACGTGCAGGCTCTTTCTCAAGTCACGCCTCCACGCCCACAGCCTGGACCTCCACCCCCACCGTGGTCTATGGCCGCACGTGCATCAAAGCGCTGCCGCTGCTTTCTCAGGGCTAAAAGCCTGGGTGCGGCTGACGAGGTCCCAGGGTTGCGGGTGCTCCTGGTCTCTAACCATTGCTCCCGGGGGCGATAAGCGGGGTTGAAGCAGATCTGCTGCTTACCATGGGCGCACACGAGATAGATGGTGTGGTTGCGAATGCACGACCCGATGACAGAGCCTGCACAGGAACAGTAAGTATGGAGAAGCACCGTCCCAGTGACAGCACTTCCTGCCTGAGTAGTGTGCATACACAGGGCCCAGGAGGAGGGCTCTGAGACCACGAAGGGAAACCACCTCAGTAACAATAAACGGTCATTATGCATCCTGCCCAAAAGAGGCAGAAGAGAGCTAATAAAAACCTTTCGCCGTGAGTCCGGTTGGCAGGTGTGGTTTCTGCCGAGCTTATGGCGAAGACTCGGGTAAGAACTACAGCAAGGGATACAGACACGGGGTGACAGTGCAGTACAGTGAAGTAACCGGTGTGGAAAACAGTCCGTTTGTGCCTTTGGAGAGTCGACTCCTCAAGCTTCTGCTGTGTGTAGGATGCTCAGCTTCCGCAGGTGACTAGAGCAGGGCTGTCATCTCGCGGTGTGTGGTCCCTGGTTGTTTCCTGGGAAGCGAGGGAGGGCACTCAGGTTTCAGAGGATGATCTACGTGGTGAAGCCGGATCAGGGATGCATTTCCACTTGAGAGAAGCTGGCTTGACCCGACTGTGATGGATCCAAGGAGCAATCTCTGCTACTTTAACTGTAGGAGGGATAGACAAGACAACAACAAAGGGCTCCTCTAATGGGGTTTTACTGGGTGGACATTTCACTTTATTCTTTTACCCAGACAATGTCTTTTTTTAAAATATATCATCAGCATATATGTCCAAGAAAACGTGTTGTTTAAAAAAAATTATAACCATCTTTAAACATCAAAGGACATATTTAGAGCAAGTAAAAATAGTCATTTTGTCTCTATTTAAATAGAAGACCCTGTCTAAAAAATGAGTGTGTCTGGAAGGGCTTTAATGCCAGATAGCCACACATGCATAAGAAGCATTTCCTCAGTCCTTTTGGCCTTGGTTATTTTTGAGAGGTCTGACACTAGTGACTGCATTGGAACTTAGATGGCATTCTGCCCTTTGTCTCCAAAGTACTTGTCTCTGACCAGTCTCCTCTGAAGATCTGTCTCCCATCCAAGTACTAACCTGGCCTGACCCTTTTAGTTTCTGAGACCAGACGCTTGCCCTGCTTCCTAAACCTGAGAGACTTGTTTTCACCCCAGATAGGGTTACTGGGAGGGGGAGGGTGTCCCCTGGGAAGTGATCAGTCTCCCCTGCTGCCTTCTGAGGCAGAACCCTAGTTCTTCGGCAGTCCTCCCCTCCCCTCACTGGTTCCTGTGCCTCACTGGGTTCCGTTGTGCATCCATTTGTCAGTGTTCACAAAGAGCCTGTAGGCATGTGGGTTAGCATAGTGTTGTGTTTGTACCTGGATAGATGAGGGATCCAGGGCCCTGGAGAGCCTCTGCTAGGCCTTTCACTTCTCTCAGCAATGTCTGTAGCCCTCAGTGGAGAGACCTGAATGTCCTCTGTTTAATTGCATTCATGAGTAAGGCGGGACCACCCCCCACCTCCCACTCTCCACCCTCCAAAAATGCCAGGAGTGGTGGTTTACACCTATATTCATTCCTACCTACCGAGCTAGGAGGAGGATGTTTCTGTGCTCAAGAGTTTGAGACCAGCCTGGTCAACAAAGCAAGACCCTGTCTCTTAAACAAAAAAATCCCCAGGTATTTTATGTTACAGATGCTAGTACAAATGGTATTGATTTAAAAAAATACTCATTTTTCAAGTGTTTGGTGTTTTTTTGTTTGTTTTACAAATATAGCTGAGTTTTGTGAATTGATCTTGTACTGGTCACTGCAGAACATACTCATTAGTTTCACTAGTTTTTGTAGACTTGGGATTTTCTGTGTAAAGACTCGTGTCACCTGTGACTAGGGAAAGTTTTGCTGCTTGAGTGTATGTCTTTTTTTTTCTTTTTCTTGTCCTCTTGCAATGTTGGGTTCAAGTCTTTTGCTTTTGGTGGAGTGTCACTGCTAAGACTGATGTTGGCTGTGGGTTTTTGTAGCCACTCTTTATGAGGTTGGGGAGGGTCCATCTAATTCTACTTTGCTGAGTGTTTTGGTTGTTTCTTAGATCATGAATGGCTTTTCCTGTGTGTATGAACATAGGATTTATTTTTTCATCCTGGTATTCCTGGAATAAATGCTACCATTTTTTTTTCCAATGAGATTTGCCGATATTTTAGTAAGATTCTTGGCCTCCATTTTTCATGAGGGTCTATAATTTTCTCTTCGTGTCTTTGTCGAGCTTTGGTAGTACTTTGTGCTGGGCTTATAAATGAGGTGGAAACTGTTTCTTCTTTTCTTTCTTAAAGAATTTTGATAACTATCATTGCTTTGTTAAAAATTTAATAAAATTCACCAGTAAAAGACAAACAGATTGTGACAGTTTTCCTGGTGGAAACTTTTTCAGTAATTCCATTTCTTTGATTAGTTATGGTGTTGCTCAGGTTTCCTGTGTCTTTCCTATCAGTTTTTCAAAAAGTTCTGTTTCTCAAGGAACTTGTTAATTTTTTTGGAGACAGGTTCTGCCCAGGCTGGCCTTGATCTCTATTCTCCTGTCATAGGTAGAATTACAGGCACACTCCACCACACATGGCTTGTTAATTTCCTTTGAGTTACTGAATTATCATGAAGCTGCTAATAATTTTCCTTTGTTTTGATGTCTGTAGTGTCTGTACTAACATCTGTTTGACGATTGGTGTCTTCTTTCTCTTACTCAGTTTTACCAAGGAATTGCTAGTATTACTAATCTTTACAGAGAGCCAGCGTTTGGCTTTGTTTTTTCTTCCCCCACACGCCCCACCCCATGTTTGTTTTTTCTTGTGAGAAATGTGCTCACCCGTCCAAACTCAAAGAATGGACTCAGAGACATGATATAAAGTGCAGCAAAAGTGAGCCTTTAATGATGGTCTTGCAAGATTGGGTGTCTGGTGAGCCAGGCGCACCCAGAGGGATTATAGCAGGTATTTTTCCCTAGTGCAGGTCGCTCCCCCACCTCACTGGTTGAGTGCAGGGTGTAAATCTTCCCAGAAGTCACCTAAGTTGAGTTATTTTAAAATAGGCCTCTCGTAATTGGCCAGATTCTAGAAGTGGGTTTAAGTCTCCACCTCCCTTTGTTGCCTTGTGGCGGGAAGGCCTCCTGGATGCGTGCTTTCTGACTCACACACAGTTCTTACCATTTCCTCATTCTGCCGCAGCCCCTCCCCAGCACTTGGTTTGTAACTTTCCAGGCGCGTGCAAGCAAGTTAGCAGTAATTTTCCATTCAGGATAAATGCTTTGCCATGAAAATGGACCACCACCAACTTCATTTCTAATGCTCTTATCTTTTTCCTTTTTTCTTTTTTTTTTTTTTGGTGGTACTGGGGTTTGAACTCAGGGCCTTGTGCTTGCCAGGCAGGCACACTACTGTTTGAGCCATGCTGCATGTTCAGTGTTCTCAGATCTTTTTAACTCATTGAGACTTGTTTTACCATGTGGCTATGAGAATGCCACATGTGCCCTTGAAAAGAACGTCCCAGGTCTTGGAGAATGTCCCAAGTACTCTTGAAAAGAATGTGTCACGTTCTGTGAACAGTAGTCTAGTTGAGGTGGTGATGGCATCTTCCAGAGTCTCTGTGCTTACACATAGTTTTGTCTGGTTCTGTCAATTACCAGATGCAAGGTGCTAAACTTCCACTCTGTGGATTTACGAATTTCTACTTTTATTTCTGTTGGCTTCTGTGTCACTGATTTTGAAACTTCTACAGCTTTCGCCACTTTGTGTTGTTTTCTTGTCTCTGTTTTTCTGGCACTATTTTTCTTCGTGCATCTCTTTTCCTGTGTTAACATTATTGCTCTGACTTAATGTTTGTTCTCCAGGCTGTCATTATCCTTTCTACCCACTATGTTTGTATTTGAAGTGATTTATCAGGGTCTGGCTGAGTGACTCAGCTATCAGGCCTGCCTGGCAATACAGTTGATTCTCAGCAGATAGCATAGAGTTGTAGCTTGCTTTTCATTAGCTCTAACTCTGCCTTTCCTTAGATTGAGTTTTTGTTACTCTCTCTCACAGTAGGATTCACATAACAAATTTTCATGTAACAAAATTTTTCCCTTTAAAAGTCTGTAATTCAGTCGTTTTTACTGTATTCGTAAGTTGTGATGCTGGGCGCCTTTGGCTCATGCCTGTAATCCTAGCTACTCAGGAGATAGCGATCAGGAGGATCATGGTTTGAAGCCAGTTCAGGCAAATAGTTCTGTGAGATCCTGTTTCAATAAAACCCATCACCAAAAAGGGCTGGTGGAGTTGCTCGAGGTATAGGCTCTGGGTTCAAACCCCAGTACTCCAAAAAAGAAAAAAAAAAGTGGCAACCATTGGTACTATGCAATGCCACAACATTTCCATCACCCAAAAAAGAAACCCCCCTACCTCTTTGCAGGCATTGCCAACCCCTCTGCGCCCATTTCCCTGGCAGTGCCAAAGTCTCCTGTCTCTGGATTGGTGTAGTCAGGGTGTTTTATGCAAATGGAGTCATGCAGTCCGTTGTCTCGCACGTCTGGCTTCTTTAACTTGGCAGGAGGCAGTCAGGGTTAATGTGTGTCCACAGTCATTAGTTGTCATGGCCAGACATTCCATTGCATGGGCCCACCATTTGTCAGTTAATGGGCACTCTCAGCGCTTGAGTGCCCAGGTAGCACAGTGACTTTAGGAATTGCCCTTTCCCTGGTAAAGCTGCTTTGTTCCTAAGGTGGCCCCTGTCTGGTTTCTGCCTGTTTTGCTCAATCTCCTTTGCTCTGGATTACATGTTAAAAATAGTTGTTGAGATTTAAAACTTGTCTGTGGGAGGGTTAGTTTGGCCAAACTACATTGCTTTTACTAGAGTCCAGAACTGTCCTTCCTGTTACTTGCAGGCCTTGTGCCAGGAGTGGAAATGGGGTGGTTTAGCCCAGCCCTTTATTGGGGTGGCATAATGCTTTACTCTCTCCCAATACTATCATTCTCATTCTTCCTGGGCTCTCCTTGTTGTAGGCCTCCATGAAGAAGTGGACTATTCTGAGAAGCTTAAGTTCAGTGATGATGAAGAGGAGGAAGAAGTTGTGAAGGATGGCCGGCCAAAGTGGTAAGGTGCCCATGCTAGCTCCCAGCATGGATGCCATGTTACCTGCCCTCCGCCTCACGGAAATGTCTGTGCTTCTGAAGGCTGCTGTGTGCTGGTCACGGCCCCAGGTGTTTCCTGATTTCCATAGCAGCCTCTCTGGGACAGATAGGGTTTCTGTTGTGCACATACGGAGATGATGGCCATTGAGGACACTGTCAGGACTGCAGCCGGGCTTTGCATCCAGGCATGACTGTCTGAGTCCTGGCCTCTAAGTCTCTCACCTGTGTTTCCCCATGTGTTAGGCAGAACACTTCTCCAACCCCTTCTTTACAGGAGTGGTGTCTGGAGAGGCTTCTGTGGCGTAGTTGTTTGGGAGCCCACTCTAGGCTCAGTTTTGTTAATCCAAATCTTCTTGGAGGCTTGGATATACTGGAGCATGTTAGGGAGGCGGGAAAAGGCAGGAAGCAGGGTGGTGCCAGGTTTCCCACACTTACTTGACCACTTTCGTGTTTTCTTATTTTAGGGATCATTTTGGTTGGACTAGTTTTACTCGTGCCCTTTGGAAAATACTGCACTGCACTTTAATTCCTGTAGTTTTTACCTTAATATGAGAACTGTGGCTGCTGCTTTCTGGATAGGATTGTGGCTGTTGTGCTTAGGGTGTGCGTGCGTGCATTTTTGGGGTACTAGCAGTGTGATGGCTTCCCTGCGTCTCCTGGGAATTGCCTATTTCCTTTGCATATTCATAACTGTGCTGCCTTTTAAAATGCAACTACTGTAGAGATATTAATGTTTTGTTATATGGCAAATGTTTCTCTCTTTGTCTGTTTGCTTGTTGGTAATTGCATTTTTATGTAGTTGAGTCTGCAAGTCTTTTTCCTTGTTATTTCGTCTTTGCGTCAAAGCCCCTGAAGCAAGCCCCTCTTCTGGGGGGAGCCAAGAACCATATTCTGCCACCCTGTCTGATGAGACATAAAAATGAACTAGCTGAGGCTTCTGTAACTCATTTTCATGGAGTATGGTTTCACCTGAAGCTTTGGATGCCTTTGGGACAGATCTACAGGTCAGTTCTTGGAGCACTACGCTCAGAAGGAGATACGACCAAAAACTTAAAAGCAAAGACACAAAATCTTGCAGACTTAGGGGAGTAGCAGGATACTTTGTTCCTGTCTCTTTCAGTCATATGGATTGGATATTGGAATAACAGTGTCTGGCATGGGCTTCGTGCCCAGGTTTGCTACCAGCTATGACCAAGGACACCTCAGATTTTGGGTGTCCAAGCGACCTCCTCCCAAAACCTTTTCTCTTTTTCTTACTTTTTTTTTTTTTTTTTTTTTGATGTGCCTGGAGCTGGGCGATGATCTCTGACTTCCAGAGCTACCCTTCCGGCTTTGAGTCCCCTTTAACGTTGTTCTCACTTCTGCATTTCTGCATTCACGATTGGCCCTTGTCTAACCATCAGAGATCAGCTCTGTGCCTCTTCTTCCTTCCGTCCTGTCTTCTCCTGCCCCCTCCTTCACTCTGCCCTAGTCATCTCTACATTCACAGGGTTTTTTTTCTGATGGCCAGAGACTTATAATGGTCTGCATTTCTTACAATCTCAAGTTAGAGGTCTTTCTGTCTTCTAATATACCTTCCCTACCTCCTCTTCCCTCTGCCCATCAGAAGGTGTTGGCATGCGCCAGCCTCCCCAGCCCACTCCTCTCTGATGCCTACTACACTTATTGGTCATGTGTGTCTGGTCCCAGTGCTTTGCTCTACACAGTACACCCTCCTCCACATGGGGCCTTCACTGCAGCCCTGTGGACCCTGTCTCCTTTTCCACACTGTCCTTCAGTGGGCTGCCTTTGGTTCCTTTGAGGAGTGCTGGTTGCTCTGCACAGGCCTAAGAGGGAGCTCTAGTGCTCAGAGGCAGAGTCCTGGCTCAAACTTGTTGGCTCCTCCCTACAAGAACCACTCCCCTAACCTCTGAGACTCAGCTTCCAGTTCCTTGGCTGGGGGTGGGGGTTAGGGGGCCGGGGAAGGACCTATCTTTACAGTCAGTGATGTGACAAGCATTACACATCCTGCCTGGAGTCTTATGAATGATGGCAACTTGACAGATGCTGATGGTGAATGTTGGTGTTCTCACATAAAGGGAAGGATTGGGATCTATTCTGATGCAGTAGATGCTTCTGTGGACAGCTAACTTCAGAATTTCCAAGGGCCCCTAACGGGTGACATGAGACATGCTTGGACTGCCTGGGAAAACTTACTGTGAGTGCTGTTTGTCCTAGGAACAGCTGGGACCCGAGAAGGCAGCGGCAGCTGTCCATGAGCTCTGCAGACAGTGCTGATGCCAAGCGCACTCAGGAGGAAGGAAAGGACTGGGGTGAAGCAGTGGCCAATTCCCGGGTGGTGCGCAAGGGGCCAGAGCCTCAGCCACCATCCAGAAAGCTTCACAGCTGGACATCAGGCCCAGACTACCAGGTACCATGGGCTGGGGAGCGGGGGTGGGGGGGTTCTCTTCATCTTCCTCTCCTTTCCCTCTCTCTTCCCCTCCAAATCTACTTCTTCAGACAACAGCAGGGCCTGTCACCATGACCTTGTATGTTTTCACTGCACTGTGTTCACTGGCTAGGCTTTTGAAAAGTCCTGTGTAACGTTTCTTTATTAAAACCACCATGAAATTATAGAGAAGTTGGAGCTGTAAGACAAAGAGTATTTTTTTTCTGCTCCAAGTGAAGAGTAGGTTGCCAGCTTGGTCAGCCATCTCACTGCAGAAAACACTGGTGCCTATAACTACAGTCAGCCAGGATGCCAGCCTGGGCACAGCACTGCCAGCTAATCCTCAGACCCTGGTTGAAAGCCCTTTGAGGTCCTTTACACAAGAGTTTAGGCCTCAGGCCCTCCTGAATACTCACCATTTGGGTGCTTCAGAAGATGACAAGCCAGTGAACGTCCCTTACACTTGGCTGGTCTGATGCTTCCTCATGAGTAGGTCTAGGGTTCCACCCTTGTCAGGAATCTCAGATGTTTCACAGCTCCTCTTGTATAACACTGTGATGCTACTCTGTCCGACTCCAGTTACTTGCATTTTGATCTCCGGCTTAGTATGATGTTTGATAAGTTTCATATTGACGGTTTATAATTGATAAGAAGTCTGTGGGAGAAGTGTTGAGACTGGATATTCCATTGTCTGTCATGGTTTCAAATGTTTATTTCAGGCTTAGCTGTTATTCTCATTATCTGGCTTGAAGCCCAAGTTGTTTTTGATTTGCCTTTGGAAACCTCTTTGGCACGAGTAGTGGTAATAGGGTTTGAACTCAAGTCATTGTGCTTGCTAGGCAGGTACCCCAGCCTCTTTGACCACTTCCTTGTTTTCTGAAAAGTAACATATTCCAAACTCACCTTGCACTTGATCTTGCTTTGTCCTGGGTCAGCCCTTTCCTAAAGAAGTCCTTATTCCTTTGAGAAATGGATGATATTTAGAAGCTGATATCTCTGCCTCAGGAGTGCTCCTTGCTTTGGGATGGCACTGCTCACAGGCCTTCTTAGTGGACCGAGCAGGAGAATGAGTGTGTGTACATGTGCGCATGCACGCGCTCACACACGCATTCTCATCTGCGTTGTTTCTCTATTGTCTGTGTTGAGCACACTGAGTTCACGGGACACCTCCAGTTCCATGGAATGCAGTCCAGTCCTCTTTATGTATTTACATCTTTTTCCTCCAACAAGGAGAAGTCCTATTGTCTCCTTACATTGATACTTCCTTGGTTAGCCCCTGTAGATGCCACCCTCTTTCCTCTGCTCAAATGCCCTTCTCAACCCTTAAGACATCATTATCCCCACTCTACAGTGCACAGAATTTCCCTGCTGGGCTCTGACTCAAGTCCCCTCTCCACATGCACACCCTCTACTCTGCTGAGCTCTGGCCTCCCACACCTAGCCACCATGACTCCCTGGCACCTGACACCTGTCTTTCTTGGCCACACCTGATGACTTTGGGACTGAATTGTTCAGGAGGGGAAGGTCTAGGGAAAGGAAAAGAATCATTTTGAATACTTCTAGTAAACTTGCCATTTTCAACTAGAATTCCTATTTTACATCTGATGCAATGAAAATGTGTTTTCATGGTCTTAATGAGGACTTTGTGTGCCAGGCACTGTGCTGGGTGGGTGTAGGAGGGACGTAAAAGTGAAATAAAGTAGACAGTGCACCTCCTCTTTGAAATTACTGTGCAGTTGATCCTCATTTTCATTGACTTATTGACTGAGGTTGCTCAGTATTCAAGATGTTTTCCTAATCTACTCAGAGCAGGTTAACCGAAAAAGTACTCAATGATGAAATATATATAATACGCTCAGGCATCCAAGAGTATTCTGACCACATTTCTGAAGAGAGATTGTCTCAGTTCATGTGTTTTGCAGAACGCTTTCTGTAAGATCATAGCTCACCTTTGGGCATAGCAAAAGTCTTGACAATGGACATGGACCATTTGAGCCTACTATTTTATTTCTAGGAAATTACCGAGTTAAGGCTCCATCTTGTGTGTTGAATATCAGTGCATCAGGTAGTTGATAGTATAAACCATGAAATAATTAGTGCACAGGCATTGCATTCAGTTTGTGTTTGGTTGCAAAGTGAAAGAAAAGTATACACTTTGGTCCAAAGTATTTTGTGCAGAAAAGTACTCATGCTTCTAAGTTGGAAGTTATAATCTTTTGATTATGTTGATTATTTTTGAATTACAAGAAGTTTTTAGGAGGAAACTCCTTAACTACTGCAAAATGTGTTAAGTTTTCTTTTATGGAGATGTAATTAAACTAGAAGAAAAAGCAGAGCTCTTTGGTGGCCTTTGTCATGTTTTTGAACATTAGACGCCATTAGAATTGTAGCGGCTAGGGATTGGCTCCTTTCCCTGTGGTTTGTGCTGTTTTGTGCTTACAGCTTTCTTCCCTGCAGACCAATAAGACAGCTTCCTAGCATTCAGAGTTTTTCTTTGTATCTTTGGCACCCTGTTTATCCCGTACCTGGCAACCTGCAAGAAACTTGGGAAGGGATAAAAATAAAAATACCCAAGAAAGATGATTTTAAAGATGCTTTTATTTTCCATAAAGACCAATTTGAAGCTGTCTTTCTAACAATTTCATTTTCTCGTGGCTCTTCACTCTCAGGGATTTATGTGTTTTCATAGGGTGGGGAGAGTAGTTTTGTGGCTCAGGAGTGATGAGTGTTGGTTTTCCACTCCAGTGGAGACACCAGTCTCTGAGCCCACTGGTGGTGGTAAGAGCATTGTTACTTTTCACTGCACAGTCCCCAGGGCTCCCTTATTAGCCCATTTTACAAACGTGTAAAGCTCAGAAAGGTGGCAGGCACTTGCCCAAACTTCATCTCAAGTGCAGTAAAGGACAGAGAGGATTAAAACCCAGATGGCCAGGCCAGGCATGGTAGTTAGTGCATGCCTGTCATCACAGCTATGTGAAAACCATAAATAGGATCATGGTTCAGGTTGTCCAGGATGTGAGTGAGACCCTGTTCAAAAATAGCTAAAGCAAAAAGGGCTGGGGCATGGCTTGAGAGGTATAGCGCCTGCCTAGCAAGCACAAGGTCCAGACTCAAAACCCAGAATTGTCAAGAAAGTCAGACACCAGGTGTGGTAGTACACGCTTGTCATCCCAGAAGGCAGAGGTGGGAGAGTTGTGTGTTCCAGACCAGCCTGAGCTACATAGAGACCCTGTCTCAAAAAACAAAAACACCCATGTCTGCCCACCACGTCGTGGCGCTGCCTCCTGAAGACGTTCCAGGGTCTTGGGCAGGAGAGCTGATCCCAGAAGGGGAACAGCCTCTTGGTCATCCGCCATCACACTTCCTTTGTTCTCTTGGCAGAAGTCTGCAATTGGCAGCGTGTTCCGGCAGCAGCCTGTCGAGGACAAGGAGGACAAACCGCCCTCGCGGCAGAAGTTTATCCAGTCTGAGATGTCTGAGGCAGTGGAACGAGCCCGAAAGCGCCGGGAAGAGGAGGAGCGTCGAGCCCGGGAGGAGCGGTTGGCTGCCTGTGCTGCCAAGCTTAAACAGCTGGACCAGAAGTGCCGGCAGGTCCAGAAGGCAAATGGGGCTCAGAAGGCAAGTGGGGCCCAGAAGCTAGGAGACAAGGACGTCCCCCGATCTGCAGGCACCGAGAAGCCCTCCCCACAGGAGAACGGCCCTGCTGTCCGCAAAGGTAGGAGGCTGGCCCTCACCCCACCAACTGGGAACCTTGGTTGTATCTCCCTTGCTTCTTAGTTAGCAGAGCCTGTGGCTAAGGCTAGATTGTATCAGGACAAATGCAGGCCTGGGTCACATGCGTGGGCTGGTCCCATCAGCTGCTTAAGCTAGCTGGTGAAGCGCCTGATCTCAGCCACTCTAACCTGTTCCTTCATCTGTAAGCGTGGTGGATATGCAAACCTGCCAGTGTGCCAGGGGCCTTCGTGAGGTGGTGTAGCATGCAGAAAGCACGCGTGTGCTTACCGATGGTGTCACTCTTGTCATCATCACTCTTGCTGTTACTACACTGCCCAACCAAAGACACAGATGATGGAGGGTGTGAATCAGATTATAGGACCCTTTTGAAAAGCAGCCCGTCCACTTGTTGGAGTGCATGTTTCCTGGCAGGAATGGATCATGCGGCTGTGTGAGAGTGCTGAACAGAACTGTGTAAATAGCTTGTGATGAGGCCCCTCTCCAGGAATACGACTAACCGTGTTCTCTGATTCCCTTCGCTCAGCCCAAGTCAGCCCTTGCCAGTCGACACTGGGTTGTGCTAATGTCAGTTTCTATGGAGGCTTCTTGGTTGGGGGTCAGATTGGTGATCTGAAGCTGCCAGCAGTGCCTTTCTGGCCAGGGCAGTAAGAGAAATACGGTTTTCTTCTGATGGCATTCATTAAAGTTGAAAGACTGCTGGTCTCATGGTGGTGAAGAAACTGCCCCCAGCACGTGTGCAGAGTGTCTCCTTTAGTCCTCACAGCCTGTAGCTTCATTCATTCATTCTGTTCAGATGATCCATATGCTCTATTGTTGGTTTTCACATTCCAGCTCTGCCACTGGCTGTTCCATGTTTGGTTGCCCTGACCTTGTGTTCTTGGTGTCCTCATCTTTAAGCATGGGTGGGAGAAGCCTCCTCACAGTGTTTCTGGGGAGCCCACAGGCTGGTGGCAGGAACTAGTGCAGCCTTGAGCAGGCATTGACAGCAGAGGCACTATTGACCACTGTTAAGTTGGTTGAACACTTGTGAATGTGCTGTGACATTTCTCTGCTTACGTGTTCTCCAGGCTCTCCAGAATTCCCTGCCCAGGAAGCCACCACCACCATCTCAGCAGAGGTGCCCACAGCTTCCCCAGCAATGGCTCAGAGCAGCAGCAGTGAGGAGGAGGCCAGGGAGGCCGGGTCCCCGGTACAGGAGTTTAATAAGTATCAGAAGTCCCTTCCTCCCCGGTTCCAGCGCCAGCAGCAGCAGCAGCAGCAGCAACAGGTAAGCAGGCAGGTGAGACATTTGAAGGTTACTATAAGCAGGCCTGGCCACTGAGCAGACACTTTCCCTCTCAAGACCCTCCAGTTTAGAAGAAACGGCAGCACCCTTCCTCTCTTAATACTCCTTGATGTCCCAGCCACCAGTAGTGCATGTATCACCTCAAGACTTGTGACTTTGGTCGGTCAACCACTGATTGTTATTTGTCCAGTGACAGAGGCCCCTATGAGTGGATCCAACCCTTGTGTAAGTTACTGGTCTTGTTTCCAACGCTGGCAATGGAGAGAGGCCTGTGTGCTGAACCCTGTTGGCTCACCTTCAGCTGTGTTCTTCATGTATAGCTGCACATCTCTGAACTCCTTAGACATGCAGGGTTTGCCTGGACCTCTGAGGCCTGAGCAGCCCTGGGCACTGTTGTTAGAGAGGAATTTGTCAGCTTTGGATTAAGGATATCAGTGATAGAATTGTCACACAAATGATACTTCCTAACTATGTGTGGCCATGGACAGTCGGCAGTGTTTGAGAACAAATGACTGCCTCAGTGTGGGAGAGAGCTCTGTGTGGTGACACCTGTGAATAGCTATCAGCACTGCATTGGCGCTCTGTAAGCTGTAGAAGGTCCTGTGCCTTTCCCCAAGGAGCTCATGTGAGTAGGATAACCCGTTCTCCTGGCCGGCAATCTTGTCAGCTGGAAGTGCACATTGGCTGCCATGCTTTTTAGAGCAATAATAAACAAGGCAGAGAGGTTGTTACTAGGAGTCAGGCATTTTGGTGGAAGCAGATGATGTGGAGACGTTACTTAATGTAGGCTCAGCAACTGGGTATGCAGTAAATTATTGTTAATGTTAACTGAAATATTTCGGAATTGTGTGTGCTCTGGTCTTACGCCTTTACCCAGTATCTCCTTTAATTTCTCATAAAAAGTCTGCCCCTGCTTCTCTGCTTTGGGTCCCAGGGAGCATTCCAGAGGTACCGTTAATTGTGCTTTTATAGGGCTGTCGCCTAGGCAGGCACTGCATGGTCACTGGGCTTGCAGTGGGATTAGTGATGGGGAATCTCGGAGTTACTGGTGCTGCAGTGGCAGTCGCTCATGGCAGCTCTTCGTGGGGTGGGGAAACAGTGGTGGGCCAGTTCTTCCTCAAGAATCGGAGGCTGTGTGAAAGCAACAGGCCCGCCTGGGAGTGCAGGCTTCCTAGGGGTCTGGGTTCTAGGCAAGAGGAGCCCTGTGGTCTGGCACAGTAACCAGACTCTCCACTGCTGTGCTCTCTTTACCAAGTGCTCCTTGAGGTACTGCGAGTTCCAGCAGAGCCACCCATGGATCTCAGCCCAGGATGAGCCTCAGGCTGCTGGCTGGTTGGGAGGTCTTTGTGGAGTGGAAGGGCATGTGCTGCAGGCTTCTTTAGGTGGCCCTTGGAGGCTGATCCGGCATGTGGGTCTTGCTGGGTTGCTGATTCAGAGCTCACACAAGACAGCAGCACCAGAGGCTCCTGCTGGGTTGGAGTGGGGGTCTTGATGCTGAATAGCCACTGATGGTTGTGTCGTTGTGTAGCAGGTGTTCAGTGTGTGGAGGGTACCACGGTGAAGCAGACACACACAACCTCCTGCGGGGCAATTAGGAAGACCGGCAGCAATACCTTTTAAGCTACTGTGCACATTGTAGGCGAGAAGTAACCCGCGTTCCATGAGAAGAGAGAACGGAGGCTTGGTCTTGTTCAGGGGCGAGGGGCTGTGACTGCCTTCCCAGAGGGAGTATGCTTAAGTTAGAAACCCAGGTTTAGGGGTGAAGAGAAGGAACATTCTAGACAGGAAACCCAGCATGTCACGTGCCTGGCCCAGGCCACTACACTAGAGCAGAGTGAGGTGCGGTCATTGAGTTGAAGCCAGAGAAGCAACTAGGCCAGATCCCTCCTTCAGGATCTTGTAGGTCCCTGGAGCTTTGTAGGATTTGTTAAGTGGTGTACAGGGGAGGACCCTGAAGGCTCTTTAAAAGTGTGGTGCTCACAACTGGGTATGTAGTATGTGGAAAAGATGACAAGGAGAGGGAACAGTGACTGTCTTCTGATGGTGGCAGTTGATAAGGAGAGAAGTGGCCAGCATCTCTAGGGCTTCCTAGGAGGCATGCTGGTTGGTTGGTCAGTTCCAGGACAGCATTTGATCCAGATGGAAGCCAAGTTTGTCTGGGACAGCACGGATACGTGTAGGCCTCTGTGTGACAAAGGCGTGACTATCCATCCAGCTGTAACACACTTGGGGTCTCCTTGGAATAGCTGCCCACCCCTCTATATTGAGTCGCGGGGTTTTCTGTGACACCTGCTAAAGAACTGGGGAGCATGAGTGCAGGCATCCCTCCCCCCATTACCTAACCAGTTCCTCTTCCTCCCTGCCAGGAGCAGTTGTATAAGATGCAGCACTGGCAGCCTGTGTACCCTCCGCCTTCCCACCCGCAGCGTACCTTTTACCCACACCATCCCCAGATGCTGGGCTTCGATCCCCGCTGGATGATGATGCCTTCCTACGTGGACCCACGCCTCACGCCCACTCGGACCCCTGTGGACTTCTATCCCTCAGCCCTCCATCCTTCAGGTGAGCACCGGGGACCGCATTAGTGTGCTGACAAAGGGACCTACCTCAAGAGTTCGACCTACTTGTCCAGGCACTGAGAGCTCATGCCTGTAGTCCTAGCTACTTTGAGGAAAGAGGACTACGTTCCAAGTCAGCCTGGGCAAAAGTTCAGGAGACCCCATCTCAGCCAATAACTGGTGTAATGGTACGTTGAGTCATTTCAGCTTCTGTGAGATTATAAAATGGGAGGATTGGGGTCCAGGTTGGCCTGGGGAAAAAGCAAGATCCTATCTCCTCAAACAACCAGTACAAAAAGGGCTGGGGGTGTGGCTAAAGTAGCAGAGCTCCTGCCTCGAGAGTGTGGTGCCTTGAGTTCAAATGCCAGTGTTGCCAGAAAAAGTTGTTGGGAAGTCACGAGGTTATGCATTGTCAGTATTTGAGTTAATAAGTCTCTGCTCTGTCATTTTGTCCCTCTTTCCATTTCTTTTCTCTTGCCCCATTAGTCTTCATAAGGTTTATCTAATGCCTTTTTCAGAATCAGATTTTGGGTTTCTTGATTCCTTTGTGCCACAGGGTTTTATTTAATTTTTGCATTTCTTCCCTGCTTTCCTTTGAAGTTACTCTGTTCTTTTTCTCGCCAATAGTGTTTGTTGCCCATGAGTTCTGATGTTTGAAAGGATTCTTTTGGTGCTGATTTCCAGCGTATCTTCATGGTGGTAGATAGCATGGTCTATATAACACAAACTGGGGGCAGCAAACTTGCCAGCAGTGTCAGCTAGTCAATATTGCAGGCTTTGATCAGCCACTCAGTTTTGCTGTTGTATGTTGAATGCACATAGTTGTTTTCCATTAAGGCTTTATTTGTATGAACAGGCTTAATTTTGCTCAAGGGCTGACCAAGTTCTGATCTAGATTGGTTGACATTTGTTGAGATTTTCTTTCTTTCTTTCCTTCCATCCCTCCCTCCAAATCAGTAATAACCTGTTGGATGTAGTCCATTAACTTGAGCTTGCCAATTGTGTGTACAGATATCTGCATCATTACCTTTTTTTTTTAAATTTCCTTGATCAGTTACTGAATATGTAACAAACCCTCACTGTGAGAAGTAATAGATCCCATCCTGTAGTGTGAATAAGGCCCTGGGTTCAATCACACTACCAAACCAACAACAAAAACAATTCCTGTATGATTGTGGATTTGTCGGGTCTTCTTTTTAAGTCATCAGTTTTTGCTTCACGTATCTAAGGGCACACAGGAGAGGCGTTACCACACCTCATTCCTTATGTCAGTTTGTAGTGCCTTCTTCTCACGGATCAGATTGTGCTCTGTGCAACAGTGTGACAAGCATTCCAGTTTTGCTTAGTACTTATTTGACCTCTTGTTCCAGCCTTTTACTGTCACTTCTGAGTCCTGGTTTTCAGGGTATGTGTTTGCAGGTTTTACCCACTCTGAAAACTTATGGCTTTTAATTGCCAATGTTGTTTCCTTTATATTTATTGGAGTTATTGTATTTGTAATTTCCAACTATCCCATTTTGCATTGTTTATCCCTCTTTCCCATCTTTTTGTTTTTTGAGATAGAGTCTCACTCTATAGCCCAGGCTGGCCTGGAACTCAGGATCCTCCTCCCTCTGCCTCACAAATTTGAGATTACAGGCTTGTGCCACTGTGCCTAGCTGATTTTCCTAATCTTCATTGTTTTCTTCTGTATCCTGTTTCTATTCTCTCTTCATCTATATCTATATTTGTGTGTAACATACTTTGATGCTCCTCATATATTCAGATTGGTGACATGGAAATATGCACCCTTGATTTACCTAGAGGCCCATCAGTGTCTTTACCTGTCATCTGAACTCTTGACGGCCTCCTCTTTTAGCCTTGTGGGTTCTTGTTTTCATGCACACTCACCATGTCGGCAGTCCTTGCCCCTGTTGTTCTACTCTTCTGTGTCGGTTGAGATTTGCTTGGAGGTTTCATGATTTCTTCATTGCTGTGTGTTTCTTCAGTGCTGTGAAGGTGGTGTGCATTTTCTTCTGGCTCCTGTTGCTGATTCTTTGGGGTACTCTGCTCTGTTTTCTCCCTGACTGTGTTTCTGATCTTCCCTGTTTTTTTGTCTTCGGTGTACTGTAGTTCTATGTACGCATTGTGTTTGTTTGTTTATTTTGTGGGTTATGGAGGTTTGAAGTCAGAGCCTTGTGCTTTCTAAATAAGCACTCTATCACCTGAGTAGCTGGGGTTACAAGCAAATCTTTCTGTATTTTATTCTTGTTGCACTTGAATGTAAGGATGCATTTCTTTTACCACTTCTGGAAAATTCTAATAGTCACTTCAGATTGTTGATGTTCTTAGCCAATTATTTGTTCTTATTCCAGTTGTTAGTCCTTCCTCATTCTTTTATCATTTCTTTCTAGGACTTGTACCTTGCCATTCTGTCTTTCAAGTGCCTTAAAATGAAGAGGGCAGGGGGTGTAGCTCAGTGACTGAGCCTTGCTGAGCATTGGAGAAGCCCTGAGTTTGATCCAAGCAGGGGGATGGGGACCTGGACTGGGTCAGGATGGGGAGGGATATGAGAGAGCGATTCCCAGGAAGTTGACTGTTTCCCAGCTCTGTTTTCACTAGAGGTGTGGCTCAAGTGGTCTACCCTGCCCTGCAAGCACAAAGCCCTGAGTTCAAACTCCAGTACTTCTAAAATAAATAAATAAATGAATAAATAAATAAGTAATCCTAGCTTGGTTCTCTCCACCTGTGTCTAATCTGCTTTTTCACTATGCAGTGAGATATTTTCAGTGAATTTATTTTCTTTCTTTTCTTTACTTTTGATGGCATTGGAGTTTGAACTCAGGGCGTCATGCTTGCTAGCCACTCTGTCAGCCCTTTTCTTAAGTTTTTAATTCCTTATCATGCTTTAATTTTTTGCAAAGGGGAGGCAGTACTTGAATTTTGGTCTTTGTGCTTGATAAGCAGATACTCTACCACTTGAGCCACACCCCCAGTCTCCTTTTAATCATTTTAAGCATAATTTCAGTATTTGATATATTGCCCTGTTACCTCAAGTTCTTGGGAGGGTTCTAATCCAGGGCCTTGCTTTGAGCTCCAGTGGAGTACTTTCCTATGTGTTCAGGTAATTTTGGATTGTGAGCTTAGTTTTAGGACCAAGTGTGGATTGGGTTAAGGGTATATCCCTCCAGAGTGGATCTATGTGTTCTTGTTCTACCCTACAGCTGCCTTTCATATTAATTTGGGAAGTTTCTGGACAATTCGAGGATGTAGAAATTTGACCCGTCCTCCCAGTCTCCCTGTGAAGCAGGTGTACAGTATTGAGTTCCTCATTCTGGTGGTTCCATTGGCCTTGGTTATTCCCTATACTAACAAGCAGGAGCTCGCCAGTGTGCCTTTGGAGGGACTTTGTTTGAATACCGTCTCCATTGCACAGAAAGACCTCATCTCTGGTCCTGAGAGGATGTTGTCATTCAGGCCTCCAGGTTTCCAGGGCACCTCCTTGGGGCCTTGGTAGTGACCTTATCTCTTGGGGGTATTCCATTTTCTTGTAAACACAGTTTTGCAAGCCAAATGTGTGGTACATTGTGTCCAGCATTTATGTGGCAGGAGGGCCCTATGCCTCATGGCAAATGCTTAATGAATGAGGCAGAGTTTCAGGTTTCCAGAGAGAATGCCAGTCAGACTATCAGTGTGCTTGAGGTCTGTGTTGCCAGCATCAGACATAGCACCTGCAGCCAAAGGGAAGCTGCCCAAGCTGGCCTTCATTCCAGTTCCATCAACCCGCTTAAAAGATGGACACCAGTAGCTCACATCTGTAATCCTAGCTGCTTGGAAGACTGATCGGGAGGAAAGAGTTTCAAGGCCAGTCTGCACAAGTAGTTTGTCAGATACCTATCTCCAAAATAACCAGAGCAAAATGGACTGGAGGTGTGGCTCAAGTGGTAGTGCCTGCTTTGTAATCAGGAAGCCCCGAGTTCAAAGCCCAGTCCCACCAAAATAGATTGAATGAATGCTGGGCAACACAAATGTGCACTTGCAGCTTTGTGAAGAGAGTGTTTGAAGAGTCAGAACTGCTTTTCCCCATAGACGTAGGCCCAGGCAGACCTTTAACATCCTTGGCACCAGCCCAGCTGCCATGTGTGACAGGGTGGATAGGGGCTGAGTTAGGGGTGTGATTTCACCAGGACGCTGATGAAATCAGAGTGTAGGACATCTAGTCTACACTGATCAGTTAACAGTGTACTGCTGTTCTTTGGCTGCCATGTTCTCCCTCCTCCACATCTGAAATTTTCCCATATAAATTGTGGAGTACTTGATGTCCATCTTAGGGTGGAGTCAGAAGGAAGTCAAGCCAATTCCATAAAGATTCTAAGCCCAATACTAACTCGCCATTCCGTGGGCGCTTCTAGGGTTTGGCTGATGTCCCTGCATCTGAGCCATGCAGCATTTAGCACCTCTGTGGCACAGATGTTCTCCTTCTTTTCCACCAGCCCCTCTAGTTTGAAATCTCTTTCCAGTTGCCTTGAGCACAGGTCAGGTGTGCCTGCATGCCTGCCAGGCCCTTTGCTCAGAACACAGGGAGAATCCCAATGCGTAAGGGGTAGTCTGTACTTTAAGCCTGTGGTTGACCCTGAGGCTGTAGCAGGGCTTTCTGAGTGAGTGACATGGATCCTTGCCTTCTTCAGGGCTGATGAAGCCTATGATGCCCCAAGACTCCCTCAGTGGAACTGGCTGCCGCTCTGATGACCAAAATTGTGTGCCCCCACTCCAAGAAAGAAAAGTGTCCGCCATCGATCCAGCCCCTGTCTGGAGCCCAGAGGGCTACATGGCACTGCAGAACAAGGGCTACTCCTCACTTCCCCACCCGAAGTCGACCGACACTTTGGCTATGGACATGCATGTCAGGTGAGATGGCAGTTGGTCCTACTGGGCTGTAGCTGAAGGAAGCGTCTCCAGGCCCAGTGGGAGACCCTGGGAAGTGGCTCCTACTGTCTTAGGAAACACTGCCAGGGAGGTGGGAAGGAGTGTGAGGAGGTGTGCTTGGATGTTTGGTGTGAGCAGCTCTTTCTAATGTCTGGGCCAGAGTCCCAGGAGGAGCTCCCAGGATCGCCGAACCTTGGGAATGGGGCAAAGAGTGGTTGAGAGTGGGGTCCTGGGCCTTCTCTTGTGCGAGTAAACGGAGCTGCCCTGACACCCCTGGCCCCAACTCTACGGACTCCCAGGCTCCAGCTTGTTCATTGCTCCAGGGGATCACCAGCTCCTCTCTGCCTCCAGGGGGCGCACTGAGCCCCGGCAGCCACTGTCTTCTCTGCGCTCACGGACTCCAGGGGCCACTGAGCAACATGTTTGCTTACGCTTTCCTTTCCTTTTCTTTTTTTTTTTAAACATTTTTTTCTTTTTAAAACTAAGCTCTGTGTTCAGCATGGAAACCAGGAACCAAGCTCCAATCACATTGACTGATTTTTCTGGTTCCTTTTCAGGAATGAAAGCTCTTACTCTGCCTCCCCCGGAAGGTCAGGGGGCGTAAGTGCCCAGCGCGATCTCTTTGAGGAGAGAGGGGAGGAGTACTTGAGTGCTTTTGACAAGAAGGCCCAAGCAGACTTTGACAGCTGTATCTCTTCTCAAAGAATAGGCCAGGAGCTTTTGTTTTCACCCCAAGAAAATGTTCAGGAAGCAAGTGCTCCTGGGGGTCACACCCCAAATCTCGTGTGTCCCCCATTGGAGCCTGACTTTGTCCCAGCCGAGAAAAAGCCAGAGTATAGCAGTTGGGACATTGGCCACCAGCCAAAGGCCACTGACACAGCCAAGAGTGTTGACCAGGAGGTGCCCCGGGAGGAGCCACCTTTTCATGTCTCTTGGGAGAAGGAAGAGACCCCTGATAAACAGCTAAGGCCAGAGCCTGAGTGGACACCCGAGCCCCGGAACTCCAGTAGCCAGCACCAGGAGCAGCCCAGCAGGACCCGGAGGTCAGGACCCATCAAGAAACCCGTCCTCAAAGCCCTCAAGGTGGAAGAGAAAGAGAAAGAGCTAGAGAAGGTGAAGCAAGGGCTTGGGGAGGAGAGCACAGGGTTGGCCATGGAGAAGGAGCTGGTACTCAAGGCTGAAGAGGGTGAGGATGAAGAGAACGACCCCGCCTTGGCCAACGCCTCCCCCTCCACTTTGGAGGACAAGGCCTGTACCAGCCCCGGGTTTGGCCATGAGAACACCAAGTATGATGAGGGTGAGAAGCCTGATAAGGCTTGGGAGACCAGGCCCTCACGAGAGTCCAGCGACACTCCCCCAACAAAGAGAAACAACTGGATCTTTATTGATGAGGAACAGGCCTTTGGGGGCAGAGGGCAGTCCCGCAGTCGGGGCCGGGGTTTCCGAGAGTTCACTTTTCGAGGTCGGCCCGCTGGTGGAAACGGGAGCAGCGTGTGCGGTGGGGGGGTCCTCGGGGCACGTGGTGTCTACAGCAGCAGCCCACGGAGTGGCCGGGGCCGGGGCCTGCGGGAGTTCCCTCAGCCGGAAGACTGCCCCAGAGCCAAGCCCCGAAGGAGAATTGCCAGCGAGACCCACAGCGAGGGCTCGGAGTACGAAGAGCTTCCCAAGCGGCGTCGGCAAAGAGGCTTGGAGAATGGAAATGAAGGTTCGCTCCTGGAGAGGGAGGAGAGTGCCCTGAAGAAGGACTCGTGGCGCTCCAACAAGATGTACTCTGAGGACCAGAACAGCCTGGACACCAAGAGCCGAGGCCCGCGAGCTTTTGGGAGAGCACTCCCGCCCCGGCTGAGCAACTGTGGGCATGGCCGCCGAACTTTCATCTCCAGAGAGTCACCTCACTGGCAGGGCAGAAGTCCAGGGAGTTCCTGGCAGGAGTACGGTGCCTCTGACACATGTGGGGCCCGGCGGGCCACAGACAGAGACTACATCCCAGACTCCTACCGACACTCTGACTCGTTTGCCAGCAGGGCCTTTGAGGACAGCCGTTTGGAGGACAAGAGGTCTTTCTTCCAAGATGACCACGTGGCAGATTCTGAAAACGCAGAAAACCGGCCCTTCAGGAGGAGACGACCCCCTCGCCAAGACAAGCCCCCTCGCTTCCGGCGCCTCCGACAAGAGCGGGAATCCTTGGGCCTGTGGGGACCCGAGGAGGAACCCCACCTGCTGGCTGGTCAGTGGCCAGGCAGGTCCAAACTCTGTCCAGGGGACAAAGGTGGCCCTGGGAGTCGCAGGTCCCCTGAGCTCTCCTACCAGAACTCCTCTGATCATGCCAACGAAGAGTGGGAAACGGCCTCTGAGAGCAGCGACTTCAGTGAGCGCCGGGAGCGTCGAGAAGGCCATGTGGGCGAGCATGACTTGCAGGGGGATGCTGGCCTGCCTGGGACCAGCTTGGGTGAGAAGAAGGAGTTGGCCAAGAGGAGCTTCTCCAGCCAGAGGCCCCTGGTTGACAGACAGAGCCGCAAGCTGGAGCCGGGAGGGTTTGGGGAGAAGCCTGTTAGGCCAGGTGGTGGTGAGACTTCCCCCCGTTATGAGAACCAGCAGAGTGGGACGCCTTTGAAAGCCAAAAGGTAACGCAAGAGCACCATCCCAGGTCCCTTGTTGTCGTCCTGTTTGCAGCAGCACTGAGTCCATGCATGCACGCCCCGTCAGACCAGTTGCCCTGGCTCTTGTGTGTGAGCGTCTCCATCACTTGCTCCTGCATTGCTTGTCTGCTTCTTTCATGGTGTGTTGTTGTTGTGGCTTGACAAACTAAACGTAAAGTGTCCCTATCCCCTTCTCTCAGTGGCCTTCCTGTGGCTGCAGTCCTAGCCCCTGTCCCAGTGGTTCAGCCTCTGAATGTGTTCTTGGAGCCCTCCATTGGGGGCTTTGCCTCTGTGTGGCACCTGGAAAACATTGGCTGCTCCACCTGATTCCTATGCTCAGGCTGGGCATCATTGGCTGCCTGGCTGTGCTGAGGTGGCTCTTCCCTGAGTTGTTCTGCTCCTGTACTGCCGCCTGGGCATGACCAGAGCCATGAGGAACAGAGGGTGCTGGCCACAAGCATTTCTTCTCCAGAACTGAAGGTTTTCATGTGGACAGCCTGTGCTTGGGGTTGACTCATTGCCCGCAGGCTGCTCATGTGAGGAAAGGATGGCTTTGCTGACTGCCAAGTCCAGGGGCACAGGGGTTGCTGAGGCTTTCTCTGCCCTCAGCTTACTGAGAAGATTGCTTCACAGTTCCTGTCCTCCTTAGATTTCAGGGCACAAAACCCCAGGGTATTTGTACCCCCAAAGAAGAAGCCCAGGAGAATACCTGGTCTTCAGAGTGTTGATGCCATCTGGCTCTCCAGGTTCCAGAAGCTGAACTGGCTCTGCCTGAGAGCCTAACAGCCGGGTGAGGTGTGGGCTGCAGGCTGCTACTCAGACACCTGGGCAGAAAGGTTGCTGCCCTGTCCTAGGCACACTGCTCCTCTTTCTCTTCTGTCTGGGAACAGGGAGCACTGAGGAGGAGGTGTTGACACGGCAGCTGTCCCCTGTGCTACATGTTCACATGAGGACTCTGTGGGAGGACCTTGGCCCAGAGAGGGCTGCTGTGTCTATGGGTGGGGTGTGGGCTGCAGCTTTTTTTCTTTTTTCTCCTTCCCAGCCTTTGGATGATATCTGAGTTCAAGTGACCCTCTTTCTTTGTAGGTCCCCAGATGAGGCCTTGCCTGGAGGTCTTGGCTGCAGTGGTGGGAGCAGCCACTCATCGTCCTGTGCTCTGGAGCGGGCCACCCATGCTAGCTCTCAAAGTTCTGAAGCCACCAGTAAGAAGACAGAGAAGGAGGCTGCTCTAGCTGCTCAGAGGGCCAGCGAGCAGGAAGAGGCCCGGAAGCCGTTTGACCTGGGCTATGGAAGTGAGTCTGGGTACCTTCCCATCCTCAGAAAAATCCAGGGCCCCAGCTATCTCTGTGGATGGCCAAGATTGCCCTTCAACAGACTCTTGGCTTCTGAGAATGGCCCTGCACAGGCACTGGGCTAAGCTCTGGAGCTGTGGTGGCAAGTGAAATAGCTCAGATTCCTGCTTCCTGATGCTCACAGCTGTGTTGAAAATCCATGACAGCTCTGCAGTTTTCCAGTTTTAAAGAAGGGGTACCTGAGGCCCAGAGAGTTTCAGTGCTGTGTGTAAGAGTCCCTGTCTTCAAAGGCCGTTTTTCCTCCAGCATGTTTTTGCTTGGGGCCTTCCGGGTTGAGATTGTAATGTGTTAGGTCAGAGAGTATGAGGGGTGTGCATGACTGTGTTAAGTTTCCATGGGGCTCAGGCAAATGTACCATGGCTCTGTGGCAGAATCTAACTGGGTACTGCAGGCCTATCTTAGATGTTGTATGATTCTTGCCTTCTGAGGAAAGGAAACTTTGTCCCTTCTTATGATCTCTTGGTTCAGATGCCATCATTGAAAATTGCGGGTCCAGCCCTGGGGAGGAGAGTGAGGTGGGCTCTATGGTGGGCGAAGGCTTCATTGAAGTCCTGACTAAGAAGCAGCGCCGCCTGCTGGAAGAGGAAAGAAGAAAGAAGGAGCAAGCCGCACAGGTGAGCCCATGACCCTGAGGGTGGCCCAGGGGGAAGAGAAGCAGGGAGGAGTATTTATTAGGCATGCATTATCTTGCAGCGCCTGCTGCCTATCACCAGAGCCATCTTGGAGCATGTGGGAAAGCCCTTGTTCTTCAGTGGAGGACACAGTCACAAAGAGGATGACGTGTCCAGACATCTGTTGACCCCCTAGTCAGCCTGGGTGGGTGAGGTCCGTGTTCTGGAACCTGAAGCTCAGGAGCCCTGTTATGATGCTCAGTGCAGGGCACTGCACACCCCACTTCTGTTGGCTGTCAACCTGTCCCTGGAGCTTTGGTTGGCTTGGTAGTGCATGCTGGCCAGTGTCTTGAAGACAAGTTTTCAAGGCATCTCAGGCTAGTTTAGGTAGTGTAGCAAAGTGCTGGGATACTTTTCCTAGATTCTGTCATCTTTCATGCCTTAGGCTAGACTGCATCACCCTTTTTTTCCTCATAGGTGCCTATCAAAGGTCGAGGCCTTTCCTCACGTATTCCTCCTCGATTTGCTAAAAAGCAAAACAGCCTGTGCCTAGAGCAAGGTGATGTGGCCGTGCCTGGCAGCAGCCTGGGCACCGAGATCTGGGAGAACAGCAGCCAAGGTGAGAATGGGTGCCTGACTCAGCAGAGCCAGTGGCTCTTCCTGGGGAGTCCTGCTTTGAGCTGTGAGTGCAGGTGGAATATTACTGTGCCCCACAGTGAGCCACTGTTGAATGTCACTCAAGTTCGACTTGCTGCTGCAGCTGCTTAATAATCAAACTTTCCTGCTACAAGGTGATAGACCTGCAGAGTGTTCTGTAGATCCAGGGCACTGGAGGATGTCTTAGCTAAGAGCACTCAGGGAGCCACAGACCCATGTCTTCCCAGCTGCCTGTTCCAGTCCTTTGCCGGTGTCCCTTATACCTTGCGTAAGAGCAGCAAATGGCCAGTTGGAAGGACAAACTTGAGTCCATAGTGAAGTGGACCTTCCTTTTTGGAAAATGGTTTTTTTTGTTTTGTTTTGTTTTTTAAGACATCTACCCAAAGCTATGTTTCTGGTAACCTCGCCATTTAGATTACAGAGCTGTTTCAGTTGAGCAGGTTCTTAAACACCTCCTTTGGCAGGACCTGCACGAGAGCCTTATGCAGGACAGTTAAGCAAAAGAAGGACTTTGGTAGCACCCAGGAGGGCTTGAGAGGCCGTTGATATCCTGCCTGTTTTATATAGAGCAGCAGAAGCTTGTAGGGGAAGGTGACTTGATCCCCAGGCCACACAACAAACACCTAAGATGTTGGGTTCTCAACCTTGCTTTTTTCATTGTCACCTGTCCTCGTGGTTCCTGGTGAAACCTGGGTTCCAGCACATTGCAAAATAACAGTAGTTGATGTTCTGTGCCAATTAAAAGAAAGATCAGTTGGGGCTGGAGGGGTGGCTCTGTAGCAGAGCTCTTGCCTAGCATGTATGAGGCCCTGGGTTTTGTCCCCAGCGCCACAAAAGAAAAATAAAAGAAGAATGACAATATTCTGCTAAATCTTGGTAGTGCTTCGTGGTGTGGGTGAATGATGGGTATCATAGTGTCAGTATGCAGAAATGCCCTCTGCCAGGTGGTTGGGCGGTGTGTAGTGACTGAGGAGCGAGCCTCCTCCGTCAGACCTTCCTCCAGGATTCTGCAGTGTCTCGTCAGCTGTCAGGTGAAGGACTGATGCATGGTCTCAGAGGCCCTAAAGCAGCATGTGCTGTTTTGTGGACATACATGTTTGTCTGGGTTCAGGATCCATGGCTTTTGTCGGATTCCTGGGGCAGGGAGTATGAGCTCACAAAATCTGAGCGATAAGTGCATGAATCTTTTAAAGACTTAATAGATTAAGCACTTCTAGAAACAAGTAGTTGGCCTCAATGAAAGAGAGCATAATACAGCAGAAGTAGGGATGGAAAATTCAAACAGATATGAGTAAATACAACACCTGAGTCCATGAAATCCGGAGAAGCATCATGTTGTTTGAAATCCAAGGCTGTTGGGGCATTTATGGAAACGCTCTGACCAGCTCCTGTGTGTGAGGTGGAATGTCGTCAGTCAGGTGCAGGGTGCAGTTAGGGAAAGTGGATTTCTGTAGGCTGGGTTTTTCAGGGCCACAAATTCATATCTTCCCAGCTACTTGCTCCCTTTTTACACCCTGGCTCTGTCTCCCTCGCAGCTCTCCCTGTGCAGCCTGCAGCCAGCGACTCTTGGAGGAAAGCTGTCACTGCCTTCAGTAGTGCGGAGCCTGGCTCCTCCGAGGTGAGCACCACATGGGGGTGCTGAGTGTTGGGGTGTGCACATCAACCTCAGCCACCATACCCTGGGCTGCACTCATCCCAGACTACCCAAGCTCTATCCAGGCTGCTGGGTGTGCACCGGAGGCCCTTCCCTGGGCCTTGGCTCTGGCTTATCGCCATCCTCAGCCTTGGTCTCTGGTACCTGCATGAGCAGAGAGAGAAGGGATACAAGGAGAGGGCCTCCCTAGGTAGGGGGCCAGATTGAGAGCTGCCTCTGAGCCGGAATTGATAGCCACCAGTTAGCTTTGAGCAAAATGAATTTGGTAGCCTTATCCAGGACCATGCAGTGTCTGGTGGTCATGAGCTCAGGTGGAGTCAGTGCATTTATTCTGCTGTGTGTATCATTGAGTGCCAGTGGCAGGACCAATGAGAGCAGGTGGTTGGGGGTGGTGTGTTGGTGCCGTGTGCATGCTCGCCTCCTGAATGCTTATGCTTTGCGTTTTGGGGACAGGGCTCTAACCCATTTTGTGCTCTGCACAGCAGGGATTTAAGAGCAGCCAGGGAGATAGCGGTGTTGACTTGAGTGCTGAGTCTCGGGAGTCATCTGCAACCTCCTCACAGCGCAGCTCCCCGTATGGTACTCTGAAGCCAGAGGAGATGAGCGGGCCTGGCCTGGCAGAACCTAAGGCTGACAGCCATAAGGAGCAGCCTCAGAAGCAATCTGAGCCAAAGGTAACTTGGAAGTTGCCTTCACAGTGGCAGAGGCCTGGGCAGAAGGGGCTGTGGTTCTGTCTTGCTGATGCTTGGGGCACATGGAAGCTAGAGACTGTGACTCAGTCTCTCTGCTTTCCCATCAAGGACTCAGAACAAGGCTCAGGACAGAGCAAGGAGCACAGACCAGGACCTATCGGCAATGAACGTTCTCTGAAAAACAGAAAGGGCTCAGAGGGGGCTGAGCGTCTGCAAGGGGCTGTGGTCCCTCCTGTTAATGGGGTAGAGATTCACGTGGACTCCGTGCTGCCGGTGCCGCCCATTGAATTTGGAGTCAATCCAAAAGTGAGACTTTGGTTTGATTTTTTTTTTTTTTCCTGTACTTAGAAAGGTGGGGCTTAGGCAGGGCTGTCCCTAAAAAGCATTCTGGGAAAGGAGTGTTGGTGTGGAGTCAGGGACAGGCAGGTGATATTGGATGAGTTTACAGGTCGCCTTACTGACAGTTAGCCAGGCCACCAGTGGGCATGGGCAGGGAGACAGGAGTTAGAAAGCTTCCTTTCTTTGTGTGGTCATCTTGCTTATGTACGGCCCCAGTGGATGCCGTGTGGTAGGTTTGTGAGTTGCTGAGATGGGATCACATTGGTGCTTGCCTGGAGAAGGAGAGCTGGGTGGGTACAGTGGCCGTGTGCCTGTGTTTTCCAGGATTCTGATTTTAGCTTGCCGCCGGGTTCTGCCTCTGGTCCTGCTGGGAATCCAGTTGTCAAACTTCAGGATGCCTTGGCTAGTAATGTAAGTCAGTGCTTTATGTGTCTACTCTGCTGTAGGCCAGGGGTGGGGTCCAACTGTCCAAACCTGGACAGTTGCTACCTCTATCTACTACTTGGGGATGGGCGCTCAGCAGACCTGCAGAGTGAAGAGGACTGCTTGAGCAGTGTTCCCAGAAGGTTTCAGGAATGTTAGTGCTCCAGAACACTGGTAGCCATTGAATGAAATACTGGACTAACCAGGTTCCCTTACTTCAAGACTTCTCAGACTTGCTAGAACATGCAAATGGGCACCAGGGCTCTGTAGGAGGGGCCACCCATGTTTCAAGGGACCTCTTCCCTGGTCTCCTGAGGGACTGGGGGACAGCCACACCTTTCCCATCTCTGCCTGGCCACTTCCAAGCCAGGCATCAGCTGCTGGCCTGCAAGTTGCCCGTCCATTTTTTTTGGATTGCTGGGACCTGACTCTTCTGTGGGGTATACATGTAGAGGGGACTCTGTGACTTCTGTCAAGGAAACTGATGAAGGCAGCTGTCTGGGGAACGGAAGTCCTGGTCTTCGGGTGAACTTGAAGACACATTTGGACAAGCTGCTGCCTCATTTCCTCTAGTCCTCCATTCCATGATTTTCTCTCCTCTCCCGCTCCAGGCAGGGTTGCCGCAGAGTATTCCCATCCTCCGGCAGGACCACCACATCCAGAGAGCCATTGGCCTCTCCCCGATGTCCTTCCCCACTGCTGACCTTACATTGAAGGTAACACCAGCCCCAGCTAGGCCACGTCCCTCAACGGCACCTCAACTTGTGAAGAGGTGGAGGGAGGAGCCCTTTGCACCCCATGGCTTAGATTGCCACTGTCCCTTGCTGTCCCTGGTAGTAATTTGCATTCCTCCTCTCTTGCTTCCAAAGATGGAGTCTGCACGCAAGGCTTGGGAAAACTCCCCCAGTTTGCCGGAGCAGAGCTCTCCAGGAGGTGCAGGCTCAGGCCTCCAGCCTCCGTCCTCTGTGGGTGCCTCCAACGGGGTCAACTACAGCTCCTTTGGTGGAGTGTCCATGCCACCCATGCCTGTGGCTTCTGTAGCACCTTCTGCTTCGATGCCAGGTATCATGTCCCCTGAGCCAGGCTCGGGAGCCTTCTTTCATTGTTGAGAGAAGCTTTGGATTAATAGCTACCCCTAAGCACTACCTCTGGGCCTTGATTTTAGGAGCACATGGAAGGACACACTTGTTTCTAGGCTGATTGGCCACAGCTCCCATGTGCTGCAGATTGTGGAACCGTGGTATGGCTCTCCTACCTGCACCTTGCTAGAGAGGAGTAGGCAAGGACGTGACTTTGAGTCAGACTTGAGTCCCCATCACTCCTGCATCAACTCCGCAGCGAGCAGCTCCCTTGTAAGCCATAACTCCGTGGACCACACCTGTGGAGCTAGAGCTTCCCTAGGAGACTCTGTAACTAATAGCTGTTTTTATCCTTCCTGTCACTGTCCTTGTCTCATGTTGCTCCCTAAGAGAGCATGTGGAGATTTAGAGGGCCCAGATGCCAAAGTCTCAGTGATGTGATTCCAATAGATCCTTCTGACCCTCCACTGTGGACTCAATAGCAGGGAGATGAAGAGGACAGTGACTGAGAGACCAAGGCAGACCTCAGCCACAATAAACAGCCCTCCCAAGGGCCTAGGGCAGTTGGTGAGTGGTCAGGTGGGAAAGCTAGGCCATGCCTGCTGCCTTGCTCTGGGCCTGCCTGGGTGTCCGAGGTGCGTCTTAGAGCACAGAAGCAAGTGGTCACTGCTCACGTATGCCCTCACCTCTGCTGGGGCCCTTGGGAAGAGTGGATGTATTCAATGTCTCCCTAAAGCCACATTCAGCAACAGTCAGACTTGATTCTGTTCCACCTTCTCTGGATTCTGTTTCCAGGCAACCACCTCCCGCCTCTGTACCTGGATGGCCATGTGTTTGCAAGTCAGCCCCGGCTGGTTCCTCAAACAATACCTCAGCAGCAGAGTTACCAGCAGGTGAGGGTGGAAAGCCAGGGAGCTGGAAGACAGGTGCAGCACAGGCATGGTCACCTTTTTTTATTTCTTTGCTCGTTGTCTTGTTACCTGTACCCCTCCCATATGAAGCCATGGCAGCCAGAGAATGTTGGTTGAAGGAACCTATGAGATGAGGTGGAATGAAGCAAATGTGCCAGACTTGCTTAATTTCCTTCTTGATTTTCCTTCCTGTCTTAGCAGGGAATTAGCTGGAATGGAGTTTACTGTGCGATCAGGTGTCCCTCTGATGAAGAAAAGAGGGGCTGGGGCTCCAGGGTCAGAAAGAGGTCATTTTAGAAATAAGTAGGTGTTTGATTTTATGCAGAATTGGCATCCTGTCTGTGCTACAGGGCGGCAATCTTTGGAGTCGCCCTCTGAAAGCTGGTACTGGGCCTTCCACACAGCTCTGCTCCCAGTGCAGATTCAGGGGTTAGGACAGAGGATGTCACGTATCCCCGCCTCTTTCTTAAAGCATATTTCTAACTGTTGTGCTTAGTTTTATCAGATACTGAGCTTCATAGAATGACCATACTGCACTGTGGTCTTTTTATCCACCATTGCGTTTCCGAAGTTTGCCTCCATTGATGTGTGTAGCCAGGCTTTGTTCTCAGTGCAGTGCAAAATCCCAGTGTAGGTTTGCCCCATGCCTTAGGATTGCCACCAGTTTTTTGCTGGGGAAGCCGGGTAGGACATGCTGGAATGTGCCACATGGAGGGGCTGGGGCAGGAGTTGGAGAGCCACCTCCTTGCAGGGCATTGCACTTACACCTGGTCTCCATTGTCAGGCTGCCGCTGCCCAGCAGATCCCGATCTCCCTCCACACGTCTCTACAGGCTCAGGCTCAGCTTGGACTTCGGGGGGGACTCCCTGCCTCCCAGTCCCAGGAGATCTTCAGCTCCTTGCAGCCTTTCAGGTAAACTCTCGTTCGCACTTGGTTCCATAGCTAGGGCTTCAGACCTTCATACTGCATTGCTCTGTGGCTGCCTGTGCTCCTCTGCTTTAGGGCCGGAGTTGGGGTCATTGATGAAGCTCTGCATCCCTTCCCAGTCCATCACTGACTGCTCAGGGGAGGTGGGAGCTGTGGACCTTGTGTTCCCTTTGCAGTGTCATCCTCCTTCCCATGGGGTCTCCCGTGCCTGATACAGCCTGGATAACCCATTAGGCTCACACCATGGTCTCCAGACAGCAGTGTCAGACCCATCCAGACCCTCTTTAAGTACTGCTCAGGGGCAGCAGGGATCTGAGTTTCAGTAAGCCCTTAGAATGCTGATGCTCCCCGGATTGAGATCACTGCTATGCTCATCCGTCTGATCCTGGTGTCTGTCTGGCTTTTGCAGGTCTCAGGTGTACATGCACCCCAGCTTGTCACCACCCAGTACCATGATCCTCTCTGGAGGCACGGCCTTGAAGCCTCCGTACTCGGCCTTCCCAGGCATGCAGCCCTTGGAAATGGTGAAGCCCCAGTCTGGCTCCCCCTACCAGCCCATGAGTGGAAACCAGGCTCTGGTCTATGAGAGCCAGCTTGGCCAGGCTGCTGGGCTGGGCGCCTCCCAGATTCTGGACTCGCAGCTCCCACAGGTCAGATCAGTTGCTCTAGCCTCAAACACTAGACCTTCTGACTTTGTGAGCATCTCATACCCTCTCGCTGTCGCTTGTGTGCTAACTAACTCAGTGCTGTAATTCAGCCTAAGTAGTCCCATCACCACTTTCTTCCAAGACCCACTACCCCCACATAGAAGCACCTGCTTTTCTTCTACCTTCCACTGAATCCCCAGTTTGAAGCCTCTACCATAAACTGTTGTGCCAGGGACTGGTGGTTCAGGCCTGTAATCCTAGCTACTCAGGAGGCAGAGATCAGGAGGATTGTGGTTCAGAGCCAGCCCAGGTAAATAGTTCATGAGACCCTATCTCGAAAAAACCCATAACAGCAAAGGGCTGGTGGAGTTCCTCAAGGTTTAGGCCCTGAGTTCAAGCCCCAGTACTGCCAAAAAAGAAAAAAAAATCCTGTGGCTGACTCGCCCTCCACAGAGCTAGAGCTTCATGTTACCAAATCTTGCATCAGAGTCAGTCTTCCCTCCCCTGACCTTGGGCAGTGCCTGGCACCTGGAGGGTCACTCCCTTCATTTGGTCCTTGGCCTGCAGCCTCTCTTGTCTACACTCTCATCTAAACTCGATCCTACCGATAGCTGCCTTTTCCATAATCTCACCATGAATGTCTTACACAGTTGTCACCTGACTTTTCTAACCCCTGTCCATCTCCCAAATTCTTTGATCCTCCAGACCTGTCACTCTCCTTTTTATCCTCACTTAGCCCTGTGGCCTCACTTCCCATCTCCCTACAAGCAGAGCCTTCAAATGCATGCTCCAGCTGTTTCCCTGTCAACCCTGGCCTCCTAGCAGTCACTTCGGAGTGCTGCTTTCCCCTCATAGCCTCCTGCTCTGTTTGCTTTGCTTCCTGTCACCAAGGAAACTGTTGGCAACTGCCCATGAGCCTCAAGGCCACTCCCTGCCACGGCCCCTCTCTTCAGTCTTCCCATCTCCTCAACTCGGGGCAGCTCTGGCAAGTCCCTCTGTTTCCTGTCAGCATGCAGGTGGCCTGACAGGGCCTCTCCATCACATTTGATTGAACTCATGTTCTTCACTTGGTCTTCAGGGCCTCACTCCTGGTTTTCCTTCTGCCTCCTCAAGCTCTCTTGCTTTGTCTCCTTTGCTGCCTCCTCCCCAGTTCAGTGGTAGGTGGGCTACTTTCTGGTCCCATGGCTTTAAATGCCATCCCTGTGCTAGTCGTTCCCCACATTCATTTCTGCAGCCCAGATCCACACCTTGACCTGAACGTCAGAAACAGTGGACTGCCACACATTTCAGCTTCCCCTGTCCAAAACACCATTGTCATCCAAGTCCTGCTGTATGCTCCATCCAAGTAGGACCCTTCCTTCCTACTCTTCTGTGGTCCTGTTGGCTCTGCCTTCATGAGGGACTCGGCATGCAGCCCTTTCTCATTCTTTCTCCCCCACACTGTGCCAGATTTGTAGGAACTGCTTGCTCATCACCCACTTCTGCCCTTGGGTCTCTCCAGCCTGTCCATTCCATGCAGAAGCCAGAAGTCCTTTCACACACAAACCTAATCACACTACACCAAAGGAGCCACTCTATCAACACTGCGTCTTCCTCCTCACCCTGCTGTGCTCCAAGCAGGAGCATGACATTCTGGCACAAGTCTCAGTGATGTGATTCCAATAGATCCTTCTGACCCTCCACTGTGGACTCAATAGCAGGGAGATGAAGAGGACAGTGACTGAGAGACAAAAGTGGCCCAGCCCTGTCCTCCTGTGTGTCTCCAAACCACCTGCCTTCTCTCACTCTGTCGTTCTGGACTTGGGACATGGTCATTTTGGCTGTTCAAGCACCGCTCTTCTCTCGTGGTATGCTTCAAAAGAGTCTCAGGCTCCAGCTGGGTCTTTTCTACCACCATTGATGTAAGACAGTACACATTTCACGTCTTCGTAAAAGATACATTTTCCATGCTTTCATCTGTGTGGACTTGGCGTGGCCGTTACTTCCTAAGCGGCCTTCTTGACTTCCTTGTCTTCTCACCCCTGCTTGGTACACACATGCACACAGCTCACAGGCATGTATAAGCTCTGCATTCATGCCACACACACACTGTCCTCTATCACCTTTGCCAATGTCTGACAGGGCACTTTGCATTTTGTTAAATGATGGTTGGGCTAGCAGAGTGGCTCAGGTAATAGAGGGCTTGCCTAGCAAGTGTGAGGCCCTGAGTTCAAACCCCAGTGCCACTAAAAAAAATTTGTCAAGACAAAGAGCTGAGGCTAACAAGAGCCTCCTGCAAAGATACAGGGGAGGTGCACACTCACACCATCAGTAAGTTCTGTGTGCATGTGCTCTAGATCCACACCTTAGCTTTCTTCCTGACTGTCCTGTTGCCCAGCAGCTGACCATGCCACTGCCCCGGTATGGCTCCGGGCAGCAGCCACTGATCCTGCCACAGTCCATTCAGCTGCCACCGGGTCAGAGCCTCTCTGTTGGGGCCCCCCGAAGGATTCCTCCACCTGGCTCCCAGCCGCCAGTCCTGAACACCAGCAGAGAGGTAAAGGTGACCCCTCCCACCTATGATCCTGGTTAGGGGGCCTTGTTTAGCCAACCCTTCCTGGCTGGCTAATAATCCATGTGGTAGAGAGTGGCGGGGAGCTTTAGGGTGCAGGCTCCCAGCCTTAGTGGACCACAGCTTTCCCACCCTACGAGTCTCAGAATCCCAGGTATCAGGGACTCCGTGGCTTTTCATGTGTTAACTAGACACAAGAAGAACCTGGGGCGTGTGGCAGACTGCCAGACAGTAAGGAAAGGTGCATGCAGTTGTCTCAGCCGAATGGCAAAGAGTCCCATAGGCCCTTCACAGGTCCTAGATACTCTGATGAGTGTGGCCAGGGCTGAGCAGGAATCTGGATTTCTTCCTAAGTCCCAGGTGACTCTCCTGTGGAGGAACAACTTGGTAACTGTCTATACCATGGCAAGTCCCCTGTGGTTCTTACTCTTTAAAAAAAAAAAAAAAAGAAAGAAACCAGATGTAGTGGGGCACATCTGTATTTCCGTAGGTAGAGATATAAGAGGGTCACAAGTTCAAAACTTATGGGGGTACATAGTGAGAACCCTCCCATCTCAAAAATACAAAAGAACATTGTGATGGTACCTGATTGTAGGTAAAGGCCCTCCTGTGAGCCTGAATTGAGAGGGCGTGTCCACAGATTCCTCTAGAAGATGGCTCTGGAAATGCTCATGGGCCCTCACCAGCTCTGCCCAGGGTGGGTCACTGAGGACCAGACTGTCTCTGGGGGTGTCAAATGACAGCTAGTACTTCTTGGTCTCTTTAGTCCTCTCAGATGGAGCTGAAAGGCTTCCACTTTGCCGACAGTAAACAGAATGTTCCTACTGGGGCCTCTGCGCCATCACCACAGTCCTACAGGTAAAGATGGGCCCTGGGGGTTGAGGGCTGCTGACTGAGTATTCAATGTAGATGTGACTCTTAGGAGCCCTGGGTCCAGGCAGAGCAGTGGGAGGGCACCGCTCTATCACTTAGAAGTCCCTGGGACATTTAGTTACTGGTAAAGTGGGAAATGGGCCGATTTGCTTTTAATCATCAGAGTCAGATGTTCTCTGAAGTTAGGAAAAGGAACAGCTTTCCCAGGAGCTCTTTCACCTAAACTCACCCTTTAACCTTTATCGGGGGCCTTTCTTCTCACACTACAAACTGGTACCCAAGTGTTTGCTTCCTTGGCATTTGTCTCCGTCTCCAGTAACCATCCAGGTCCTCTTGGCTTGAACCAAGAGTGTCTGCTAGGTCATGGTGGAAACCCTCTGGTTCCCATGCTGGGATGGGAAGGTGGCTCTGGCCCTGGGCTGAAGAAGGTACAGTTGACCTTGTTCCATCTGGAAGATTCCTGGGGCCCCCTCATGTTTGCACATGAGTGGGACAGAGACACACATGACCTGAAGTGCCCTGGGAGAGGTCATCACCATTGCTCTGGGTGTCATGGGGATCACTCCATTGACATGCATTCTCTGGGTTGGGTCCCACCCTGTGCCTTCTCTTGCTATGGCCATTCTGCCCATTGCTTAGTGGTCAGGCTGGCCTTTCCTCCATCTCATTGCTTACCTCACTTCCAGAGAAAGGCTTCATAAGTTTTCTTCATCTCGTCTTCTGTGTTCTTGCTGTCTTGGCTTCAGTTTTGTTCATGTGTTGGTATGTTTTGTTTTCCTACCATTACCTATCAGTGGGCCTACACAGCAGAGCTGTGTGGACGGCAGCACAGAACAGTGAGTGTGATGTTGGGGGAGGGAAGAGAGAAGCTTCAGTGTGGGCACATGTTCCAGTTCCTCTGCTGGCTCAGAAGCTCACATAATAAGGAGCCTGTGTGCTTTTAGCTGTAGGAAGGATGGTAGCTTTATTCTTCTTGGGAGAATACAGCTGGCCCTCTGTGTCCAGCCAATCAAAAATACCCAGGAAGAGGGGCAGGACCAAGCTTTTTCTGTCCTTATTCCCTAACTAATACAGTGTTATCACTGTTGATACAGCATTTATAAGTAATCTAAAGATGATTTAAAAGTATAAAGGAAGGACTGGGAGTGCACCCCAGTGGTGGAGCACATGTTAGCATGTGTGAGACCCTTAGTTCCATAACCATCCCTCCCCTGCCAAAAAAAAAAAAAATATATATATATATATACACACACACACTCTCTCTCTCCAGTATACTTGAGGATGTGCATAGGTCATATGTGAATGCCATGCTATTTGATACAAGGGAGTTGAATATCCACAGATTTTGTTACTGGGGGAGGGGGTGCTGGAAGTACTCCCTGCAGATGCCAAGGTACCAAGGGGTATTTAGAAAACATAAGCCTCTTGTGTTGTTTTGGCAGGTTTGGGGAAATTGTAATTTTAGAGAGCAGTGTTTGACAAGTTTTTCTTGAAATGGAGCTACTGAGACCTGCTCTGCAAAAATGGGTCTCTGGTCAGAAACACTGGTGTGCTGTCTCCAAGATGGTTTCTTGGGGCATGGTGGCCAGCAAGGTCTAAGTGGCCCCATGCAAGTCTCCTCAACTGCTTGGAACTTAATGCTTTTGACACAGAACCTTATTTTCCACAAAGCACGTCAAATCCCTGGGAACTGGTGGTCAGTGGAAAACACTAAGAAGAATGCTGTACATTCTGCTCTCACATTTCCACACACCCTCCCCCCCCCCCCCCCGCACCACACACACACACACACACACACACACACACACACACACACACACACACACACACACACTTTACAAGTGAGGACTAGAAAAATACTTGGCACAATTCTGGCTCAGCGTTGGGTTTGTAAACCTGTTGTCTGGGGTGCTGCATCATGTTGGTCCACACCCTCCAATCCAAACCCTGAGAGATGGCCAGTGGCCATCTGTCCATAGGAGGGGCTTTGGCCTGTCTTCTCCCAGTGTGTCTCCTACAAGTGCCAGGGTGGATGGTGATGATCACCCTCTTCACCCTTCTGTATTCTTGGCTGTGTCAAGTCAGGCTTTTTTCATCTGAGAGGTGCTGATGACCCAGAGTGAGTGCCTCTGGCCACAGGACCCTTCCTGTCTTGTGCCTCCTCCATGTGCTAGGCTTTGACTCCATCTCTGGTGACACGTGTGTATTCTCAACCCTGCCTTTGGTTTTTTCAGGCCTAGCTCTGCTAGCCCCAGTGGGAAGCCCTCTGGATCAGCAGTTAACATGGGCTCTGTGCAGGGACACTACGTCCAACAGGTAGAAGACGGCTTTCCAGACCCTGCAGCCCTGGACACTTAGGCCTGTTTCCCAGCGCCAAAGGAGAAGGGACTGTCCAACCAATTGAGTTCTCCTTTTACAAAGAGAAACCTGCCCTAGCAGTTAGAGCTGGGTAGCTGAGTCCCTCCTGGCGAAGGGTTTTCTCCTCTTGATGGACCTCTGGATCCTTCCTTGTCTGGCAGAGAAGGGAGGATGCTGGTTCCTCAGAGGAGGTGATGCCAGGTGTACAACCCCTAACCATTTGGGCTCTGATGGCGCTCTGGGAGGCTCGGTTAGGTCTGTGGGTTGGTTAGCTGCAGAAGCCCGGGTGTGTGCACGTGCTAGCTCTAGTGAGTGATGTGTTGTGTCTTTGTGTTGGCTGGGTGGGATCATGGATAGGATTAAGCTTTCCTATTTATGAGGACTTCTCAGTATCTTTTCCTGCAGGCCCTGTTTTTTTTCCTACTCTAAAATGTGTGCTAGGGCTCCAGAACTCGGGATGTTAAGCCCAGGTCCTAATCAGTCAGCATCACTGGCTGGTGGAGGTGGAAAGCAGGAACTCTTCTTTTACCTATTGACACCAGCTTTTCTCGGGGTTACTACTTGAATCCTGTGGAATGAGCTTCTAAAGCCTTTTTTGAGGGCTGAGGATACAGCTCAGCGGTAGAACTTGCCTAGTGAGCATAGGTCCTACGTTGCAAAACAAAGCAGCTAGAGCTTTCTCCCAGGGCTAAGACCACTGAGAGAGGGGCAGAACTTTGCTGGTCACCCCAGGACACCCTCCACTGTGCAGAGCTGCAGGTTATGAAACCCGATTGGGAATCTCAAGATCAAACTTGGGTCCTGGGGAAATGTTTTTATACAGTGGGACTTCGTGGTGGGAACTTGACTCAGTCTTGGTCAAAGATATGGGAGAATCGATTCTGCCAACCCACCTCCTCCACTGTTGGGGTTCCAAGGCTTTTGGGGCAGACCAGGATCTACCTGAAGGGGCTTTTTTGCTTTTGGGTCATGGGGTGCACTGATTTAAAAAGGTTCCTCCCCTCAGCCTTGGGACCCAGAAATGCATCACCCAGGATATGCCATCACTGAATGCTTTCTGGAGGACCCGCATCTTCCTGCCTCTCTGAATCACTGTATTTCATGCCATGAGAAGGAACAGGGTAGTCACACCAGGTTCCTTACTAGAAGAGCCATCTAAATCTGGTCCCTGAGGTCACAGGGCTGTAGCTCAGTGGTAGAGTATTTACCTAGTATGTGCAAGACCCTGGGTTTTGACTCCGGCAAAACACACACGCGCACACGCGCACACACACACACACACACACACACACACACACGCACACACACACACAAAATATCTGGCCCTTTAACCAAGGTACAGACAGCTTAGGGTAGCTTTTGTGTGTGTGTGTATGTGTGTAACTCAGAAGCTAGAAGGTAGTGGTGGTAACTGTGTCTCTAAACACATTATGCCTTAGGGTCATTTTCTTTTTCTTGTTCATCTATCCAAAGGCAAAACGAGTGGATGAAAAGCCCAGCCTGGGAACCATGAAGCTGCAGGAGGCCCCCTCAGCCACTTCCCAGATGAAGCGAACCGGAGCAATCAAGCCTCGGACAGTCAAGGTGGAGGAGAGTAAAGCCTGAAGGTGCCCGGTGCCCTTTTGCCTCACCCCAGTGGACGGCACCACCCAGCCTGGACAGTCACTGCTTGGGACCTCACCGGATCTACCGTCCACCCACTTGGCCTGGACTGAGAGCTCTTCTCTGTCCTTTGAAAGCTCCATTGTCAAGCAGCTCACACCGTGGATATACGGAATTGACCTGCTTGCTTTGATGCAAAAGAGCAATGATTCCGTCCCTCCCTCCCACTCTCCTAGTGACTGGAGTGAGCCGCCTTCTGTGCAGTGCAGCCTGCCCACCCCGCCCCATCCCCAGGCACAGTGGTTTGGCAGCAGGGTCACTTTAGCCAGAGGCTTTTTGTTTTAAAAAGCAGCTATGGTTTTTACAAAGGGGAAAGGAAAACAAATGCCAGCTACGTCTGTGTAGCTGAACTTTTATACGTTCCTAGCTGTCCTCTCCCAGCCCCTTCTGCAGTCCCCAGTGGTCTTTTACCTCTGTCCTGTTCAACACGTCACTGCGATACCTTAAGGGATGACTTAAGAACGCACCCCCAGTAGGTTAACCTTTGGGGCTGCTGAGGACATGGTTGTGAGCGTTCTGCTTATCAGCCCACCACCTTGGGCGAGGCCAGGTGGGGCTTGCAGAGCAGAGCAGCAGGTAGGTTGGTGTCTGGCTTGGGCTCCAGCCCCTGGCATGAAGTTGATGACATATATTAGCATAAGAATTACACAGGGCTGGCAGAGTGGCTCAAGTGGTAGAGTGCCTGCTGGCAAGCGGAAGGCCCTGAGTTCAAGCCCCAGACCACAAAAAAAAAAAAAAGGAATTACGTAGATTTCTGTCCTAGGCTTGTCTGAAGCCAGTGGTCACACTGACTGCTGGGCACCAGAGGTGAATCATGGAGTTACAGTCACCGTCATTTTTCAGATAGGCTGGGATGGCATGAGCTGATGCACCACAGGCTCCCATTAGTGTGCTGTGCTTTGGGGCCCTCACATCCCACCTTTTGGGACTGTTTCCCCTCCCTTTCCACGAAGCTTCCGTAAGCTGTCATTTTCCTGCCTTTCTGGAGGCTGTCATGGTCCCCTCTGGATTCCTGTCTCTCCAACTGTCACAGCTCACCACTAAAACCACAGTAATGGGAGCATGTGGACCTGTTTGGTCATGTCTGTAGCAAAGGCATGTACTTGCTCCTTCAGACAGGTAGCAGGAGGTTTTCCTTTTGTTCCTGTTTCTCACTGCTTTCAGCAGACCAAGGTTGTTGGGATGGGTGAGCCTGGGCTAAGCAGCAGGCTTCAGTGTCACTCATCTTCACAGTCAGCCAGGGAGGGGCAGGGTGAAGGGTCAGCAAAGCCAGTCATAATTCCAAAGAGCCTGGGCAGCCTCCCAAAAAGGATATAGCCTCTTGGAAGTTTTGTGTGAGCCACTGTTTGCTGGGCTTCCGGTTTTTAAATAAGAAACCAGAAAATCATCCCTGTCTCCATCACTCCAAGGAAGTGAAAGGGGAATTCCAAGTTCCTCAGATGTTCTTTGGGATCCTTAAGTAACCACCTGCTTGTGGGAGCTATTGCTGCCCCGAGTGGTCCCAGAGGAGACCTGCTGCAGAGAGCTTGTGATGCATTTGAGGGCTGGGATATGCTTTCTGTCTGCTCCCAGTGTCACCACGGGTGTAGGTTCTGAGCTGTTTAGTGTAGAGCTCAGGGGAAGAGGCATCCTAGGAGCTCTGAAGTGGCCTCTTGCTCTCTTGTTTGCTGCTGTTAGGAAGTGGGGGTCTGCCTCCTTCAGCTAGCAAGTGCTATGTGTCGTCCTTAGCGCAGTCCTACCAAGAGGCTTTACTGCATATCCATAGCTCTCAGCACCTCCCCCTTTGCCTCCACCCTCAGACTTTACCGAGTTGATTTTTTTCTTCCTCATCCTATAAATCTTTACTCTTAACCTTCCCTTCTTGGAGTCCCTGGCACTGGGCTGCCCATGTCCTTCATGTGTTCCCCCTGCAGGCGTCTGGTCCCTGTCCCAGTGATGAACCCTCTGCCCCCACCCTGACACCATTGCCAAGACATCCATGGACGAGTCTGGGTCAGTCACAGACTCAGCACATCCAGCCCCAGGCAGTCGCCTCTGCTGGTCCTCCTCAGAAACACCTCTGGACCACTCACCTAATGCTGGTGTTCATTATGTGTCAAAAGAAACAAAAGTTTTCTCCTTTTGAAATTGAAAAGAACAGTTCTGGATGCTGTTACAAATGCAAGATATGCCCTTCAGGTGAACCTGCCATCAGCTGACAGTACTTCCTGCTGCTTGAGAGAAATTACAACAGGTCATCTGTTCTCAGCCCTGTCTCACACCCTATTTTTCCTTCCTTCCTCCCCTTCTTCTCCAAATAAAAACAAGAAACACTAGAATTTATTTATATGTATTGATGTTGTAGGTCTAGGTGAAAAAACAGTAAATGTCCCCCTGCTCTATTTATATATAATGTCTGAATTACTCTGTGCAGGAAAGGCCAGGAAATTGCATGTGAAGTTTGGTGCGTTCACCATCTCTGTGTGACCTCAGCTGCAGGCCCCTGCCCTCTGAGATGCACATTTTAAATTGGACTCTCCGGGGACAGAGGGCAGGCCTCAGGCCTCCTGACATCCCTACCCCTTCCGTGTCTGATTAAATGACATTTTTAGTGCGGAGGTGTTTTAAGGTGCAATATCTCTCTTCATGTGGTTTTAGAGCCAAGCTCAAGGTCATAGAACTTGGGATTTTATTTTGGTTTCAACCCCCCATCCTCAGATTCTAGATGCATGTAGAAGCTTCTGTCAGGATGCCATGGCCTTTGGTGGGAACAGGTGAAACCCAGTACCTACCTTTTCTACTGCTTAGGTGGGTGGGAGCAAGAGGTGCAGAATTGCCTCACCCTGCCTGCTCAAGTCACTGCCTGATGCTGGCAGCATTGCTCAGGCCATTGTCGTGCAGCCCAGCAATTGGTGACTTTGCTTAAGTTTTTGGTCCAACAACTTGGAGTGAAAATCGAGTGTGTGGGGGTGTGTCTGAAACATAGTGCCCACCCACTGAATCCTGGGCTGCCAACTGCATCTGGTCTGGTTTGTTCACATTAGTATTGTTTTCACACTTGGAATCCATAGAACATTTCTGCCTCTAGGTTCCTTAAGGGGGAAAATAAAGGATGGCTTTGTTACACATTCAGAAAAGCTGGCTCACTTTCAAAGCCATGGTCATTCAGCTTCCTCGAGGAATATTGGGATAACTTGTTGAATATTGACATTGCCCCAGTTTTCTGGATCTGCCGTGCAGATGGTCAGTGATGATGTGTTTGTGACTGACTAATCCTAGGTGGCAATTATGTGCACCCAGGGCTCAGTGTGTTTCGACCTGGCCTACTAAAGCTGTGCGTGGCAACTCCTGGTGAAGCCTCACTCCCCACTGGGTTCCCACTACCAAGTACCTGCATGTTGCTGCACAGACTCTTTTCACTTGCAGACCAAGCCAGAGGGTCTGTTTTAATTGGCCTTGGACAGCCATGGATACTAGAGAGTGTGTGCTGTCATGTTGAGTGGGAAACACAGACTTCCAGAAAGCCAGCTTTCCTCTGAATGAGATGGACCTAAGACAAGTAGGTCATCAGATGGGAGGGACTCCACACATTTGCCCAGCCATGCTTTCCACTGGGGCTACCAGCATCTGGCTAGTCATATTCCAATGCATGAGACCTGTGTTTCACCATTTCTCTGCCCCAGTTTGGTGGCTTCCAAGATGTACCAGCATCCCCAGGGCTGTCTGCAGCATGTCATGAAGCCTTGGAGTGGCAATTCCTGTGAGGGCTCTGGGCGGATGGCTTTCTTCCATTGTTGAAAGGGGGCTCTGTACTCTAAGCTTTTAACCTCATGCCTTGTGTAGTAAAAAGAATTCAAGGGTTTTTGTTTTTGAGAGGGTTATGTTTTCTTTTGCTTTTATTTTGGCCTTTCCTCTCTTTGTCTTTTCATGTAGACCAGATATTTGAAAGGGCAGACGATGGCTCAGTGTACCGTGCGGCTTGTTCATACGTGATTTGGGGAAACTTTTACCTCGGATGGGAAATGGAATCGTGGATTCACCCAGCCGTGCTGGACGCTCCCCCTCCCTTCCCTCCAGTTCAGTACCTGTTGTTTCTCCTTTCAAATATGTGATTGTACTAGCTCTTTCCATATGAAAGAACTCTCCTTATTTAAATAAAAAAAGTAAAAAAAAAAAATAAAGCTGAACATGCTTTCTCAGGTTGTGCATCCCTTGTTTCTCAGACATTTGACAGAGATCTACATGAAAACCAGCGTGGCTTGGCTGAAAGGCCTGAGCTGAGAGCAACACAGGGACACAAGGGACTGAAACTTCAGTAAGATGCATCCTCAGAAGTCCCGACCGCTTCCCTGTGATGTCATTCCAGGTGTGCATTTCTGGCCAGTTTGGTGCTCCACCCCACGCGTGGTACCATTCCTAGCTGACCTTGTGCAGGGAGGGGGAAAGGATTTATTATACCATACTTGTGGGTGGGGAAAGAACAAGCCAGGTCTGGGGCAGTGAAGGGTCAAAGAAGTTCAGAAGGTTCAGTAGCAGTGCTTGGTTTTGCCACCACCTGTGTGACCTTGGGACAGACACCACCACTCGAGTTACAATTTCCTTAGCCATAAAATGTGGGTACCTACCTCAGGGGCAATGTGTAATCAAAGAAGTCACGGTTACCATCTTTCTGCAACATTTACCCAAGAGAGGTAAACGCCGGCCACGAGGAACCCCGATCCCTCAGCCTCTTGAGCCTCTTGCTACGGAAGAGTTAGGGACCTGGGCTTTGAATCAGATCACCACAGTGAGCCCTGCTCATCCGTAGGATGGAGGCGCTGTCCTGAAGCACCATTGCCCTTTTCACGCCTTGAACCAAGGCTCTGGGACTGGGCGCCCTCCCTCTCTCCACAGTCCCGGCCACTTCCGTCTATAGGAACCTGGGCTGTCAAGTTACTAGAATGAACCTTCCCTTCATTTTTGTGTCATCTAATACTGGGTTGACCAGCATGGGAAACACGAATCTTCGCAAAACGGTTAGGAAGCCTGACTGGAGTTAGTAAGGCAGGAGTGTCATGCACGTGTGTTGGTGCGGAAGTGACCAGCAGCCGGGTGGCCCGGGAAAGGTGTGGGAGGCATGCGCTCCACCGGCCGCAGGCACTGGGCTCGCAAGGCCGAGCGGAAGGATCAGGGGCTTGGCGAGCGAAGTCTAAAGCAGCCCACAGCTGCGCCGCTCACCACCGGGGACGCTGAGTGCACTTACCCTGCCCTTCTCCGCCAGCAAGGCGCGCGAATAGAACGCCGGAGTCGTCCCACCCGAGTGCAGAGCACGGAGCAGAACACGCAGGAGCCCAGTGCGCTTAATAATAATAACACATGTGTACAGGGTACACAGAAATCCTGGGACACCAGAACTGGGAATAACACACACACAAAAAAAATCGGAAGCGTCGCGGTTTTTCCCACACCTTCAATCCTTTTGACCCGCTGCGCATGCGCACTGCCTGCCCCCCGCTGCGCACGCGCGCCGCTCTCCCGCCCCCGCCCACTGCGCATGCGCACCGCTGCCCGTTCGGCTCTGCAGGCGCCGCAGGTAGAGCTTCAAACCGTAGGCGGTGCGGAGTGTTGACAGCCTCGCCCCCAACGGTCAGTCTCCACGGCAGTTCCGTGGCGTGGCCGGCTACCCGGAGCAGCTTTGCGGGACACGGAGAAACGCCAGCACGTTTTGGGAGCGCCAGAGACGAAAGTCCGGCCGGGACTCTGGAGCCGGTAAGTGCAAGACGCGGAGGCGTCCCGGTCCTTGCGGAGCAGGGATGGGGTCCAGACAGGCGGAACTTGCTCGGATAAACAAGGGGTTTGGAGAGGAGAGGGTGCTCCCGAAAGAGGTGAGAAGGTTGGAGCAGACGCAGCCCCGGGGGAGAGGAGAGGGCTAGGACGGCAGGCCCGGGAGACGGGTCTGGAAGAGGGGACCCTTGAGGCCTCGGGAGAGGTGGGGTTGCTCAGGGAAGGAAGGGGATGCCCAGGGGCGTAGGTTTTGGGGAACTAGATGCAGCCTCGAGAACTGAGCTGGAAGGAAGATGAAACGGCAAGATAGAGGCGTCCCGGCGCAGGTGCGCTCCAGCTAAGAAAGGTGAGGCCAAGGGCTGACGACGCCCCGCGAAGGGAAGCCGAAGCACTTGGGGACACTTGAGGTTGGGGAGGAGGCTCAGGAAGGTCGAGGTCACTGGACTGCTAAGGCACCCCCGAGAGCTGGTGGCCGAGAGAGGTCACATCATTCATTAGCAGTATAGCCTCGCTCCCAACAAATGCCCAGCAGCTGGTTGTGGAATGAGTTGAAGTGAGTGAACGTCCAGTCCCGAGATTCCTGAGTTTCACCCAGATTTGCTGCCCTCCCTCTACCTTTCTCCCGGAGATGTGTTTGTGCTAGCATCCTATGGTGGACACTGTAGTGACCCTCCAGTAGGGATGCTCCAGAACTGCCTATTGGCTCTTTTTCCCTGGGTACATCTGGGAGCCAGGCTGCTGTGGGATCCTTGTAGCCTTTTGCAAACCCTTCAGGGCTGCCTATTTACTGATAGCAGCTCTTCCCTTCCTTTCCAGGGTGTCCTCCTGCGCTTGCTTTTCTACAAGATGTTTGGATTTTTGAAGCGCCCTGTAGTGGTGACCTTTCACATCAACTTGAATATCGTCGCTCTGACTGGAGTGGGGCTGCTGAGTCGGCTGTGGCAACTCTCCTATCCTCGGGCTGTGGTGTGAGCCAGACAACTCCAGCAGGCTGGGAAGGCCCAGAAGGATGGGAATTCGTGACCAAAAGTGCCTTGTTAATGCCAGTGGGAGAGAAATTCTGGGCTGCTTTGGCCTCTTGGTGATGGATGTTGTGGCAGTGAGGACAAGACCAGTTTGTCCCCAGGATAGCCCCTCTTAGGCCCTATGGCCCCTTAAATGGGTGCAGTAGAGAAAAGTCTAGTTTCAAGCCTTAGCTTTTCCATTTTAAAATTGGAGGGCAAAAAAATAAGTAAAATGAAATTGGAGGGCAGAAGATGGGTAGATTTGGAAATGAGTCTGCATTATTCAGGGTGCTCAGAGAGTGCCTTTGTTCAGAGTGGAAAGTGATTGTTGTCAGTATTGAAGGATGTTTATATAAACTGAGTAATACATGTGCTCTTTTTCTTGACTTTTTTTTTTTCCTTTTTTGGCAGCATAGGGTTAGAACTCAGGGCCTCATACTTGATAGGCACTACTTTAATCACTCCACCAGCTCTGTTATTTTGTGTGTTGGGTTTTTTCAAGATAGGTTCTCGCACACTATCTTCGAGACCTCCTGAGTAGCTAGAATTACAGGCATGAGCCACCGGCGCCCAGCTTGTTTAACTTTCATTATAGGAAATGTTAAACCCATACGAAAGTAGGGAGAATGGTATAATGGCCTCACCACCAGTAGATTTGTCACCCAGCTTCAGCAGTCAGCTCATAGCCAACCCCCTCCCCACAGTGGATTAGTTTGAAGCAAATGCTAGGTATTACATTTCATTTATAAGTGAGTCAGTATATATGTAAAAGGTGAAGATTCTTAAAATTCACCTAACCACAGTAACACTACCACGCCTAAGAAATGGACAGGAAGTCTTTGGTGTCATCAGATTTCCCCAATTGTCTGAAATGTTTTAATGCAGTTGGTTCCTACATGTCTTCTTTCACATGTGCAGTGGTTTCATTGGGTCACCAGGTCTGATTCCCACTCATAACCATAGATGTATGCTGGGGACCATGAAGGGTGTGAGATGGGATTAGCCTCACGTTCTTTGAGGTCTTTCAGTAGGTTGGGCTAAGTCACACCTAATTCAGAAACTAGAAAGAGAAATAGGATCTGTATGAGACAAGCATCCTGACTGACATCTGTTCTTGGTGAATTTTCTGTCGTGCCCCTGTGTCTTAACATTTGGGACAGATACAATTGAGGCAAAAGATCTGACCCTGCTCTTCACTCACCTAATCCTTTGGAAGTCCACGTGCTTTTATTCTCATGCTTAGCTGATGTCCAGTTGAGGCTGGTTAGAGCACTTGCCTAGTAGGCGTTTGGCCCTGGGTTTGATCCCAGCAGGGCAGATTTCCAGTTGAATATAATGCTTTTTTTTGTTCTGTTTTTCAGTTTTGATGAGGTGTATTATGGGCAGTATGTCTCTTTTTATATGAAACGGATCTTCTTTTTGGATGACAGTGGACCGCCGTTTGGACACATGCTGCTGGCCTTGGGAGGTAGGATTTATTAGTAAGAGAAGTAACCATGGCCTTCCTCAAATACATTTAAAACTTATCCTTGAACTTTCTCAAGGGCAGAAATCACATCTCATTAATGTCATTATCAGTATGTTGGCCAAAATGGTGTATTTAAAGGAATAATTAAATGCACAAGGGAAAAAAACTTCATGATGGGAAACATTCTCTGCTTTCCTTGGAATTTTCTCTTCGAAATGAATATTAAAATCAGCTAACCAAAAGCCTACAAAACCCAAATCCTACGTACCTTTTATCAGATCATGTCTTCCTATTTACTTGTTTTGCTTCTGCTTTACCTGCCATAGTACTCCTGAAATTAATTTTCTGTTTTAGGTTATTTAGGAGGATTTGACGGTAACTTTTTGTGGAACAGAATTGGAGCAGGTAAAAGGAAAGTTTAATTTTTCTTATTAATGAGCACATGATAGAATGGAGAGGTGATGTCTTTCATGGGGATTCATAATTGCTGTTTATCAGTCTGAGTCCCAGGTCTGAAAAATTATTTGGGTACAAGTAAAAGACTTTTGAAAAGCCTGATAAAAGTCTTAGTGTTTAGTTAAAGTAATTTGATCCCTAGTTTTTGGTACATGTATCCTGTGGCATTTGGTAACCGTTAACTTCTTTTTTTGGGGGGGAGTGGCAGTAACCTGGGTTTGAGCTCAAGGCCTCACGCTTGCTATGCAGGTGCTCTTGAGCCACTCCACCAGCCCTTGTTTTGCTTTTAGTTATTTTTCAGAGACCCTTCACATTTTGTTCTAGGCTGACCTCGGGCCATGATCCTCCTACCTATGCCTCCCTTCAGATGAAATTATAGGCATTTGCCACCTTGCCCAGCTTATTTGTTATGGGGTTCTTTTTTTGTTTTGTTTGCAGTACTGGGATTTGAACTTAGAACCTTGCACTTGCTAGGCATTTACTCTGCCATGTGAACCACACACTTCTAGTCCCCGGCTTCCTTGTTGATCTAGGGCCTTACTAACTTTTTGCCCAGGCTGCCCTTAAACTGTGATCCTTTTGATCTCTGCTTTCCAAGTAGCTGGATTACAGGCCACCATGCCCAAGTGGTTGCTATTATCTTTTATATGCATAAAATTTGTATGTCGCCACAGTGTTTTTGGAAATAGGTGGGGTAAGTATAAGTGAACATTAATCCTTAATCATATTTCCTGTGCACGGGAAGAGTAGGTTCCCTGACTGTGTAAAGCAACATTCAAAACAGCTGGGCATTGTGGCGCATACTTACAGTCCTGACTACTAGGGAGGCTGAGGCGGGAGGATTGCTTGAGCCCAGGAGTTTGAGGCTAGCCTGGGCAACACAGCAAGACCCTGTCTCTAAGAAAATAACAACAACAAATCCAAAGCTAGTTTTAAGTCATTTACCCATAGTTTGCACTCAGTTGCTAGTGTGGTCCCCAGTTTTGTAAACTTGAATTTCAGCCTGTGCTACAGAGCGTGAAAATGATATGTGTACCTTGCTCTCAGCTCTGCTATGTGATTCCCTTTCAGAGTACAGCAGCAATGTACCCGTGTGGTCTTTGCGTCTGCTGCCGGCACTTGCAGGGGCCCTGTCGGTCCCAGTGGCCTACCAGATAGTGTCAGAGCTCCACTTTTCTCACTGTGCTGCCATGGGAGCTGCCCTGTTGATGCTGATTGGTAAGCCCTGCACTCTACTGCCCTTGGCATTGTACAGGGAAAAACCGAGCCAACGCTGACCTGTGTGATGTTTCAGCCTGAGGCTAGGAGGGCTCAGGGGATTAGTGGACTGCTGCGCAGGGAAGCACATCTGTTTCATCTAGATTTGCCTCTGTGAGACCCTGGCTCCCAGGCTGACCCTTGGCTGTGGGACTGCGGGGCTCTGTGATCCAACTTTATCCCCCAGTGGAGGTGTGGCTGGCCATAGAAAGGGAGGCACTGCTAGATAGTGCTCAGGGCACATACCCCTCACAAACACCTCCACTCCATGTTATCCTCCCTCTGCCACCTGAGATTGTAAGTCAGTGGGTCCTTTTTCAGGTCTGGATATGAATGAGTGGTTAAATCAGATGAAAAGTTAGACCAGAAAATAAAAAGAAATAGTGTTTATTAGGTGATGACTCTGTATGAGGTCTGGTGCCCTTATAATGTTTCAGCATTCACAGCAGTTCTACAAATTTGTTACTTCTGCAAATAAGAAAAATAAAGTCTCAGTCTACACAGATACAGGAATGGTCCAGACCTAAGGTTTTGCCTTCATGGCTCTGCCAGCCATGTGTCTGAACCTCCACCATAGTCTGCAACCCTGTTTAGTGTGTTTGCCTTAGTTCAGAACACCAACCTCTCTCTGCAGCTGAAGATTCTGCAGCTGCAGATTGAACTAACCTCAGATCAAAAATATTCAAAGAAAATGAAAACTCTGGGGCTAGAGGTGTGGCTCAGTGATAGAGCACTTGCCCAGGATGTGTGAGACCCTGGGTTTCATCCTCAGCCTCGTGGGGGAGGGGTAACACCTCCTGCGTTCCATCTCCAACATTGGAGTGTGTGTGGGGGAACACCTACTCATTCTTGCCAGGTATGGTAGCACATAAATGTAATCCCAGCATTTGGGAGGCTGAGGTAGGAGAATCTCAAATTCAATGCCCACCTGAGCAATATGGCAAGACCCTGTCTCAAAAAGAAAACGAGTAGAGAAATATCACAATGAAACCTTGAAACCCTTTGTACAATTAATGTATTGCTAACTTTTTTTAAACTACTCTGTATGTACCAAACAGGTAAACTTTTGTTTTTCTTGTCATTGCTCCCTAAACAAGACATTAAGACAACTTACTTACTATCATTTACATTGTTTAAGTGTTATAAGTGATCAGGACATGACTTACTTAGAGGATACAAGAGGTTATATGCAAATACTCTACCATTTTCTATGAAGAACAGGTGGATCCATGGACTGTGGTGTCCTCAGAGGGGATCTTGGGACCCAGTCCCCCAAAAGTGCCTGAGAGGCAACTGACTGCCTTTTTTTTTTTTTGGCAGTACTGGGGTTTGAACTCAAGGCCTGTACCTTGCCACTCCATCAGCCCTTTTTGGTAATTTGTTTTTTTTTTTTTCAAGATAAGGTCTTGCCAACTATTTGCCCAGGCTGACTTTAAACCACAATCCTCCTCATCTCTGCCTCCTGAGTAGTTAGCATTACGGGCATTAGCCACCAGTCCCAGACTTGTCTGCCTTTTTTGTGAATGTTTTTGTTTTCACACATTTGCCTGTGCCTCCTCAAACCTGATGTATGTCTCATCTTTGCAACAGAGAATGCCCTGATCACGCAGTCCAGGCTCATGCTTTTGGAGTCATTGTTAATATTTTTTAATCTACTGGCCGTGTTGTCCTATCTGAAGTTCTTCAACTCCCAAAAACACAGGTATGGAAAGTGGGGCATAGCTTTCCTTCCTACTTGAGGAGAAAAAGGACTCGTTGAGGAGAAAAAAGACTCGGTGCTTTCTGATACCTTTTATTCTGAGGAGTTGCAGCTAAATGCCTTTGGCCACCTAACATTGTGGGGTTGACTCTTGGCCCATGACTTCATAAACACATCCTCATTTTTCTGTTATTTTATACTGATAAAAAAATTTTCTTGAAAATTTGCTGGAACTGAAATTGGGAGATTGGGACTCTTCTCACTGTTCCCTGTGCTCAGTGTCACTAGCCAACCCAGACAAATGTCTCAGCCTATACAGCAATGAGTGTGAACTGTTGCTGTCCTTCTGTTTTTATCCCAGCTCTTTTTCTCTGCGCTGGTGGTTTTGGCTGATGCTGACTGGGGTCTCTTGTTCCTGTGCAGTTGGGTGAGTTAGAGTCACCTGTCTCAGACGGTGTCATTCCCCGCCCCCAAGTTTTTGTGTCTCATGGTAACCTTATTTACTAACGTTTTTCAGCATCAGATACATGGGGGTTTTCACGTACTTGCTCGTGCTCAGCGTTGCAGCTGTCCACGCCTGGCATCTGATTGGAGACCAGTCTTTGACCAATGTAGGTGCTATGTCAATGCCATGTTGGGCCAGCCTGTGTGGGGCCAGTAGGGGCTTTCCCAGGGAGCAGTTGGTGCAAAGAGCTGACTCTTTAAAGCTTCAGAGCAGACCGGCTGGGCAACCTCACCTGTCAGCCTTGGTGGGCGCCTCTGCTGTGGGAAAGTCTCTGTTTCTAACATTTTCTAAGCCGGCAGTGTCTGGAAGTGGACATGCCTCTCTACAGATAGAAAGTGACCTTTCTTTTCTTTTCTTCTGGCAGATCGTTGTGTTCTGTCACTTGCTCGCCCGAGCAGTAGCTTTGTTGGTCATCCCGGTCGTCCTGTACTTACTGTTCTTCTACATTCATTTGATGCTGCTCTACCGCTCTGGGCCCCATGACCAAATCATGTCTAGTGCCTTCCAAGCCAGCTTGGAGGTAAGAAGTGGAATGATGAAGTCACTTCAGAAAGAAAATAGTCATAGACTCAGAGTCGTCTGTCTAAACAGCATCACATGAACATCACAGGAAGAATCAAGAAGGAAGGCAGCCACACCAGTGTTTCTAAGGGAATTCTAAAATAAATGAAGGATCTCAGTCTGACTCACTTGAGACATCTGCTGCTCATGCATATGAACTCTCCAGATGTGTGTGGGTTGTCCATCCCTAATCTGATAATCCAAAATCTGAAATGCTTCAATTTCCAAACTTTTTTGAGGGCTAGCATTATGCACAAACAGTTTCAGATTTGGGGGATTGTTAGGGATGACTAAATGTTAAGATCTATGCAGTTGTTCACAATCTGAGCACTTCTGTTTCAAGCATTCAGACGAGGGCTACTCAGTCCTGCAGTGGTTAGGAAAGGAGCCTCGAGCAAGCCTGCCCGCCTGTCCTGGCTCTGCCGACAGCCAGTTCTGTGTTTCCTCAAATCAGTCTCATCTTTCTCATCTCTCCCACATAATAATTGCCCACCTCTTACAGGACACTTGTAAGAACTAAAGTAGGTTTGAGTGGAAGGGTCAGCTGGGGGCCTGGCTTGGGGGCCTCACTGCTTCTGATTTGCAGTGGAGCAGGACAGGGTTCCGGGAGTTACTTATGACAGTTAAATGACAATAGTTGCCACTATCCTGAGCATCACTCCAGATGTAGGAGTGGCTGTCCCAAAGGCTAGTTTAGGATTGTTAGCCTGTCATGCTCACATGTGACTTTCTCTGTTTGTCTTAGGGAGGACTAGCCCGCATAACCCAAGGCCAGCCCCTGGAGGTGGCCTTTGGTTCCCAGGTCACTCTGAGGAACATCTTTGGCAAACCCTTGCCCTGCTGGCTTCATTCCCACCAGAGCACCTACCCCATGATGTAAGGAAAGTGACCATTTTAATCTGTAGATACAAAATACTGTGTTTTTTCAGTTTTGCTTGATGTTAGCAACCTTCACTTTGTGTGAGCAAGTTTGTGAGAACAAAGGCAGCTAAGCTTGAGGATCCCGGTCCTACGAGTTTTGTGAAACAGTGGGAGGGCTTGTGATGCCACAGCTGTCCCTCCTGTGACCACTCTGAGATTCACCTGCCTTATCTGTCTGCCCTTAGTTTCCCCCGACACACCCTACTAGGTAGTATCTGTTAAAGTCTGTTTCCACAGAAACCGTGAAGGACCCGTTGGGCCCTTGGCTAACCACTTCAGATACATTCTTTGTTGACTTCTCACACAGATATGAGAATGGCCGGGGCAGCTCCCACCAGCAGCAGGTGACCTGTTACCCCTTCAAAGATGTCAATAACTGGTGGATCGTGAAAGACCCAGGGAGGTAAGTCTGAGTCCCAGGACTCTACAGAAAAGCTCGCTGCCCAGCTGGCACAAGTGTCTGGCTCTGGCTCAGTCTCCGGCCTTCTCTCTCTGCTTGCTCCTGTCTTGTGACCTTGTTCAGCCTGGAGTGTCCACACTGTGTTATTAATGTGTTAGGTCATCAGTGACCTGCCTCTCAGCAGCTGTTAGGAGCCTTAGAGGGCCCCACGTGCCCCTCCTCCACCACCACCACCTCTCCCCTCCTTACAGACACAGAGCCCCTCCTCTCTCAAACGTGGGATCCCCTTGTTCAGGGCATGAATGGAGCCTTCCCTGTACTCACTCCCCACGTCCAGACCTATGGATGACCCATGCATTATCCAGGTCCCACCTCCATCACCTGCCCTGCCCATCAACGGTGGATTTCTTCTGCCTGCTTCTGTAGCATCAGCAGCCACGAGGGCCTATGTGAGGCCCTGAGTGCTCTCCGCCCTCACCTGCCTCAGTGTCCTTACCAGAAGCCTGAAGGTCACCTCCTCCAGGAGGCCTTCTAGGCCAGTCTGTCCAAGAGCTGCACCCTCCTCTTCAGTCGCTGTTCCCTCTGGCCCACTTATGTCTGTTGTGGTACAGTTGCTGACCTGATTTGTGTGTTTGCTTGCTTATTGTCAGGTTTTTCTACCCACTGTGGTGACATGAGGGCCATCCTGGCCACTGTCTAGCTTATCCAGCCACACGCTTAGCACCCAGTCTAGCCCAGTGTGCAAAACTTGATATTGATACTGATAGGTTCTCTCTCTTTTTTTTTTTTGAAACCAGGTCTCAGTATGTAATCCAGGCTGGCCTTGAACTCAGTTCTCCTGCCTCAGCCTTGCAAGTGCTGGGATCATAGGCGTGCACAACCACACCCAGTTTGATAGGCTATTAATGTGCTTTTTTTAGAGTCTGACAGGAGAATTTCTTGGCACCATGATCTATTTGTCACTATAGCATTTGTAGACAAGTATGACATGGCAAACAGAATCACGTTTACAGTTTGGAAAGTGACCTTAGGTTTCACAAAGTAAAAGGAAGTATGTGTGCCCAGGTTCTATGTGAAGTCACCTTGTACAAGGTGCAGATGCATTGAGGGTTTCAGACTCCACTCCACCCTGTCTCTGCTGGTAGACTTTGGAGCTCCTGCCACTCACAGGAAGCTTTTGGTGTGAGGGTCCTGAGCTTGGTGCCATCCCAACAGCACTGCGTCTTCCCAGGCATCCACTGGTGGTGAGCAACCCTCCAAGACCCGTGCGGCACGGGGACATCGTGCAACTGGTCCACGGCATGACTACCCGCTTCCTCAACACGTGAGTGCTCCTACCCACACTAGCTACCTCTGGATTTCCTCTGTGGCCCTCTGTTGCTGCACAGGTCTAGGGGGTCATAGCGTGCATTTTCATTAGCTATTGGAAGGGGACCCAGGGCTGCAACTGAGGGGGAGACTTAAGGGACAGAGCCTTAGTGTCAATAAAGACAAGGCATACTGCATTCCAAAGTTTGGGGCCAAAATGAGGTAACAATCAACTAAGGGAGATGCTAAAGTGCTTTCTACAGATAAGGAAGTGTTCGCCACAGGGGGACATGTTTAAGATATCAGTGAGTTCAAGACAGATGCCAGTTTAGGAATAAAGACACAAGGGATTCTAACACCTGTCTTATTTCTCAGTGCATTGTGCTTGGGGCACAGCCACTCACCCCTCCTAAGGGAAAGGCTTTCTTCACAGCTTATCCCCGTCCCCCCTGGATCAAGTCTAGAATCTGGCTTCTCCCACTAACACCATGCCCTCCGCCATAGCTCTGCTGGGCCTTGGATCTGCTCTGGCCTGGCTTTCCCTGGAAAGAGCCATGCTCAGGCGCCAGCCATGATTCTTCTCTTTCCTCTCTTCTTCTTCCATCCATGCTTACTACATCAGGAAATCCTCTTGTCTCGACCTTCAGAATTGACCTTAGGTAGGGTCGCCTCCTCTCTTCACGTCCGCTCTCCAGTGCGGGTCCTGTGACCTTGGTTCTGACCGCCACTCCTCCTCTCCATCTCACTCCTGACAGACCCAGGGCCCAGGTGGTGCTTTGAGCATATGCAGTCAGTTTGCATGTCTTCTCTGTGCACAGCCTTTCAGCCACTTCCAGTCTCAGTATTCCCCTGGCCAAGGCTGGCCTCCTGCTAGTCCCAAAATGATGGAGCACAGCACCTCACGGCTGTCACACTCACTCCTCTGCTTGAGTGTTTATCCCCAGCACTTGCTGCTCCTGGTGCTCCACAGTGCAGACAGGCTGGGAGCACCTGTGCATGGGGTAGGAAAGCAGGTCCTAGGGGACTGGAGTGGGGGGACTTGGGTGCTTCTGACACTGAGGTTACACCTACAGAGGACAGCCTGGTCTCAACATGATACTGCCCTGTGCCCAACTGGCCTGGGGAGGCAGGGGTAGGACAGTGCCACAGCAGGATCAGGTTCTCAGACTGAAGCAAATGCTCAGCCTGTGACAGCCACTCCTTCCTTTGAGACTTGGTTCATTTGTCCAAAATGTAGAATTGTGACTTGCACTCAGTCACTTTGCACCTACACTGAGAAGGGCCCCCGTGGCTGTGGCCTTCCCTGGAATCATGGCTGCTGCAAGGCTGCGTTTCCAGCATCTCATCTCCACTAGCTTCAGGTGGCCACCACTAGCTGGCTTTTCCACGAGCTGGCTTTTTTTCCCTTAAACAAATAGTAACTAGCTGGGTGCTAGTGGCTCACACCCGTAATCCTAGCTACTTGGGAGGATGAGATCAGGAGGAGTTCAAGACCAGCCCTGGCAAATAGTTCACAAGACCCCATCTCCAAAATCACCAGAGCTAAATGGACTGGAGGAGTGGCTCAAGCAGAAGAGCATCTGCTTTGCAAGTGTAAAGCCCTGAGTTCAAACCCCAGTCCCACCAAAAAGAAGCAAAAAATTTCTGAGTTCAAGGAGCACCGTGTGACAGCCCCATGTGCTTTGTTTTCCAGTCACGATGTTGCCGCCCCGCTGAGCCCACACTCACAGGAGGTCTCCTGCTATGTGGACTACAACGTCTCCATGCCTGCCCAGAACCTCTGGAGGCTGGTGAGTTCCACAGCAAGTGCTGTGCTGGGCCACTTTCCAGCTCAGAGCACTCTAAGCCACTGTTCTGAATAATTGACTCAGTTGTAAAACAGTAAGTGACCGTTATTCATGAAGCAAGTTGCGTTCTTTTCACATGTGCTTCCTCCTCTAGGTGCTCCCCCATTTGCTCACCTGTTCCCTCAGAACCAGGCCCCCACACCCAGGAAGTGAGCTCAGGGCCCGCCTGGCTCCCAAGGGAAGCGCCTCTTGACCAGTTCTCTCCTGGATGTCAACAGGTTGCCTCTTGTCATGATTGCCCAGGCGAGAGGCTTAGCCATCAGTTGTGGGGGGTAGGGGAGCAGCCTTTGGTCACTTTCCTTCCAGTGGCCAGGGGAATGTGCTCCCCTTGCAGGACCAGGGCTCCTGGGAAAGTTGGTGTGCAAGTGCAGGAAGTGCTCTGTTCTCGGGGCTTTTTCACCTTGGACCCAAGGACCTGGGCACTAACCATAGCCAGCTGTGCTCTTGCATTGTGGTCATTTCTGTGCTGAGGGTCAGACTCTCCTTCCAGCTTCCAGTCTTGCTTACTCCAGCCCCATCACCCACTTTGGTCCTCAGTAGCAAGCAACATACCGACTTAATGCTGGCTCCTCCTGCACAGCCATCATTTCTCTTTTGTGCACAGAGGGTACCTCTACCTCTTCTGTGCCACACATACTTGTGAGCATCCTTCTCTCTGTCCTCTCTTTGATCCCTCATAATGGAAGTTCTGTGTGCTGTTTTCTCACTGGGAGCCCTCCTAAGGGAAGTCCTGCTGAGAGTCTCGCCTTCCCCTGGCTCCACTCCTACTTTCATTCTGTCCTCTTACACCAAGAGCTCCATTGCTGACCTTCCTCCTCCTGGTCTTCCTCCCCTTCCTCCTCCTCTTCCCATTCTTCCCCCACTCCTCGAGCTATCATGAGGTTTCACCTTGTCAGGCTGTGACAGTAAAAGTACTGTTCAGATGTTCACTCTTGTACTACCCAGACAAGGCCCCTCTCCGTCTCTGAGCAGCTCAGGGGCTGTCTTACCTTCCCCCAAGCTGCCTTGCATTTGCCAGATGAAGACTGAGAAACATTCCTTTTGGGCTTCTGGGTTCCTGAAGAGCAGGCTTTGAGTCTCTGTGGAAAGTGTCTCTCTTGTGGCCTTTGGTGGGGATAGTGCTTTTGCTCGAGCTGCCCAGTGTGCTCTGTCGTGGGCTCGTGAAGTGTTCACTGCACATCCAGATCAGCCCCTGGCAGATCCCTGCTCGGGCTTGCCACCTTAGCTCAGACCATGTGCATCTCATTGCTGCCTGAATGCTCCCTCTTCTCTTATTGAAGGGGGGTTTGAGGGGATGAAATAATTGCCAAGATCTGTTTCTGAGTTTTTTCTTGGCAGCACTGGAGTTTGAACTCACGGCCTTATGCTTGCTAGTCCGGCACTCTTCCACTTGAGCCACTTCACCAGCCCTTTTTTATGTTGAGTATTTTTGACATAGGTTCTCACAAACAGTTTGCCCTGGCTGGCTTAGAACCATGATCCTCCTGAGTAGCTAGGATTACATGTGTCAGCCCCCAGCTCCCAGCTTTGATTTTTTTCTTTGTGGTGCTAGGGATCGAACCCAAGCCTTCATGCATGCTGGCAGTGCTCCACCACTGAGCGTGTCCACTTGACAAGGTTTGGTTTTGGCTTTGCAGGACATTGTGAACAGAGAGTCAGACAGGGATATCTGGAAGACCATCCTGTCGGAGGTGCGCTTTCGTGCACGTGAACACGTCCGCCATCTTGAAGGTAAAGGGCTGCTTCCTGGCTGGCCCATCTTAGACGATGTGCCCATAGTCTACTTCCTCAGCCCTTTGGGCCAGATCAGCTCCTGCCAGGTGGGGCATTTGATAAAGTCACCACTGTGTCTTTTCACACCGAGGAAGGGAGGTTTCTGTAACTTCAGGACAGAATTCTAGCATGCAGACCCCATGGGGTATGGATGGTGGTCTGCCCTTGCATCTGGGCTGGAGACCAGCTTCTGTCATGCCCGTTACCTTCCTTGTTTCTGACAGCTGAGTGGGGCTCACCTCCCTGACTGGGGGTTTCGGCAGCTGGAGGTGGTTGGAGAGAAACTGTCTCGGGGCCACCATGAGAGCATGGTGTGGAACGTGGAAGAACATCGCTACGGCAAAAGTGAGTCGGCACGGCCCCGGGTTGCCCGCTGTGGAAGCCTTGTGGCCAGCTGCTTGGTTTGGCAGGACCACTGACCACTCTCCATCCCATTTGGCAGAGGTCCCCCTCCCTGGCCCCCAACATAGGCAAATAACCCGTGACATAGCAGGCTGTTCACTAAGCGGGGCTTTCTGACAGGCCTGCATCCCTGACGAGGTGGCAGAGTTTGGATTCGGAATATGGAGGGGAAATGAAGTGAAGTGGTGCTGTTTGATGGCGCGTCATCATGTTGGGCTGGTGGACTGGCAGGGCAGGGAGCCCTTTGCCTGGCCTGAGCTCCCTGGCATCCCCATCCCAACTGTTATGCTCTGGTGTCTCCTGCCAGGCCAGGAACAGCGGGAAAGGGAACTGGAGCTGCACTTACCTACGCAAGTTGACATCAGCAGGAACCTCAGCTTCATGGCCAAATTCTCAGAGCTGCAGGTGATGCGTGGTACTCGCTGGGAGTGGGTCCTAACAGTGAAAGTGCTGTAGGTCGCCAAGTTCTGACGCTGGTGGTCAGTCTCAAGTCTGGACCCTCAGGCTCACCAACAGAATGAGCATCCCTCTCTCCTTAGTCTCAGTGACAGGTGTGACATTATTGGCCTCATAGCCTTGGCTTTGCAGTTAGGAACAGTCAGGGACAAGGAGCGTCTGCAACATTGCCAGGGTGTCTTTAGGCCCCCTGCTGGTCAAAATGGGTCATGTTCAACGAACAGACCCCTGCTGGAGAAGTCAGTCAGAACTTCGGGGCATTGTGCAGAGGGTGTGAGTCTGGTCACTTAGTATACAGAGGAGGTGGCTGGAGCCCCTTGGGTGCGACCACCCTTCTGAGCTCACAGCTAGGTTAGAGTTCAGGGCCCTGGTTGGCAGCACTTGTTCTGCCTGCCTTGCCATCTCTGTTGCATGAGCCAAATGAATTTGAGAACTTGAGGTTGGATAAGCACATGCAACAGGCTGCAGTTTACTCTGACACCTTTGACACCACAAAAAATCCACCACACCTGGAGGTACCCGCTTGCCCTCTGGATTCTCAGGTCTCTGCTTTGTTCCAGTGGAGAATGCTGACACTGAGGAGCGAGGACTCAGAACACAAGTACAGCTCCACCCCCCTGGAGTGGGTCACCCTGGACACCAACATTGCCTACTGGCTGCACCCCAGGACCAGCGTGAGTGAGCGTTTGTGACAGTAAACAGGCATAGCTTGTCTCACCCAGGAGAGTTCCTTTTGGCATCAAAGGCAGCCATTGCGTCCTGTAGAGTCCATGGTTTCTCCAGAGCCTGTCCTAACGAAAGCCCAGGGCTTGGCTCTTCTCTAGATGCTAGGCAGCCTGGAGCCAGTGCTCCACCAGATATTAAGGAGCAAGGTCTCACACAGAGGCTTACTGCCAGGGCTCTTCCCACAGCAGAATGGAAGCAGCATGATGGTTGCATGCAGTCAGTGCCGAACAAGTGAACACTGCAGATGCTTACCCGGTCCTCACTCAAGGGGATAGATGGCACGCTGTGAAAGAAAGCACAGGCGAGTCCCAGGTGCTCACCTGAGCTTAGTGTGTGCAGAGACTTTGTATTGTTTTTCTGTGCTTAGCATTGTCACTAAAAATGTATCTTAAAGCTGGGTGCCAGTGGCTCACACCTGTAATCCTAGCTACTCAGAAGGTAGAGATCAGGAGAATCACAATTTGAAACCAGCCTTGGGCAAATAGTTCATGAGACCCTAAACGCACCACAAAAAAGTGCTGGTAGAGTGGCTCAAGCGGTAAGAGTGCCTGCCTAGCAAGCATGAGGCCCTGAGTTCAAACCCCAGTGCTGCCAATTAAAATAAAAATTGTATCTTAAGTTAGGTGTTGTGGTTCATGCCTGTAATCTCATCACTCAGGAGACTGAGGCAGGAGGACTGCCTTAAACTCAGGGCTACAAAGTGAGCCATGTCTCAAAAAGGAAAGGGCAGTGGGGAGGGAGCCATGAGAAGCGAAGTCTTAGAACTGTGGGGCGGGGTGGGGGTCTCATTGAGCTTAGCATGCACAGAGCTCTGGGTTCAATTCCCACCCACTCCCCCCAAAAAAACTATTTACTCTTAGACTAGCACTTTTCTAGAACTGGTGACCTTGTAAATGGGTACATCCAGTTAGTGGTCGGGCTCAAGGGTTCCAGAATGTGCCTGTGCATAACTGCTGAGGTCTGGAGTGTACCTCTGGTTTTCTTCAACATGGCCATTTCTCCGTGCGCAGAGGGAGGGCGGCTCACACTGGCTCATGTGCTTTCAGGCTCAGATCCACCTGCTTGGGAACATCGTGATCTGGGACTCGGCCAGCCTTGCCACAGCATTCTATGCCTTGCTCTTCCTCTGGTACCTGCTCCGAAGGCAAAGGAGCATCTGTGACCTTCCTGAGGGTTAGTACAGCTAACCAGCTGCTGATGCTTTGACGAGAGCACTGTACATAGGTGACAACCCAGCCCTGATACATGGTGGAAAAGCAGACAGCACAGGTGTGGTGGTTGCCTGCAGCTGACAGGCAGGCACTTGAAAGGGAAAAAACAGCACCCAGTACTGGGAAGGTGTCTTCAGGGCCTAGCCCCAGCCCTGGCCCTGAAGGCGTCAGGGAGCAATGTGGCATCTTCACTTTGTTCTGCCCCTCCTCATCTTTGGTGGCCTGGTCCTTTCTCTCTGCTAACTTTGCCTATGGTCTGGGCTGGTAGACAAATGTGGGCTCTCCCAGCTTGACTTACTCAGAATTCCCAGATGAGACCAGACTGGCCCCAGACTGGATCAGATCTGCTCCAGGTGGTGAGCTGAGAGGGCAGGGGACCCAGTGGTAAACCCAGATGGCTGGGCCTGGCTTCCCAAGGCTGAGGCCTCCCAGAGAACAGGGTTGTTAGACCCTGGGAGGAAGCAGCAGGTTTTCAGGACCCAGTCCACCCAGCCCCCTTCCTCACGAAAGGGAGGGAAGGATGGAGAAGTCAGGTCCTGAGGGTACAAGTGTGTGACTTAGGGTGAACCCCTATAGATGAGCCCAGCGGTGGCGCTGCTCTGAGACATGCCCTCCACAGATGCCTGGCCCCGCTGGGTGCTGGCCGGAGCCCTGTGCGCTGGTGGCTGGGCACTGAACTACCTGCCCTTCTTCCTGATGGAGAAGACGCTCTTCCTCTACCACTACTTGCCTGCACTTGCCTTCCAGATCCTACTGCTCCCCATAGTCCTACAGCACATCAGCGACCACCTGTGCAGGTGAGGGGCTCTGCAGTTGGCAGCATGGTTGGGGTCACAAAGGCCACTCACAGTGTAACGGATGGGTGACATTTACAAGAGACACAGACAAGGCACCTTGGCAATTCAGAGCAAGAAGTTTTGGCTGACCAGGATGAACATACTGGTGTGCATGGGAGTAGGGAGGGCTTTTATGACCTGGGAGCAAATGCAGGGTGTTCAGATGGTAGTGACTTACTGTCCAGATTGCATGAGGGCTAGAGTTGAGGGGCTGGGCTTCTCCATATCTCGAGAGGACCTTGATGTGGTGGTGTTGGGCTTAGGGCCACATTCTGTTGTGGTGAGTCCAGAGCAGAGTGAAGAAAGCCAAGCACTGTGCATGCAGGCAGTCGGTAAGGTAAGGGTTAGCAGGGCACAGAAAAGCTGGGGAAGTCTGAGAGACACAGGTCAAAATCACAGGCCATGGCAGGTTGCTGTGTGGACCACAGCTTCCAGCCAGCTGCCTCTACCACCCTTTGCCTTGCTGCCCACAGGACCCAGCTGCAGAGGAGCCTCTTCAGCGCCCTGGTCGTAGCCTGGTATTCCTCTGCATGCCACGTGTCAAACACACTACGCCCACTGACCTACGGGGACAGGTCACTCTCACCAGGCGAGCTCCAGGCCCTTCGCTGGAAAGATAGCTGGGATATCCTGATCCGAAAATACTAACAGAACAAGAGCGCAGCAAGGAATGTCCTGGCTGGGGCTGAGGACAAGGTAGAATTAATGTGTTTGTCAGAAAAGCTGGGGAAGTCTGAGAGACACAGGTCAAAATCACAGGCATGGCAGGTTGCTGTGTGGACCACAGCTTCCAGCCAGCTGCTCTACCACCCTTTGCCTTGCTGCCAAGGCCGCTGCAGAGAGCCTCTTCAGGCGCCCTGGTCGTAGCCTGGTATTCCTCTGCATGCCACGTGTCAACACACTACGCCCACTGACCTACGGGGAGGTCACTCACCAGGCGAGCTCCAGGCCCTTCGCTGGAAGATAGCTGGGATATCCTGATCCGAAAATACTAACAGAACAAGAGCGCAGCAAGGAATGTCCTGGCTGGGGCTGAGGACAAGGTAGAATTAATGTGTTTGTCTCCATAAGCAAAGGGGCTCTGTGCTGGCTAGACTGGGTCTGGCCCTGCTGTCAGTGAGGCCTTGCAGGTGCCTGCCCAGAACATCGCAGTGATTACTCGCAATTGAACCTCTAAGCAGAGCCATGGTGCAGGCCTGTGACTGTGTGAGACTGGGGCCACACTGGTGCTGTTTTTCCAGTCCCTTCTGGGAGACTTCACTAACAGGCACACAAGCGGCATCAGTACTCTCCTGTCAAGGCTTGTTGTCATCCATATACCTCCTTGCCCTGAATTTGCCTTTCTTATGTAAGTTTATAAGTTTCATGTAAATTTAAAAAGGATAAATGGACATTGGGTTTTGATGTCATTTATTGATTCTCCCTCCAAAGGGGCTGAAGCTCAACAAAATCATTAGTTAACAGACACCAGCCCTAGAGCTCACATAACAATGAGAAGTACCTGTGCCACGGCTTGTGACACTGGCAAGGGACTTTTCCAGAAAAGGTCATCACACGGGAGGGAACACAGACCAGAACAGAAGGGACCATATATGAGGCTACGTTCTGGCTCAGCATGTGGATACCAGCTGGTTTTCAGCAGTCACATTCATTTAAACACCTGCACCCCAGCACTCCAAGGGACACAGCTGACCTACCCTGGATGTGGCTGTGAGCTGCAACTGGGGATGGTGGGGCTGTGGGGTACGCCCTAGCCCTACAGGGCTGTGCGGACAGCCAGAACAGACTCCATGGCCCACTGTCTTCTGTGTGCTGCTGTTTAGAAAAGTGCTGGTTGACCTCTGCCTCAGGGGCACAGGCAGGGAGGGGAACCTGAAGCTCCTCAAGCCAGTGTTCAGCTCACTGGATCCTGGGGAGGAGGGGGTCACGACACCAGATTTGTAGGTCACAACTGGCCTTGGTTATGAGACAGAAGAAAAAACATTAAGACATGTAAATGTCTTAAACTTCAGTTTCAGTGATGTGTGTGTGTGTACCAGATCAAAGCGGGAAGCCTATCTCAAGAACCCCAGGACAGCCAGTTCCCAGGCTCAATAGTCCCAAAAATGCAGGCCTTGTGTCACTCTGGGAGCACGCAGCCTGGAGCAGCCAGGGACCCCAACTGTTAACTCCCACCCCCCGCCCCCCGCAGCCAAAGGGAGCAGGGCACACAAGAATGCCCTTTCCTACCAGAATGAGTGATAAAGGCCTTGGTCCCGGCACCACCTAGGACATCAAAATGTCCTGGATGTGCTGCACGATCAGGTTGATGGCAACTGCAGTGACACAAGACAGGAGCCACTCAGCTGTGTTCAATCCCTGGTCTGTCTCAGCAGATACTCACTACAATTGTGCTAAGCCTGATCAAAACACTTCCTGCTGACCCTTGCCCACCAGCTCTAAACATCTTTAAAGTACAGGGACCTGTGTCCCAGATGAACGCTGCAGGCCCCATGTGCTTGGGAGTCCTCATAGCTGAGACAGGAGGTGGCAGACCCTGTTTTGCTGCTCAGAAGGGGACAGGGGTCAGGCGGTTTCTTACCCATATTGTCAACCCCTCGAGGAATGATCACATCAGCATACTTCTTTGTCTGTAAGATACAAGGGGGTTCTCATGAGGCAGGTGACAGGTGCTCAGGGCCAGGTGCAGCGGCAGGGGATCAAGGCTGGGGTGCCCGAGACACTGGTGGCATTGGCAGGCCGAGACAGGGACTAAGGAAGTCATCAGCCAGGTGGGATCTAAGAGAGGCAGACGTTAAAGCCAAGGCAGCAGAAGGAGCTGCACCCCCTTCCTGTCTTTTCCTGGACACCACTGCAGGGAACAGCTCTCCCGCCAACAGCTTCATTGCTGGGTGGGTAGGTGTGGCGCCTGCCACAGTGTGTGGCCTTGTTCCTCTGGAATTGTGAACCTTTCTGCAAACACCTGGAGAATGAGCAGGACAGGACAGAGCCACACACGATGCTTTAACGTGCCACACCGCACAGGACATGTGAGGTTGCGCTTGCTCATCTAACACTGATGACCTGCACTATCAGACTGCTGCAGAAAAATGGCCACAGAGAAGGGACCCATCCAGAGGTGGGGGCCCAGGGAGGTGGCTGCCAAGGGGCACCCACCTGAATCAGGCCATGCCCAGGGAGGGCAGGGCACAGTCTCAGTCAGGGGACAGGTACAAGATGGTAGAGACCCTTCCAGTGAAAGGCCAGAGCAGTCCAGGACTGGTCTCCACTTTGGTGGGATCATCAAGTAGGGTGACAGTGATGAGCTGGAGGGGCCAAGACACAGGGCAGGAGGGAGGCCAGAAGCTCAGAAGTGCAGGCAAGAGCTGCTGAGGTGTGAGTGGGCAGGTGATGGGGAAGAGGCTGGGTCAGGAAACACTCTGGAAGTCAGTAGGGGGCTCCCAGGTGACAGCACTTCCTCTAGGGGACACCTGGTCAGATTTAGGATCCCAGGTTTTATTGCAAACCACCTACTCTGTCAAATGTCCTGTGACTAAGAGACCCATGTAATGTTCAATTTACTTTCCCAAAAACTTCAGAACAAAGGCATAAGAAAAAATATTTTGCTTGCCTTTTTTTTTTTTTTTTTTTTTTCTTCCTTCGGTACTCTACCTCTTGAGCTATACCTCTAGTCCATTTTGCTCTGGTTATTTTGGAAATGTGGTCTTGTGAACTATTTGCCCACACTGGCTTTGAACCATGATCCTCCTGATCTCAGCCTACTAAGTAGCTACAATTACAACCGTGAGCCATGGGTGCCCAGCTGTTTATTTTTTGAGGCAGGGTCTCACTAGGTAACCCGTGCTGGTCTGGAACTAGCCATCTTCCTGCCTCTGCTTCCCAACTCCTGGGATTACAGCAGTGCACTACAAGTTTAAGGCCAACCTGGACTACCTGGCCAGACCCTGTCTCAAAAAAAACCAAGAAGTAGTGGGGCATCAGTGGCTCACGCTTGTAATCCTAGCCACTCAGGAGGATCACAATTCGAAACCAGCCTGGGCAAATAATTCACGAGACCCTATCTCAAAAATATCCAACACAAAAAAGGGCTGGTGGACTGGCTCAAGGTGTGGGCTCTGAATTAAAGCCCCAGTACTGCAAAAAAAAAAAAAAAGAGACAAAATAGCCTTAGATTTCTCTTTAAAACATTCCAATTTGAGTAGAACCGTAACTCCCATTTGTAACTTTAGAAAGAGCAGACAGTTGGGCACTGGTGGCTCACGCCTGTAATCCTAGCTACTCAGGAAGCAGACAGAGATCAAGAGGTTTGCGGTTTGAGGCCAGCCCAGGCAAATAGTTGTGAGACCCTATCTTGAAAAACCCTTCACAAAAAAAGACTGGTGGAGTGGCTCAAGGTGTAGGCCCTGAGTTCAAACCCCAGTACCCCCTGCCAAAAAAAGAAAAGAACAGATAGTTCTATCTACGAGCCAGCCAGGACCTTATAGCTGGCCAGGAGCAGCCTGGAGGACATGGGCCCTGGAGGAACAGTCTGAACACCCACCAGAGCCAGCAGCCAGTTTGGGCAGTGAAGCCCATGGAGTATGCCACTGCGGGGAATAAGCACAACACCCAGGGTACATCAGGTGCTTCGGAGTATGAAGGAGGGGGTGACTGGGAGCGTCAGTGTGAAAGGCGGAGTCGATGCAGGTGGCACATGGGTAAAGCCTAAAGCAGGGTACAGGTGAGCTGGTGCACATGTGAGGGGACACGGCTGCATTGGCAGAGGAGGAGCGAGTGCAGAGAACGTGTGCAGAGCTAAGAATGAGGCCCAAGGACCGGAGGATAAGCCACACCCTTCCCCACCCAATCTCCACCCAAGTCTCAGCCATCACAGAGTTTGGCACCATATGTCCTTTTAAAAGGGATTGGAACTAGAACAAAGACAATACCGGCAGGCAGAACTCCTCGAAGGCTGGCTTGACAAAGGTGGTGTACTGCGTGAGAATCTGCTCCAGGTCCCTCCCTCGCCGCACATCCCGAAGAACTGCAGCGACAGGAGTCGGGTGTCACAGCCAGCCCTTGCAGCCAGCCCCCCCCAACACACACAAGCCCCAGGGCACACAGGCCCAAGGTGCCTCACCTCTTCGAGACAGCCTGACATCAGAGTCCGTGTCCACAAAGAGACGCAGGTGGAACATGTCCCGGATCTCCTGGCTATAGAACACCAAGATGCCCTCAAAAAGAACCACGTCTGCTGGGTACACCACTGCGGTCTCTGGCAACCTGATGGAGAGATGAGGCCATGGGCCCTGCTGGAAAGCCACTTTAGTCCCAGGGCACTGATTCCATGGTGGGAAAAATGGAGGGAGGAGGAGTTTGAGCCACAGAAACTGTGGGAGAACCTCTGCTACAAGGCAGTCTGTGTAGGCCCAAGAGGGGACCCCCTAACTGGCCCTCTCAGGAACCCCCTGCTTACCTTGAATGCGTCACAAAATCGTAAGTGGGGACCTCGACAGTTTTGCCCTCCACGATGTTTTTCAGAGTCCTATGCATCAGATCATTGTCAAAAGCATCTGCAAAGGCGGAGCAGAAGGCAAGACCACCAGCTGCCCTGGTGCAGTACACAGGACAAGAGGGGGCCACCCTCTGCAGGCCATAGGTTGGCATGGTGCCAGGGATCCCAAGGACCCTACAGGCCAGGCAGAGGAAGCTCTGCCCCTGGGGTCTACATTTGGTAGTGACAGGTCCTCTACAGTCCTGCAGACCATGGGATGCTCTGTTCTGGCTGCCCTCAGGCAGTACTCCCACCCACAGTCTGTCCCACCAGGAAGTTGGAACACAGTTGACTTTCGGACTGGCATATCCTCTAACTTCTCTGGGACTAATCAGAGTTAGACGGCTGCTCCCCAGGCCTTCCTCCTTGTGATGGGAAGGAAAGGCAGCCAGAGTGGAACCTTGTAGGAATGATAAGAACTTTCCAGACCAAGACACACAACTCCAAGGCCACAGGCTCTATATTACCCAACTGCTTCCCACCGCTGGTCTCGCTGAGGACTTTGCCCAGGGAAGGTGGGGAACTGAAAGGCGACATGGGCAGGGGTGTGTAAAGGCCCCTCCAGCAGCAAGGCCAGACCAGAAGGGGAGCAGATGCCAACACTCTGGCCAGTGGTCCTGAAGGCCCCTCCCCCATGGCTTCTTGACTGACTCCAACCAAAGTCCTGCAGGAACCTGCCCGGCCTGGCTGTCCCCATCCTTGCACACCTTCCTGTGCATCCCTGCCCAGCCCCACACCTAGGCAGCCCACCCTCGTCCCCACGGGCTCTCTGGATGTACCTGGGTGGTCAAAATTGTACTGTCCTTTCAAGGCCTTGGCCTTCTGCTCCGCGGTCAGGACCTTATAGAACCGGTCCTGGCTTAGGATGACCAACTTGCGCTGCCGGTGGTCCACTTCGTTCTGGCCCAGCAACTCCATGATCTTCTCACACACGGTTGACTGGGGAGAGAAACCGCATTCCTGCTGGAACCCGGGGCGGCTGTGCCCGGGGTGGGCTTGGGCACAAGGACTCTCGGCCCCTGGGGTTGGCCCTGCGACCAGCAACAGGTGGCTCCGAGCTGGGCGGCGGCCGGGGCCGGAGGGGCCGAGCGGGCGGGAGGCCGGGGCGAGGACGCGCACGCGGGCGGCCTCACTCACCTTGCCGCTCGCGGTGCCGCCGCTCACCCCGATCAGGAAGGGCCGCGGGTGGGGACGCTCGGCCTCAGGCGCGGCGTTCCCGCTGTCACCGCTTCCCGCCGAAGCCATGGCCGGCTCGACCGCCCTGCATCGACACGCACCCGCCCCGCCCTGCCCGACCGCCGGGGGCGGAGGCGACGCGCACGGCCGCTTCCGGGACGCGCGGCGCATGCGCACGGGGCGGTGCGCGGGGCCGGGGGCGGGGGCGGGGGAAGGGCGGAGGGCCGTTCTCGGAGATTGGGGATTCGGGGATCGGGGATCGCGGACCCAATGTGACTTGGGGCCCTCACCCCTCCAGGCCACTGTCGCAGCCCTGCCTCTCCCACCCGTACTATGGCCGCCCCAGATCCTGGCACCCTCCGCCGCCGGAGCCCTCAGTGGCTCCCCAGTGCCTCCTACAGCACATGCCTGGCTTCCTCGGCCTCCTCCGGAGGTGGCGGCCACCTGTCACCCCATGGCAGACGCTCTAGGTGAGCAACCTGCTACGAGAAGCCGAGGCCCGGCTGCCGGCTGCCATCCCTACCTCAGGGCCTGACAAATACGACGGCTGAGAATTGTATGTCCCCACGGCGGGGAGACTGCAAGTCCAGACCCTAACGCTGACATTGGATGCCCACGGGACTAAAGTAACACAGCCACCGCTAATGTCACGTCATCGAGGTGGTCGCAGGTTGCAGGCAGCTCTGATGGTTCATGGGGTGGGGGAGGCACCTTGGCCCCCGACAGGAGTTCCAGAAAGGGATCGCTGGGGTGGCTCTGCTGGCCATCCTGCCCAGAAAGGACCCGTGCAGGCCAGGAGCCAGGTCCTCAGTGACAGTGGGTTCATGTCACCTCTGCTGACAGGCCTTGAGCAGTGATGCCACCAGCACCCTGCACCTTCCATTCCTTGCTTCCCAAAGTGGGGAGTAGCAAGTGAGGGTCCTTGCCAGACTGTGCACCGGCCTCCTCTTCTGTGTTGGCCTGAGCTACTCTCCTTCTGCACCGCCAACAACATTAGCTACGTTCCTTACTTCCTGTATTCTTGGTGCTCTGGCATTTGGGGGCCTTCAGACCAACAGAGCCACTTCCTTTCTCAGTACCTGCCGATGTTCTTCATGTGCAACTGAGGCCCAAATCTGTGGTCCCATCCAGCTCCTTCATGGCCCTCAGGTGCTGGACCAGTATTTCCCCTGCCCTGGATCAACCCAGGCCAGAGCCAGGCAGTTGGGACACTCCCAGAACACACCAGAGTTACCCACACTGGGCAATCCTCAGCTGCTTCCCTGCCCTGCCCTCCCTTCCCCTTCTCATGAAAACCCCAAGAAAGACCCTGGCCCCACTCCCCACATTCCTGCTATCTGCTGACCAGGCCCAGTGCTCCTCAGGTGATTCCTCTGAGGTGCCACTTCTCTATGGAAAAGTCACACATTTTTTTCAGTGGCTTTGACCTTTCTGTGTGGTCACTCTGCCAATCCTGTGTAAATTAAGTCCCAGGCACAGCACACCATGTGGCCCTGACTGTGGTCTTAGCTCTTTCTCTCTGAAGCAAGGCAGGCATGCCTGAAGAGTTGTTGGGGCCAGCTTGGCTATTTTCCTGGGATTTGCTGTCTGGTATTCTTTCCCCACTTGAGTCTACAAGCAGCTTTCTGCTAGCTCTGCAAAGTTGCAAGCCTCCAGCTAGCTCTGCAGCGTTTCCTGTAACTGTGACTGCATTCTGTAGGGGGTTGGGGAACAAACCCCGTAGGTATTTAACCAAGCTTCTGACACAGATCAGGGCTCAGGCTTTGAGAAATTATCTCCCCTGACTCTGCTAGCATAATAAACTCCCTGATTCCTGTGAAAATGGGCTCGGTGACTTTGTTTCCCTTGTTTCCCGAAACACACTGTGCCTAAAGCCAACTCAAAATGAGGCAGGATAGACAATGAGGTGACAGAGAAATTAGAAATAATTTAAAAATATTTAAAAGACCAGATCAGGAATTAAGGCAACCAGGTAGCAAAGCTGAAAATCACGGCTGACTTCTTATCCCCCCACTCCTTCTCCCCGCTTCCCCCACCCTCTTCTTTTAGGTGTTGACTTACAATCTCCTGATGAGTGGGGAAACCCAGGATGAATAGGTTGTTTGCCCAGAGGAGAGAACACCCAAAATATTACACACCTTTGTCTGCATATTTTGAATAATAACAAACTCGCCTTGGCCTCCTGTACACTTGGAGTAATCATAAGACCATCTTAAAGAGCACCTGCCCAACAAGCAGCAACCATGAGGCCCTGAGTTCAAATCCCAGTACAAAAAAAAGGCCCATTATCTCCAAGTTTTGGGGGACAGACCCACCCCAAACTCATTGTTTTTATGCTTTGGAGCTCAGCAGATGGTTAGGGGTTGTGAGCTGACATGGCAGTTTAGCTAAGGGGTCACTGGCACCCTCTCCCCCCCCCACCCCGCCCCGGCCCGGTTAGGCAGGCATAAATGCACCCAGGACAAGGACGGCCACTTTGAGATTCTCTGCTCCCATCTCCTATGTGCCATGAAGCAGGTGGGTTCTCTTTCTTTTTTTAATTTTTCCTTACTTTGCCCTGCTTTGCTAGATAAATTCTTGCTAAACTCCTTCGTGAGTTCCCTTTTTTGTGAAACCCCTCAAAATGCTTTGTGTCACGGATTTTAAGTTTCTGTGACATGCAAAAAACTAAGTGGAGGAGTTCTCCCGTCCTCTCTCATCTGGAGTCCTCTTCATCCCTTTCCTGCCCCCAGTGACAGTAATTTATATGGAGGAACACAGCTTCTTGCCTGTTCTTGCCTATTACTGGAGGAGGAGGAGGAGGATAAAGGGGTCCCTCAGGTTGTCTTTCCTTGCATGTCACATGAACTTGAGAACCACAGTGAAAAGCATGTCAAGGGCCTCACAAAAAGGAGGGTCTCACTGGGTGCCGGTGGCTCACGCCTGTATTCCTAGCTATTCAGAGGGCAGAGATCAGGAGGATCACAGTTCAAAACCAGCATGGACAAATAGTTTGTGAGCCTTTATCTCAAAAAAAAAAAAAAAATCAAAGGAAAGGGCTGGTGGAGCAAGGTGCCGGCAGATTACACCTGTAATCCTAGCTACTCAGGAGGCAGAGATCAGGAGGATCGCGAAGCGGTTTTTAAGCCAGCCCAGACAAATAGATCATGAGAACTTATCTCGAAAATACCCATTACAAAAAGGGCTGGTAGAGTGGTTCAAGGTAAAAGTCCTGAGGTCAAGCCCCAGTACCACAAAAAAAACCACATAAATGAAATAAAATAAAGTAAAGGGCTTCTGGAGTGTCTCAAGGTGTAGGCCCTGAGTTCAAATCCCAAACCACAGAAAAAAAGGAGGGTCTCCCAGGTGGAAGTTTTAGCTAGGATTTAGTTTAATAAAACAGGATAAATAGGGAGAATGGAATAAAGGGAGAGAAAAGTGTTGGGCTGAAAAGAGGTGCAGAATGGCTAGGTGGGAAGACAGCTTAATGCCAGCACTGCGTTTATGTGGAGAAGTGGTCCTGCAGAGGGGAACCCCAACAAGAGAGCTGCAGCCCCTAGCCACTTAAGACTGGACGTAGATAGGAGGTTGGTGGAGAAGTCCCAGGAAGATCACTGGGCAGGAAACTCCTCAGTGTCCCTCTGACCCTCAAGATAAAGGCTTAAGGGTGGCTTGTTCCTCTAGGCCAGCTGGGGAGTTTCCAGTGAGTCACCTTCACTGGGGAGGGGGTCCAGTTCTAGTGTGGCTTCCTTTTGTTCTCCCTAACAAAAAGTACACCCTGCTTGAAATGCAGGGATGGGAACCAAGGCCAAAAAATTGTATTTTTTGTTTTTGCAGCACTGGAGTTTGAACTCAGGGCATCACACCTATTAGACAGGTGTTCTATCGCTTGAGCAAAAATAATGTGTGTGGTTTTTTGGGGTTTTTTTTTTTTGAGGGTTTTATAGTTTCTGAGCTGGGGGAATCCATGTGGTCATATTGTAGCAGGGAGGAGGACCAGAAGAGAAACAGGCCTGTGTTCTGATAAAATAGCAGGGGGAAAGGGACGGCACAGCAGAGAGATAGAACCTGAAGAATCCAAACATGAAGAAGGTCACATAGCAGTGGGGGTAGCGGGCACTAGGGTGAAATAGCCCATAGAATTGCATATGGCCATCTATGGGTTAAAACTTGTTTTTTATCTTATTGCCTCTGTAACCTGCTTGCAAGGGAGTATAAAGTGAGGCCCCTTTGTTCTCGGGGCTCAGCCTCTGGACACGAGTCAGAGTCTGTGCAGGCACAATAAAGCATTGCTTCCTTGCCTCAGAGTCCCGTGTCTCTGTTTGAGTTTCCCATAACATTTCCTGGGGGCTCCCTGCTGAGATTGTGGAGACAGTGGTTTTTCACCTTCTTTGTTGCTGGGGCACATCCCCCGGATGGTCAGGAGAAGTGATGCCACCAGGCACCAATGGACATCTTGACCTGGAGGAGGGAATTGCCTTCCCGGTGAGTTGGGGTGAAGGCCTCAGATGCACAAAGGAACCTGGTGAAGTGCAGGAACCAGCAAGGGGAGTGCCACCCATCAGACTGGTAAGAACCCGGGTTCAAATTCAGAGCTGTCTCAGGAGGCAGACAGGGGCCTGTTCAACTTCCAGTGAGACACCCTAGTAACCACGTTTTGGGGTGAAGCCATGACTCTCAGGACTCAGGGAGCGCAGTGGAAGTGCTGTGCTGTGTGAGAGCGTGTGAAAGTGTGAGCCTGAGACGCAGCCCAGCTGCGAAGCAAGTGAGGAGTCCCAGTCCGTGGGTCCATGGCAAACTCATATGGCCAAGGGTGAACCCTCTGGTCCAGGGTTCGTGTGGACTCACTACATCCAAAGAGGCACCTCAATCCCCACGAGGGGAGTGGCCAGAAATGGACGAAGCAAATGAGGACTCTGTGTAGGTGCAGTTTCTGGCGGGCGACTGCATCCAGGTCACCGATAAGGGGTGCACATTGTTCTCCCTTGTGTGTTGGAGAGGAGGCCCCTCCCCCTCTGTGTCTGTCTGGCTGTCTGGTAATGGGAGGAGATGGGTGGAAATCAGAGTAAAGACACTCCCTTGGAGTGTATGGTTAAGAACTTTAAAAAGGAATTTAATGGAGA